ACTACTGTTATTGCTACTACTACTGCCACTGCTACTACTACTTCTAGTGCTACTGCTGTTGCTACTGCTGCTGCTGCTGCTGCTGCTGCTGCTGCTGCTGCTACTGCTGCTGCTGCTGCTGCTACTGCTGCTGTCATAATGGATCAATAGTGGGGGAATTTTGTATTACATTAGTTGGAGCGGGATGGCTTATTGTAGTCACTTCCATGGCTATATATAAATATTCATTCTGCTATTTATACGCAGCTGTTGTGAGTGGTTCTCAAAGTGTGGGGCGTGAGACGGAGAGCGCAAGAGATGACTTCATTTTGAATGTGTTTAATTAATGACACTATTTATGTCAGTTATAACGAAACATTTAGATTGATATGGTCTTGGGCTGTTTTTGGTGCTGGGTCTGGTCTTGGCCTTAGTCTGATCTTGGTCTGATCTTAGTCTGTTCTTGGCCTGGGTTTAGTCCAGGTCTTGTCCTAGTCCTGGTCTTGATCTGGGTCTTGCCCTAGTCTTGGTATAGTTCTGGTCTTTGTTCGGGTCTAGTCCAGGTCTTGGTCTGGTCTTGGGCTGGTTTTGATCTTGGTTCAGGTCTGGTCCGGGTCTTGCTCCGGTCTTGGTCCTGTTCAGAACTTGCTCGGGGTCTTGGTCCGTGTCTGGTTTTTGGTCTGGTTCTGATTCTGCAGTGAAATGAGGTAAAAAAAACCACAACAAAAAACTCAAACAAACTAGGAGGAAATCTTTATATTATTTTATCAGTAAATGCAGCAGAGAGAGATGCAGATTCAGGCCTAATCCACACAAAAGTAGATTTAAAAACTGATCTTGGGTCACTCCCCGCTGGACTGCCACCTTAACGTGGTGGGGGAGTTTGAGTACTCGGATGATCCTGGGAGCTATGCTGTCTGGGGCTTCATGCCCCTGGTAGGGTCTCCCATGGCAGACAGGTCTCAGGTGACGAGTCAGACGAAGAGCAGTCAAAAGCCAACATGGACAGCACGAAAAGAAGAACCGTGACGTCGCCCGGCATGGCGCAGCCGGGGCCCCACCCTGGAGCCAGGCCTGGGGTCGGGGCTCGAATGCGAGCGCCTGGTGGCCGGGCCTTAGCCCACGGGGCCCGGCCGGGCTCAGCCCGAAAGGACGACGTGGGCAGTCCCTCCTGTGGGCCCACCACCCGCAGAGGGGTCCGTGGCGGCTCGGTGCAGAGAGGACTGGGCAGCAGTCGAAGGCGGAGACCTCGGCGACCCAGTCCGCACACCCAACAAGTGGCTGGGCGCTCCCTTAGAGATAGGGTGAGGAGCTCAGTCACACGGGAGGAGCTCGGAGTAGAACCGCTGCTACTCCACGTTGAGAGGAACCAGTTGAGGTGGCTCGGGCATCTGTTCCGGATGCCTCCTGGACGCCTCCCTGGGGAGGTGTTCCGGGCATGTCCCACCGGGAGGAGGCCCCGGGGAAGACCCAGGACACGCTGGAGGGACTATGTCTCTCAGCTGGCCTGGGAACGCCTTGGAGTCCCCCCGGACGAGCTGGAGGAGGTGTGTGTGGATAGGGAAGTCTGGGCGTCTCTGCTTAGACTGCTGCCCCCGCGACCCGGCAACGGATGAAGCGGAAGAAAATGGATGGATGGATGGATGGCAGGAAGCCGGGGGTGGGGTCTCATTTTTCATGTTATTTTTAAAATGATTGTTTTTATTTTGCTTTAACAACCAGTGACAAATGACAATTAAAAACAAAAAAATATTCTCTTATAACCATGTGCTTTCTGTAACTAACAAAGTCAAAAAGGATGGACCTCCAAAAAGACATGACAGACAAGACGACATTCACTCCTGTTTCATTTTTAGTCTCATCATATTTGGAGCGAAGTGCCGACAGGGGCCCTCTGGGTCCACACGGTACAGTCCTCCTCACCTCAGGTTATTAGTCCAATTATTGAGGCCTCGTTGTCACGTTACGTCATCGCAATTTACATTCTACACTAAAAGAACGCAGCTCTCCCATCCTCCCCCTCCACACAGAGGCCTCCCATAGGTCAGTGTGGTCCTAGTGTGTGGAACCCATGGATCTATAATAATTACTGGATAGGGTATTACTAGCTTATAGCTGTCCCACCTATGGGCACAGGGGGCGCCCGTGGTACTGCAGACTAAATTCACGAGGGCTACCCAGAAATTTTCCTCTTACTGCTAATTTACACATCACGCGTTACAGCACGTACGTGTTATACGCGCAGCTGACGCGCGTAACTTTTTTCCATGTTAACCTATGATGATATTTACACTTCTAGCGTTATACGCGCGTATGACGGACGTATGACGCGAAGCTGCACTCTAATTTAGGATGGATTTCTAATTTTGTGCGCGCACCAACGCGTCTCCCATTGAAATCTCATGTAAAACATGATTTTTCTAGCGGTCCTTGGCTCTAGATCGCATCTACACACACACATCACTTGTGTCTAAACATCAGCAGGAGGAGCAGCAGGTTTTAAAAAATTTTACGCGCAGAGAGCGCGCAGTAAACAGCGCGTACGCGTTTACTGCGCGCTCTCTGCGCGTAATTTTTTTTTGGAGTATCTACACAGGCCGTGCGCGCAGGTCCGCGTCTTCTGATGCTGTCCCTGTGTAGTCTATGGAGCAGTGCAGAGGACAGTACGGGCCAGAGGACTGATGTAGAGCAACACAAATCACATGCATGTGTTTGTCCTCATGGTCTCTGTGCGCTGGTTTGGCCAGACGCGAGACTTTATGAAAGAAAAAATCCGATGTCCAGAATCACTGTAAAACCTGCTGCTCCTCCTGCTGATGTTTAGACACAAGTGCTGTGTGTGTAGATGCGATCTAGAGCCAAGGACCGCTAGAAAAATCATGTTTTACATGAGATTTCAATGGGAGACGCGTTGGTGCGCGCACAAAATTAGAAATCCATCCTAAATTAGAGCGCAGCTTCGCGTCATACGTCCGTCATACGCGTGTATAACGCTAGAAGTGTAAATATCATCATAGGTTAACATGGAAAAAAGTTACGCGCGTCTGCTGCGCGTATAACGCGTACGTGCTGTAACGCGCGATGTGTAAATTAGCAGTTAGAACTCACTGTAACCTAAAACAGCTCGACCTCAGCTGACAGAGAACCTGACAGAGAACCTACAGCTTTCATAAAGATCGGATTTTGTGGGGATTTTAGTGTCCCTTATCATCCTGAACTTTTTGTATTCTTAAATCCTTCGGTTTTCTTTAAATCCACACTTTACTGCCAAAAACTCCTTGCCTTCCCGCTCTGGCTACGCTCTGCTGCTGCTCTGATGAGCAGCTCTGATTGGTCAGAGCGCGGCCGAGCCCCTTTGTGCACGTGCATGAAAGCCACACACTCGTATTTGGCGTAACGCATATCATGGGAGATGAAACTGTGCAGAAACGAGAGGACCAGACGATTCCCAAATATAGGCGAGTTCTGCTAATCTCCCGGTCTCCATTAAGTCCCATGCGCTACTGAGCACAAGCCATTCATTTGAATAGGGCGCCATCTTGGATCACCGGGACTTGATGGAACCGCCAAACTATCAGAGGATTTTGGAATGTAAGAACCGGTTAGACCTGTCTATGCTAGCCTGGTCTTAACCGTCCGTAAACTCCGGTCAATTATCATTTCCTTCATGTACGTCTGTTTTTTGTAAATTTATTTATGTTTATTTGAGCATAGAATATTTTTATTTTTAAAGGGTCTGATCCTAGTGGCTGCAGTTTCCTCGGTTGAATCTCCTCCGACCAATCAGTGAGCGGAGGAGGCGGGTGATGTAGGTAGATGTTGGTGATGACAAGAGTTTGCGCCGTATTTGCTGGCTGTGGTTTGTCGGCAAATGCAATAGTAACGTAATCCCTTCTGGTTCGGCTCCAAATATCAAGAAATTGAAGCCGGAGCAAGAGGAATGTTTGGCAAGTTTCATTGCTGCAAAGATGTTGTGACTCAACTCCCCACGGGGTCCGTTAGTGGCAAAGGAGATGGCTAAATCTAGGCTAATGCTAAGGCTATGTTAGAAAATAAGTCATCATTGTATATAGCCAATTCCTTCAGTTTATGACATAGTATTTTTTTGTGCTTTAAAAGTTAGATACACCAGCTTTAAATTCTCATCTTGTCTCACTCTGATTTTTGCCTCTCAATCTAGCTGTGTGTATTTCGTTCTGCATTTCTGGACTTTGACTGTATTTTTTATATCTTGTGTTTCTGTGTTTTTATATATCCCCATGGCGCTCCATCTGCAAATGAAGTTCCTCACGTATACATAAAGTTATTTGAATTGAATTGAATAGAATTGAAAGCTGTAAATGTGCTTTACTGAGACATTCGGCACTATCCTCTCACCTCCTCTCCGTGCTGGTGTGTGTGGGAGGCTGCTGCCCACTGCTTCATCCACACTTTGAATTTCACATCACGTTTTTTGATGCTTGATATTTATATGACTTGCAAATTTGATCCATTACGCTTCTACAAAGTGTTTCGGGAGGATTTCAGAAAGCTGTGTTCAAAGCTCACATTAGGACCATATGGTTCAGACCCCCCCAGTCGTGTCTCGCAGTCGTGGAGAATGAATAATTAAAGATGCCGCCTCTTTAGATGTGATTTTTTAAATAATCTGACGCATAACTTCTCAATTCAGTTCAATCCAGTGTATTTTTGTATTTCCCTAAATCACATCAGTATTTATCTCAGAGGACTTTACAAAGCTGTGGATTCGCCCACACAGATCAGAGAATCAAGCACAGGAAACACAATGGTACAGAGTATGTCGTCTTCTGATATCCACGGATTAAAATCAAAAAGTATTTGCTGTGTGAGAACAAAACCTTCAGACAGGCTATTGGTCACTTAACTTACTGCAAATGACAGATTACCCAAGATCGATAAATGAATTGATAGTTTGAGTAGAAGAAGAGGAGGAGGAAGAAGAAGAAGAAGAGGAAGAAGAAGAGGAGGAGGAGGGAGGAGGAGGAGGGAGGAGGAGGAGGATGAGGAAGAGGAGGAAGAAGAAGAGGAGGAAGAAGAAGAAGAGGAGGAAGAAGAAGAAGAGGAAGAAGAAGAGGAGGAAGGAGAAGAAGAAGAGGAAGAAGAAAAAGAAAAAGAGGAAGAAGAAGAAGAAAAAGAGGAAGAAGAAGAGGAGGAAGAAGAAGAAGAAGAGGAGGAAGAAGAAGAAGAGGAGGAAGAAGAGGAAGAAGAAGAAGAAGAGGAAGAAGAAGAAGAGGAGGAAGAAGAAGAGGAAGAAGAAGAAGAGGAACAAGAGGAGGAAGAAGAAGAAGAAGAGGAAAAAGAAGAGGAAGAAGAGGAGGAAGAAGAAGAAGAGGAAGAAGAAGAAGAGGAAGAAGAAGAGGAAGAAGAAGAGGAGGAAGAAGAAGAAGAAGAGGAGGAGGGAGGAAAGAGAAGAAGTAGAAGAAGAAGAAGGAGGAGGGGGGAGGAAGAAGAAGAAGAGAAGGAGGAGGAGGAGGGAGAGGAAGAAGAAGAATAAGAACCATCCCACAATGGGGAAATTTCAGTTCTGATGAATATACACATAAACATCAAGGCATGCAGTGAACATTACTTCCACGCTCCTTATGGGAAAAGTGGGTTAAGTGTCTTGCCCAAAGGCACAACGACAGCGGACATCAGTGGGAGTCGGTGGTCGGTGGAGAAGGGGTTTTTTGTGGTGGGCTCGAATCCCCGACCTTCTGGCTCAAAGGCCAATGCTCTACCAACTGAGCCACTGTCGGGAAGTTACGAGATGCCCTTGAAAGCATCCGGGACCAAAACAAATCATTTCATTCTCAGACAATTTTTGAACGTACTCCATATTCTCATGTTTTGTAAATCCACTGAGTTTGACCGATGCCCGATCCCTAATGCTGTAAACGTTTGGTCAAAAGGAAACTTGCCTCTCTCTCTCTCTGCATTCTGAGTTTAAACAGATTAAAAACAACGACAGGGAGATGCTAATACGGATAAGCAGCACGAACTAATCCTCCGAGACCAGAACCGTCATTTTTAAGTCTCACAGATTGAGAAAGTAAGTATTTTTTTCAAACTTATATTTTTCCTACAGCGTTACATAAGACGAGACAAGATACAGAAGATCAGAAAACTACAGCAATGTGACATAAACTATATCTTACAAACACAGTTATTAATTAAACAAATATAGAATCACATAGAATAAACGGCCCCAAATAAAATAAAATAAACGGGTGTCTCGAAAGGATTGGTTTGAAAATTGTTAATTTGCAGTGGATCAGAAAATCAATTAAATCAATTAAAGCTGGGGTTCCTAACTTTTTATGCTGTTTTTTAAAAATAATTTTAGCTTTTTATGTCTTTTTTTACTATTTGTGCACATTTCCTGACTATTTGTACACCCTGAGTGATATTATTATTACTATCATTATATTATGACTTATTGAGGCCAAATTTCTGACATTTTTTTTGTTTGAATGCCCTTACTTTTTACTCTTACTCTTGAGCCAAGGCAAATTCAGAGTTTGTGACTTCCTGTTACTTACAATGGCAATAACTCTGATTCAGAATAAAGTTTTATCTTATCTTATTTTTCCAAGTTTGTCACAGAAAGAACAGAACAGAAAGAGTCGTGTAAAAGTGTAAATGTGGTGAGCAAATCCGGAACATGCCGTCTTAATCTTATCAGTAAACAAGTTATTATTGTGTCAGAAAGAGTGACTCACTATTTGATGCTTTGGGCTGAGAGCTGATTGGCTGAGTGAGGGCGGTTCTGTCTTTTTAACCAAACACGTGACAAATACATGTTAGAGAAGAACTTCAGAAATTAGATGGATTCCATAATCTTAGTTATAAAAAATTATGGGTTAAAAGTTGAAACTCCAGATTTAAAACCAATGTTACGGTTTCCAAATGTGTTTTGTCTGCACACTTTATAAATAATCTAATATTTACTTATTTTCTCTGTCGTTCTCCTGTTTTGCCACAATTTTTTAATTTTTCTCTTTCCCTTTAGATGAAAAAAAAAAAAAAAAAGTTCTATTCTATTCTAACTATAGAAGTGTTTGAATCAGGACTTACATGATCTCTCTCTCTCTATGTACAGTATTTATGTATATTATATATAAAAGTACATGTATACAACTGTATATACATGTACTTCTAGATTACATTCACTTTTAAGTTGTCTATTTTTCAAATGTTTAAGTACATCCCAAACTCTGACCTGATAATGAAGAAGAAAAAAACATTGATATTTTGTTGAGGCGACACCAAGGGGCTGTTGAGTGACAGAAAACAGATTATAAATCTTTTGTTGTGTTTGGAGAGGATGCTTTCTGCGGGTTCTTGAAACACAGAGAGAGGAGCGGGTTTATTTGTGTTTGTTTCGATTACATGCTTCAGATTTACATGTAAAAAGAGCTGTGAGCAGTGGGGCCTCTTTCCTTTATGTGACGCTGGGCCCGGGGTTTGGCTCTCATCACTTCCTGTCTCCCGTCCAATCAGCAGCAGGCGTCCATTAGTGCTCTTTCAGGGTTAATGGTGTGAAAGAGTCGTCCGGGCGGCGGGGGAAAGGTCACTGCTCTTCACCGCTACATTACAGCAGCTGTCCGACTGACGCCTCCAGCACCAGGCGGATAACGAGCAAGTGTTGAGTCGAGTGGCTCAAGAAAAAGGAAAAACAAAAATATATACATTAAATATATTTATGTTTTTAATTCATTTAAAGCCACATTGGAAAAATTATGCAAAAAATACCCAGTGTGGACATTAGACAACTAAACCTGATGTTGATTTTTAAGGTCTTTTCTGATAATTAATTTATTGGCCATTTTGTCAGACCTCTGTCAGACTTCTGGAAGCTAAGCAGGGCAGGGTCTGGTCAGTACTATGATGGGGAACTTCTGGGAACACCAGGTGGTACAGTGGGGCGGCTGCGGCCAAGACACTTCGCCCAGCTTGCCTGGAATGAGTGTGGTTCTTCATGTGTTTCAACTGTTGATTCTCTGACCTGTGTTGGTGATTTCAATGGTTTTGTTAAGTCCTCTGAGATGACTTCTGTTGTGACCTAGGGCTATACAAGAATAAATTGTATTGTATTGTATTGTATTGTATTGTGTGTGTGTGTGTGTGTGTGTGTGTAAATGGTTGGGGGTGGTGGGAGGGGCTGATGGCATAGAATAGTGGCCTCGCTTCTGTCAGTGTGCCCCAGGGCAGCTGTGGCTACAGTAGTAGGTCATCATCACCGTGTATGGGGTGAATGAATAATGACATGTGAAGCATCTTTTAGTGTCCAAACCCACATAGATTGGTATTTCCATATGTTCATATTTTGTATTCATTTCATTTCCTTTGTTTTTGCATATTTCTTATATTTAGATGTTTTGTCTCATTTTCTGTGCAGCACTTTTTCCATTTGTTTTATTATTTAATTTTTTTATCACAGGTCATGGACTTTATTGAGTCTTTGTATCAGAGAGAGTGACACAGCTGGTCCCAGGGCAGCACATGGGGGAGAGGTGAGAGGGGGGGGGGGCATTGTTACCCCATTTTTAAGACATCTGCTGCTATTGGTTCCCACCCCCATCATTAACTGCTTCAAAAACACACAAAAAACACATGTAGTATTTGAACTTTTGTAAACGTCTGAACATGGAGGGTCTCTTCACGAATCGGAAGTGATCCAGGATCCAGGACCCCCGACATTCAACGACATTTATTGACTTTATCAACATACACAGACATTAGTCATTTGCCGCTTATTGTGTAGTCTTCATTTCAGAATACTATACAAATTCATATGGTAAAATATCAAATATCAATCAATAACTCAAAATTAGCAATAATTCAGTGTCATACAGCCAACTTCAGCACATGTTTAGTTCAGGCAGTTCTGTTATACATTCTTATCGTCGAAAGGAACAAAATATAAAATTATGGACATTTATGGACAGTGGCAGCCCGCTCCCTATGGACCAATGGCATGTGTTTGTTATTATTGCATTTCCGTTTGATTCTCTGATCTGTTGTTAAGGAATCGACAGATTTGTATAGTCCTTTATGCAGACTGCTGTTGTGATTTAGGGCTATAGAAAAAGAAATATGATTACAATTGAATTGAAAATTCATTTTTCATTGTTTTCAAAGTCGTTGAATAATTCTCTTTGCGATCATGCAACCACTAACTAGCCATTTAAATTCGACTGTGATTAAACGTGGAGTCCTATGGGGGAATGGCCAGTGGATATTTTTGGAAAGATATACCACAGAAATCACCTCATCATGATTTCTTTAGTTTAGACTCTATAGGTCCACACTAGCACAAAATCTCACACACATCGAAAGACAAGACACACATAAAAAAAAATCCAGCTATATCAGTGTCTCTCAAATATTGACCAGTCCATTGGCTCTAAAAAAAAAGTGAATCAGCTGAGAGTTTATGAATCTCTGTCTCCCTCTTGTGGCCTCTGGCGGCTCCTGCGTCTGGGGAGTGACAGTGTGAGAGAAGCCCAGACTCAGCAGCTCTGTACATTGTGTTTGAGCCACACCCTCGCGTAGTAGCCGCACTCGCCGCGGTCACATCTGGAAGCAATCCTCAACGTCTGGCCCCCCTCGCCCTGGTCCAACTTTTGCCGTGCTTCTCAAACTGCCGTGCCGGGTCCTGAGTAGAGATTTGTTGGCTCGGATTTAGTTTGAATTGCGGTTTTTCTCGTACTTGTCGAGCGATGATGTTGGAGGTACTTTCAGGATAAATGTCTTGTATAAAGGAGTGTTACAGTTTATATATTGAGACTTAAAGTAGCAATTTTCATGTCAAGTCATCATTAAATGGCTCTAATCTGTCAAAAGGCAATAATAAACCATGCTCTTTTCCAATATTTTAACTGATAACAGCAGTAGAACTCACAGTGTCAAGCTAATCTCACTGGTAAAGTACCATGTGGCCACAGAACAGGGAATAAAGGAATAAAACTAGGATTTCTATCTGGGCCATCGTGAAAAAGGTTTTGGTTTCAGATATTATGGTCCCAGCTGGATTCGTCTGCATATCTGGCAACCTGAGTCTGGGAGAGTGAGAGAGATTGCAGTACCACTTTTGGCATACATACATACTGCTTCTTACTTACTTCCAATGACAAGTCTCTTCGTCTCAAGATCCCAGGATCAGCTGCAACCGACGGAACTCAAACCTTTGGAGGCATTATTATGGATTCAGTTGCATTTATAAAGTGCCTGTGATGACACCAAAGTGGTATTGATGGGTTTCTGACGGAGAGTTTTGGGGAAAATGGCGTCAAACTGCAAATTCGCCAACAACAGAAAATCATACAAGAATTTATAAAACAATACTTTTGGATAGAACATGAGACGGAAGAAAGAAACGGAGGAAAAACCAATTCATTTTTCACTTCACTACAGATTTCAGGTTCATTGAACTTAGTGTGTACCTTTGTGACTTTCCAGGAAGCTCTGTAAAGATAATAAATTAGGTTTTGTATGTTATGAACAAAAATACAGAGAGAAAACAGTTTGAAAGATATATTTTACAGCTAAAACTTGAAAGAGGTGTGAAGAGTGTTTTTTTTTTTTTTAAACCCTGTAGAATAAGCCTGATAGATGCAGTCAGTGAGTTTTTCCAGACGCATTTTTTTTTTTAATATTGTGGGAAATGTCCTTAAACCGTAAAAGTAGTCAAGTTATCATGTGTTTTCAAATAGTAATGGAATTGACCAGATGTCTATAGTCTCCAAAAATTAATAAAAAATATTTTGGAGCGGACCGATACAAAAAAACCCAATGGGATTCGTTCATCCCCAACGAACCAATGGGATGCTTTTACCCTCCTTCCCCCTCTTCCTGTTTCTCGCAAGTGCGCCTGAGTTATCGGATTTTCTAAAACCTAAAATGGCTGAACAGAAAATGCCAATTTCACGTTTACCGCCCACTCTCCCTGTTGTGACAAAGAAATGAAAATGCTGGACGTTTGGTTTGGTGGAGTGGCGAGGGGAGGGGGGAGTGGTTTCTAGTTGTTGCTACGGCTAAGCTAACAACATCACTTACTGCACCTTTAATAATATAAATATTTGCACTGCATGAATGACATTGGCTTGTTTACTTATAGCCAACTTGATGTCTGAGTTGGCTTCTCTCCACTGTGACTTTGTAAAATCTGGCAACAATGACATTCAGGTCCATCTCCACAAGCCTGAACCTGCCGCTCTCTGTGCTGTTTGTTCCGAGCCTCTTTCAGGCCTGTTTTAACACGTTTTGGATTAAAGAAGAAATATGATGCGTTATGTGTGCAATGTTGAAGTTTAAATATAACGTAGAGACTATTTACTTTAGCATTTCATGTGAATCACAACAACTGGACACATTTTGCTCAGAAAAAACGACCGCAATTTTTTATCCAAAGTTAAACCCATATTCAGTAATAGTAAAAAATCTCAGAAATATCTCTATCATCCCTTAATTATCGTTTTTAAAGTAATAATGCATCGGTTATATATTGCGTCATTATTCGGTCACTTCATACGCAGTGGTGATAAACAACTACTGTGGCCACAGCTGCCCTGGGGCACACTGACAGAAGCGAGGCAACCAGTCTGTGCCATCGGCCCCTCCCACCACCACCAACCATTCACACACACACCAGACTCATTCTAATGTGGGTGAAGTGTCTTGCCTTAGCACACAACGACAGCAGACATCAGTGGGAGTCAGTGGAGAAGGTCTCGTGGTAGACCGAAGACCGGACCCTGACTGTCCTACGTCATCCCTCAGACTTCTCAGCAGGATCTGGAGGGCCACTGTGTCAAAGGCTGAGGACAGATGGAAAAGAGTCATCAGACATCAGGAGGTCACTTTCAGTAAGACCGTCTCTGTAAAGTGGTGTTTACGGAAACCAGACTGAAACGTCTCACGGATGTCGTTATGATCCTGGAATAATGACAGCTGATCAGAAACCACCTCCTCTAAGATCTTGGACAAGAATAATAATATCACATGTGTTGTGGAGATGATCATTATAAATGTATAGCACAAGACGAGCCACGGCACCACCAGTCACAGATAAGATAAGATAACATAGACTTTATGGATCTCACACTGGAGAAATTTACATGTCACATTTGCCATAGATACAGAAGTGTGCAACATGTTAAAGGTAAAAAATAGGTTTAAAAAAAAAATGCATCTTGGAATATGGCGGAATAGTAAAAATATATACTGCGTTTATTCTTATAATAATTCATTTCTGCATGGCATAAGATAAGATATGATGACATGGTCAAAGAGTCAGAAACAAAGATTTTGAACAACATTGGTCCAACTCAAAAGTTTTCCACACGTATAGTAAGTAAGTAAGTAAGTAAGCTTTATTTATATACCACCTTTCACAGACCAGAGTCACAAAGCGGTTTACAATTGTTATTTTTTGGGCACTTGTCCACTCACTCCACACAGAGACAGGAGTGGGGTCGCCGAACAGGAGGCGCATGCCAGACCTATTGTACATATTTTTAGTGGTAGGGGAAACCGGAGTACCCGGAGGAAACCTACGCAGACACAGGGAGAACATGCAAACTCCACTCAGAAAGGCCCTGGTCCGGCTGGGATTCGAACCCAGGACCTTCTTGCTGAGAGGCGAGAGTGCTATCCACTCAGCCACCGTGCCGCCCATATATGTATATTCAGTTCCAAACAAATAGTGGGGAAAGCCGAAATCCTGTAAAAACTGTTTAAAATGTTTTTCTTAGATTCTGTCTATTTTTCCTCCCTGCCTCCTCTTTCCTCAAGTTTTATTTTTAGTGGACACATCTGGGGGAGGAAGCCGGGCCGAATGAATGAGTTTCTTTAAGACCTTTCCGTCCCCACTATAGAGTTTCCTCCCTCAAATTGCCAAACCCCTGGTCTCCCTCAAACACACACACACAGGGTCCATGTGCTCCCCACTCTGCCAATGAGAATTCCTCTATACCTGTCTGAACACAGTAGCAGCGCTGTAGGGCAAAGAGGGCGCGAAGAGGAGAGAAAAAAGAAAAAAAATAAGTGACGGGAAGACGAGTGGGAGGAACGCAGCAGTGAAAGTTCAGACGGAGAATAGTTTGGGTTAAATATATCGGCTGGATTGTTGAAATGGACGCAATCATGCTGCAGGAGAAACTAGTTGAACGGCTACTGTGCCCGCGAGTCAGGACGGCCAGGCAGAAGGTAAAGCAATGGACAGACAAGCTCAAGGGTTTTACGACGGTTTTAAAGCTGTTTAGGGAATATTTTCATGTCATAGATTGTCATTTTTGACTTTTAGAGAGCTATGTACGCAACATAATTTTACACTACAGACAAAGAGACATCTATAAAGACATTTTGATATGGATATTTTAGCATTTACAGCTAGCTAAGAAACATAGCAGCTACTTATATTGTATTTTTTGTGTGCTCCCTTTGTGCTCTTACTGCTATGTGCGCTGCAACATTGAAATTTCCCCACTGTGGGATGAATAAAAGTTCTTATCTTAATTTATATTGGGTCCATAGATATAGATAGTATCGGTGATGACCCATTTAGCAGTATTTATGGACATTGGTCTCTGCTTGTTATGAACCAATGGCTCTATGTGTTTTTTATAATTGCATTTCCGGTGTTTGTACTTTTTGATTCTCTGATCTGTTGTTGTAAAGTCCTCTGAGATGTTATGATTTAAGGCTATGCAATAATAAGTAGAATCAAATTGAAAATTGTTGTTTTGCCTGGAATGTACCACAGTTTGGTATTTACTTTCTCTGCTGTGGTCAGATCTGCGGAGAGGCAAGCCGAACCGAGTGTAAGAATTCAGGTTTTTGTTGAAACATCTGTAATAAGTTGCATTCCTAAGAGCCAATAGTTTCACATTGTGGTGGAGGGAAGCTGGTCACTATGGTAACTGTCAAAAGTCAGATTTCTGGTCTTAGTTTGGAGCTGATTTCTCTGTCATTCTTGAGCCAATCGACATAAAACAAAAACCATATCAGCACATATCAACCATGGTCTTATTAATTTTCTATGTCTAGAAGTGGTGACAGTTTTCAAAAGTATGCATCATGTTGAGCAAGACCATAAAAATGTATGAATACTATGCAACTGTGTGACACTAATCCCTACCAAAAAACATTGTTCTTTTTTTGTTTTGTTCTTAAATCGTTCAAAGATTTCTCATTTCCCACAAAGTCTCACTCGCACCTGCCCGGAATACTGTAATAGAATTCTACCCATTGAATATTGTATAGAAGTATTATACCGTACTACATTTCACGGAAAGAAATAACACAACCAAGTCAGTCTTAATGAAATAGCTGTAAATCCATTTAGTATTTTTTGATATTTATTTAGTTACTTTATGACACTATTATGATTCAATTCAATGTATTCCTGTATAGCCCTAATCACAACAGTAGTTATCTCAGAGGACTTAACAAAACCGTTGAAATCGCCAACACCGACCAGTGAATCAAACCGTTCTAACACAAAGAATAGAGAACACATTGGTATTGGTCCAGGGGGGGAGTTGACCAATGTCCATAAATGTTGACAAATGTTGAGTGTCCTGGACCATCACCACAGTCCTTTTAGTAGTTAGACCCTCCAACAGTCGAACAGATGTTTCTCCAAGTCACAAGTAAAACTCTGATTTAATAAATTCCAAATAAGCGTCAGAGGCGGTGTTTGACCTTGGAATGAGACACACTACGAAGACACGCAATCCATGTTACTGAATGAGTGGTGCCTTTTCTTTTCATTTTAATTTTTTTGGTAGGTTTTGTTGTGGGACCATGGACCTTGGCATGGAGCAATCCTTATGTCAGTCGGTTCACAGATGGCAGGATGATGCACATGCCCAATCTATACTACTAGTTATATTCACCAGTTTTTAAATATAAGAACATTTTTGGTCACACTTTAGTTCAGCCCTCACTAAGTAACAGCTAATAAAGTGCTGTATTTTACACATTAGGCCTTTCTTTCTATTTATCAATTCTTTGCACACTGTAAAAACCTATGTGACCGTGCCCTTAAACCTGCTGTCACGTTGCCTCTGCCTCAGGGACTACGGATGAAAATTAGCTTGTTGCTATGTCCGGCCTGAACAATGCGTTTATTGTGCAATACCCCTGTCAAATAAACATATGAATAAAAAATAAAATAAAACAATGTGTATAATCTATTGTTAATTAGCTCTTAATTGGCACGTTTTAGTTCAGATAAGATAAGAGTTCCTTTATTGGTCCCACAGTGGAGAAATGTCAATGTTGCAGCGCGCAGACAGGACAGTGGTAAGAGCACACAGGGAGCACACTAAAAATATACAAAATAAGTAGTAGCTATGTTTCTTAGCTAGCTGTAAATGCTTCAATACCAGTCTTTCAAAATAAAATATATATATGTAGTAGTGCGGAGTTAGAATACTGTACATATAGGGCTGGGTAATAAGTAGACAAAGTAAAGTGACATTGATCAGTGACATTCTGAAGTTGCAGTATTTCACATTCCACATGATTTTTGTATTTACTTTTACAGATGAATGACATTTACAGGCTCAGCAGTTCTCATTGTACAGTCTGACAGCAATAGTTCTTTTTCAATATCTAACTAATTACTAACAGACACTCTCCCATGTGGGTTAGTGCTAAGGCTAAGGTTAGGGTTAGGGTTAGTGCTAGGGCTAAGGTTAGGGTTAGTGCTCGGGCTAAGGTTAGGGTTAGGGTTAGTGCTAAGGTTAGGGTTAGGGTTAGTGCTAGGGCTAAGGTTAGGGTTAGGGTTAGTGCTAAGGTTAGGGTTAGTGCTCGGGCTAAGGTTAGGGTTAGGGTTAGTGCTAAGGTTAGGGTTAGGGTTAGTGCTTGGGCTAAGGTTAGGGTTAGGGTTAGTGCTAAGGTTAGGGTTAGTGCTCGGGCTAAGGTTAGGGTTAGGGTTAGTGCTAAGGTTAGGGTTAGGGTTAGTGCTAAGGTTAGGGTTAGGGTTAGTGCTAGGGCTAAGGTTAGGGTTAGGGTTAGTGCTAAGGTTAGGGTTAGGGTTAGTGCTCGGGCTAAGGTTAGGGTTAGTACTCGGGCTAAGGTTAGGGTTAGGGTTAGTGCTCGGGCTAAGGTTAGGGTTAGTGCTCGGGCTAAGGTTAGGGTTAGGGTTAGTGCTCGGGCTAAGGTTAGGGTTAGTGCTCGGGCTAAGGTTAGGGTTAGGGTTAGTGCTAGGGCTAAGGTTAGAGTTAGTGCTAGGGCTAAGGTTAGGGTTAGGGTTAGTGCTCGGGCTAAGGTTAGGGTTAGTGCTAGGGCTAAGGTTAGGGTTAGGGTTAGTGCTCGGGCTAAGGTTAGGGTTAGTGCTAGGGCTAAGGTTAGGGTTAGGGTTAGTGCTCGGGCTAAGGTTAGGGTTAGTGCTAGGGCTAAGGTTAGGGTTAGGGTTAGTGCTAGGGCTAAGGTTAGGGTTAGGGTTAGTGCTCGGGCTAAGGTTAGGGTTAGTGCTAGGGCTAAGGTTAGGGTTAGGGTTAGTGCTCGGGCTAAGGTTAGGGTTAGTGCTCGGGCTAAGGTTAGGGTTAGGGTTAGTACTCGGGCTAAGGTTTGGGCTAGTGCTAGGGTACACTAATTAGCACTTAGTTAGGTGTTAATTAGTTAGGGCTAATCTTAAGTGTTACTAAATATTTTGACAGAATTTCTCAGAATTCCATTGGTTTGAAGGGGAGCGGTCAAAATGAGGAGTACCAGTAGTTTCATAATTCTGGGAGTACTAGTGTTGAGAATGTATATGAATCACTCATCATGAATCAGAAAACAAGGACACTGAGAGTGACTTGGCAAAGAAAATATGTACTACTGAGTCCCTCACTAAGTGTCTATATTTATTCTCTTGGGCTAAAGACACTTCTCTGCGTGATAACAGACGTACAGCTCTCTCAGTGTCTTCTCTGTTAGTTTTGGCGTCCCATATTCAGCCTCTTCCCCGTCTGTTTCCAGGGCATATGTGCAGTTGTCACTCTCCTTTCTCTGGTCACATTGTGTGTTATGTTTGTACAAATCCTCGCTCTCTCGGCTCGTCGGAAATGCCAGTGACAGTTCTGACAGCCGGGCGCGGGATGCTCCCAGCGCCGGCCCGAGTATGAAAGAGCTTTTCAAGAGCCTCAGTGGAAATGAATGACCTCAGCTCAAACAGAAACGGCAGAAACGCTCAGAGGAATGCTCCTACGCGGATGCATTTTAGCTAATTGACTGCGGTTTCTTGTCCTCTTTACAAAATTAGCATGCTAGGTGACGTTCATATGTTTGTTGCAGTAGGTCTGGGCATTGTTCCAGATTTACCAATGAGATTTGTACCATATTGTTATTATGATTATTACTGTAGTGATTATTTGTCCATATCCAAACCAGAACAAATCAAAAGGCCACTTAAGGCGTTTTCAGGTTGGCTTTATGCAGTGTAGATAATCTGCCCTGCTACATGTCTATTGTGTGTATTTATATATTAGAATTGTATTGGGATTTTGTATTCCATCCTTTATATCTACTGTTTTTCACTTTTTTACATTAAGTCTGCACCATTTAACAAAGCAAATTCCTAGTTTATGACTTCCTGTTACTAACAATGGCAATGAAAATAATTTGGATTCAGATTTTGAACTCTTATGAGCCACAAAAGGACATTTATAGACATTGGTCATCTGCCGCTTATGGACCAATGGGTCTTCGTGTTTTTTTATAATTTGTTTGAACTGCTTAATTCTCTGATCCGTGTTGGCAAATTGACAACTTAAAGTAAAGTTCTCTGAGATAACTGCTGTTGTTATTTAAGGCTATACGAAAATACATTGAATTGAATCACAAGAAGCCGTCAAAATGCAGACACAAAATACATTAAATCCAACTGGCCAAAAGCAATAACGGCTACACAAAAAAGAAGAAAAAACAAAAATCTACTTATGTTGACGTAAACCCTGGCTGTTTTTAGTGGAACCTCTTAAAACAGGTTATTCTCAGTCCGCGCATGTGTTTTCCATGGTCTTTCCTCTGGTGTGGTTTCTCAAAGGCTGCAGCGTCATTAAAAGTCCAGCCCATTGGACAAATATCTCGTAACTTCTATTTCAGTAGAATTTGCTCCATGCAGACTTAAGCAGGCAGTTTGAATGGGACCGTTTTATTGATGGCGTCTCTATAGTTTTTGTTTTTGTTTTTTACGAGGTTGTTTTATTTTATTGTGTGTTGTCTGCTGTGTTACAGGAGAAACAGTATGTGGGATTCGCAACGCTGCCAAACCAAGTGCACCGGAAGTCTGTGAAGAAAGGTTTCGACTTCACGCTGATGGTGGCAGGTCAGACGTTAGCTTTAGTTTGTGAGCAGCTGTGGCGACTGTTAAAGCTGGGGTGTGTAACTTTTCTGTAAGGGGTGGAATGGCGCCTTGACATTGGAGAAAAAACCCAAAAAATGTGACTAAAAATAAAATATGAACAGTGATCATTCAAGATAACAGACAAGTGTTTTATCCAATCGCATACAAGGATTTTTTTTACACGGCCCCAACTTCTGAAATGTATCCGCTCTGAAGCAGACCCAGACCCATGTGAGAAGCGCAGCGAACTACAACGGTCTGGCGAGAGTCAGGATACTAGTAGCATGGATTGTATGACCTTTTGAGGTTTGAAAGTTAGGTACCCCAGCTTTAATATAGTTTAGTTTAGTCTACAATCTGCTATGTCTACTCACTGATGTGTGTGTTTCAGGGGAGTCTGGGATGGGGAAGTCCACTCTCGTCAACAGCCTGTTCCTCACGGATCTTTACAAAGACAGAAAGTTGCTAAACGCTGAAGGTGAGTTTTAAAACACAAACACCGGACATCTGCGGCTTCTATTCAAACATTTACTTTTCCGAAGTCCACCTGCGCAAAACCAGCATTACACAGGTTTAAACCACGGACACTAGACCTGAAACCACTTCTGCAGCACTTTAGGGCACGCAACCTATAAATAGAGATATCTGGTTAATAGTTATAGTAATATGTGATAAGGATTTTAAAGATTCCCCAGAAACTATCATCTATTTTGTATCAATAAAAGAAGTAGAAGCAGAAGAAACATTAACATTTTAGCATAGAAAATCAATGAATAGAGTAGTAGCTTATAGTGTAGAATATAAGCAAGAGGTGTGTGTCTGAATTATGTTGCAAAAAGTTTGAAAATACAAATTACAGAAACTTTTTTATCAATTATATCTGTGAACTTCTTTCCTCAACCTTTATGCTGGTCTAGATTATTAGGACAGAATAAAGCCCCGTTTCCACCGGCCCTACTCGGCTCCTCTCGACCTGGTTGTGTTTCCATTAACGCTTCAGTATCTGGTACTGCATCCTAGCAACCTACCCACAACAAACCAGTATCCATGGAAATTCTGTGATAACCATGGTTTCACCCGGGCCAATCATGGTCAGTTAGAACACTTTAGTACCGCTTGGTCTGGATAGAACCAGGCTCAAGAGGGGCTAAAAAAGTACCTGATACGGCATAAACAAGACCGATGGAAGTGCTCCAAATTGGGATAGAGTAGTGTAGAGCAGAGTAGAGTAGAGCAGAGCAGAGTAGTGTAGGGTAGAGTGGAGTAGGGTAGAGTAGGGTAGAGTAGAGTAGGGTAGGGTAGAGTGGAGTAGGGTAGAGTTGAGTAGGGTAGAGTGGAGTAGGGTAAAGTAGGGTAGAGTAGAGTAGGGTAGGGTAGGGTAGGGTAGAGCAGAGTAGGGTAGAGTAGAGTAGGCTAGGGCCAAGTAGGGCTGGTGGAAATGGGGCTTTAGTGTCACCATCAGATGCATGTCTCCAGTGGTACGTATGCCACATGTTGAGAACCACAGTGTGTGCTGCTGCGATGGATCTATAATAATATCTGGATAGGGTATCACTAGGTTATAGCTGTCCCACCCATGGGCACAGGGGGCGCCAAGGTACTGCAGACTAAATTCACCTGGGCTTCCCGGAAAAATGTCCGATAAAACTCAATGTAAACTAAAACAGCTCGACCTCAGCTGACAGAGAACCTGACAGAGAACCTACAGCTTTCACAAAGGTCGGATTTTGTGGGGATTTTAGTGTCCCTTGTCTTCCTGAACTTTGTTTCTTCTTAAATTCTTAAGTTTTCTTTAAATCCACACTTTACTGCCACAATCTCTGCTTGTTTCTTCCCGCTCTAACTAGCTTCCAGCTGAAACTTGGAATAGTCTTCTTGAAAACATGAGACAGGCTTCTAATCCAGGTTAAAAACAGTTGAGTCTAGCTGTGCATACAACTGGAGGATTGTGTCTTTTTTATTAATCATGATTTTATTGTTTCTTTTCTTGCTTCGTTCAGCACTTTACTTGTGTAATCTGTGCTATACAAAAAAAACTCTCCTTGCCTCTGTCCAGAGCGCATCAATCAGACGGTGGAGATCATCAAACACACGGTGGACATCGAGGAGAAGGGAGTGAAACTGAAGCTGACGATCGTCGACACGCCGGGGTTCGGGGACGCCGTCAACAACAACGAGTGGTGAGACCGCACTCAAAGACGCCGCGTCATGTTTAGAGCTGAAATTATGAAAAGAGAATGAAAAGTTTGAATTGTAATGTTATCACCGCACCGCCCACACTGATGGACAAGTGAAACGTTTACTTATTATTTAGAATTGTTCCACCTCTTGGTATAGTGATTCCCAGCTGCCTATCAAGGATTTGAAAGAATTGCATCCAATCAGGAAGCTGGGGGGCGGGTCTAACTGGCACTTGCATTTGAAAGATGTCGCTCCATCTTCAGTAAATTCTATTATAAGCCACTACTTTGTTCAAGTTCTTTGGTCCCTCCACCTTCTATAGCTATACGGATAATTATTATTTTTTTGTCACATCAGAGTTTACAAATTATTTTCACTTCATCAAGCTTTAGCAGCAATAGGACCCACTCTGCTACATTACAACATGAAAACCTATATTTAAGTGCAGCTTACATGTGGATAGCCTGGCCTTATCCATCCGTACACTCCTGTCAATCATCATTTCACTGCATGTAACGTCTGGGTCTGGTCCATGGGTTTGCGATTACAATCGGTTGAATTCCATCCGACCAATCAGAGCGCGGGAGGCGGGTGTTGTAGTTAGATGTGGGTGACGTCAAGAGTTTGCGTCGAACGGGCAGGTTGTAGTTTGGCAATGGCAAAGAATGTGATAGTAAAGTAATCCGGTCTGGTTCTATCAAGAAATTGAAGCCGGAGCAAGAGGATTTTTTAGCAAATGTAATCGCTGGCAAAGATTGTGGCGCTACTCCCCACGGGCTCTGTTAGCGGCAAAGGAGATGGCTAGGCTAAATGCTAGCGACTCACTCGGATACATTAAATATGTCACAGTAAACTCAGATCCAATTGTTTCAATCTGCAAAAGGAGTTAACCCCGCCCACCTACTAACGGAGCTCAATTGAGCAAATCCACACCTTAGTACGAAATGTAATTTGTACTATGGTGTGGTACGTCCTGGCTAATATGTGGACAACATTGATTTTCTTTTTAAATGTTGCTAGTGTCTGTAACATTGCTGTGCCTCATAGTAACATTGTGGTAACATTAACTTAGCTGATCCTAATTTTGTTTCAAGGACTCACAAAGATATTTTTTTTTTTTATTGAAACATGTTTTATGGAAGGTAATAAAGTTAAGCCAAGATTACTCGATTAATCAAAAGTTAAAAATCTATATTTCTTGGCAAATATACAAGCCTTAGTTCTGAGTATTGTCTCTCTCCTGCAGTTGGAAGCCCATCACAGACTACATAGACCAGCAGTTTGAGCAGTACTTCAGAGACGAGAGCGGACTCAACCGGAAAAACATCCAAGACAACCGCGTGCACTGCTGCCTCTACTTCATCCCACCCTTCGGACACGGGTACAAACAATAATCCAATTCTCTTCATTCACAAAACTTCGATATTTGACAATGGATAAGACAGAATTGATTTGGTTTTGTAGTGGTATTTATCTAAGTGGCAGTAATTGTGATTTAGGGCTATCAAAAGTATCCAGTACCAGTAATAAAACTAGAAACTAATTTTTGATACGGAAAATAATGACATAAACAGGACCAAATTTGACATTCCTTGATACATTTTAATCTACAGAAGAATTTGTTACCCAGTTTTATTTTGATATATTGGTTCTTTTGAGTTTTACTTCCTGTCTGTTCAATTGATTTCCTGCTCTCCCCTTGTTTTTCATCCATTGTCTTTTTGCCCCTCTCTCTTTGTGGTTTGATCTTGGAGTTTGGCGTTCTGTTTGCAGTCCTAGACATTGTTATTTTTGGTTTTCCCACCTCATAACAATAATCGCATCTCTAACTAATGACTGTGACTTTCCCAAACTCCCTAATAAACTGTATAACGTTTCTTTCTTGTTGCTGTGTGATGTGGGAACAGGCTGCGACCGGTGGACGTGGAGTTCATGAAGGCGCTGCATGAAAAAGTGAACATCATTCCTCTTATTGCCAAAGCCGACTGCCTCACACCAAACGAAATCAAGAAGCTCAAAGACAGAGTGAGTGAGCTGCGGCTTATATAGCGATGCGGCTAATATGTGTATCTTTATTGTGGTGGAGTTGTCAGAGATGAGTTTATAGACTTCATGAGGACTTAGTATAGTTAGTATAGTATAGTATAGTAGCTATAGGACACTCGCTTAGTGTCAAAACAGATGAAGGTGAATCAGTACAGACATTGAAGCTAACGGTTAGGCTGTTAAAAAATGTGTCAATAAATTGCTGTCTATTTGCTGCATTACAACATGAAAACCTGCGGCTTATATTTAGGTGCGGCCCATATATAGACAAAATGTACTTTCTTTTCTAATGTAGCTAGAGCAGTTTTTTTATCTATTTATTTTTTGAAAACTATATTAATCAGTTTCATAGTAATTATAAGAATAACAATCTTTTATTTTAACATAGTATATAAAAACCTATTCCGTCCCCGCACCAATGGCTCTCAAGAAATAAAAGGAATTTAAAACAGATAAGTTGGTGTGGTTTATATAGAGGTGTGCCTTATAATCCAAAAAGTATGGTACTTTATTTGCCAATTTTTTCTTATAATTTGTATCTTTAGTATTGCAGATAAACATACATATAGTTTACCGTTTCAGATGTGTACATTTCACATTTATCAATTTTTTTCCAGATACGAGAGGAAATCGACAAGTTTGGGATTAAGGTGTACCAGTTCCCAGAGTGCGACTCGGACGAGGACGAAGAATTCAAACAACTCGACAAAGAGCTCAAAGTAGGAATCTTCTATGAATGAACAACACAGTACAATACAATAAAATACAAATACTCTATGCTAGTATTTGTATTATTCCCATCGTGTCATTGTTGGCATGCATACCTTTATATCTATTATTTTGACTGTTTGTGTCTGGTGTGTGCACAGGGTGTCTTTATAATTGAGTAGTGAATAATTAAAACATAAATATTCTCTTGCTCTAGGTTTCCTCCAGGTGCTCCGGTTTCGCCTACCACTTAAAACATGTACAATATCCGCTATAATCCTAGTATTTTTCCAGCCAGATTACAATTACTTTGGTTGTACCATGCATATACTGTACCTGTGTATCTATTATTTTTGACTGTTTGTGTCTACAGGATGTCTTTATAATGGAAAAAAAATTGTAAACAAATCAAGAATGACTAATTAAAACATAAATATTGTCTTGTGTGTCGTGACAGGAGTGCACCCCGTTCGCTGTGATCGGCAGCAACACAGTGGTGGAGGCGCGTGGCCAGAGAGTGCGAGGCCGTCTCTATCCCTGGGGAATCGTGGAAGGTGAAGCTAATAAAAAAAAACTAATGAGATAAATCAGATAAAAGTGCAAGCTGCGGCATGATTTTCATTAGTGATGTTTGTGTTCTCAGTGGAAAACCAGTCGCACTGTGATTTTGTGAAACTGAGGAACATGCTGATCCGTTCGCACATGCACGACCTCAAAGACGTGACGTGTGACGTGCACTACGAGAACTACAGAGCGCAGTGCATTCAGGAGATGACCAGGTGAGAAAAACGCCAACAGTATTAACAATTAAAGCTGCAAGCGGCGTTGAAAGGCCGTGGTATAGCTTTTCACACTTTTTTGTTTGTGTTTAGTTTGCAGTTGAGCTAAACACAAAGCAATGAAACAGTGACAGTGGCACAGTGGTTAGCGCTTGTGCTTCACTGTACGCCACCCCATAGTGTTTGCCTCAAAGCTGCACTAACTGACTTTGGGATTTTGAAGCAGCGGACTTGCTGGCCTCGTTCTTTCTGCTCCCCTCCCCGCACCCACAAAGCTATCGCCCCCCACTACCGCACACCCACTGTTGTTTACGGAGCTAGCGTCTCCAAATATGGATAATACATGGATATGGATTTGCACGTGGATGGCGTGACCATAGAACGATAGAACCGGGAAGCGCGGAGGAACGAGACTTTCTTTTGGATGGCTGTTTCGCTGAGTAAGCAGTAACCAGTGACGAAGACACGGAAGCTTCAGGTTAGCTCCGCCGGTTGTTGTGCTAACTCAGCCGTCTGTGCTAACGACGGTCCTGTAGATTTCTCAGGAAAGTGGGGGCTAGTGGTGCGCTGTGATTGGTCACAATCTGCGACCCCAAACACATTCTCATCCTTGTTTCATCAAAACTCGATCTAAAATATAATGTCACGCCAGCACAAACCTGCGCTACTTTTTCTTCAAAAGGACGTATATCCCAATGCACTACATGGACATGGATAGCATTTTCGTAATGAATACAAAAATAAAGTCAGTTAGTGCAGCTTTAAAGAAGAGGTGGATCAGAGCTAACTCGCAGGCTCCACAATATGGAGCTAAATGTATCCACGTTTTGTTTCCAAGAGCCAATCAGGTGCAGCTCTTGTCTCGCGCAGAACAGACTAGCTAAAGCCTTATTTGGTGATAGAAGGCCCTAGATCGGTCAAATCTCATATCTGTATTTATAAATAATAAATATTATAACATAAACACCTGGATCATAAACAGTGCTAAACAATGGATTTTAGGAATTTACTATAATGCAGTAAGAAGGTCCTGGGTTCGATTTCACCTACAGGCCTTTCTGTGTGGAGTTTGTATATTCTTTCCGTGGCTGCATAGATTTGTGGTCTGGTTTCCCCTGCCACTAAAACATGTACAATAAATGTAATCATTGAATGCAGAGACGGTGATGATTGGAGGCATCGAGGTGTGTTTAGTGTCTTGCTTCTGTCGTCAGAATGGGAATCACCGGCACGCTAAACCTTTTGGATTGTGATGTCATCTGGAGTCGTGGGGCCAAAGTCACGAAACTGTTTTATTTGCAATGACTGATCTGTCAGTGTTTGAAGAGAGGAGGGGACAATTAATAACTGCCATGTTTTCTGTCTCTTACAGTAAACTGACTCAGGACAATCGCATAGAGAGTCCGATCCCCATCCTGCCGCTGTCCACCCCCGATGTGGAAACTGAGAAACTCATCAAAATGAAAGACGAGGAGGTAATTATGACTACTTCAAGGACAAACTTAGAAATGGTCATAATTCTATCATTAATTCTATACTGTATGTGCATTTTGGTTGTGGTTAACCCATAGACTGTATATTACGAGTGGACTGACTGAGTGCTGACGTCACCCTTGTGTTAGCTTATTGCCAATCAAGCCGATTAGAGCTAACTCGAACGGGCTATTTGAGCAGGAAGGTGGAGCCGAAATTATGCAAATGTTGTTTGTAGCAACGAGCCAAGTTACACGTTAGCTAAACCTGAATTTGGTATTAGAAGGCTCTTGATTGGTCAGTTGTTCGGGCTTTTACCGTGATTTGAAAAAACATTATGACAATATAAACACTAGGATCACAGAGAGCGCTAAACAATAGATTATTGAAGCCATATGAATAGATATTGAAAAAAAATCGTCTGTGCTATTTTTGGAAAGCAGCAATTGATGACAACATTTTGCAATGTAGCATATTAGCTTCTTTGGGTTCTTAGCACATACATTAGTTAATGCATTAAACCAAAAAGTCTTCTTTTGCCATAACTATTGAACTTTTTGTTGCATATTTGTAATCGAGGGTGCTACGGGCTGAAGCTAGCGGATTTGTCCTTCAGCACACAGTCTACAGATTACCCTTATATTGTGAACTTTCTCATAAATGAACACATGTTTTTCTGCTTTCACCCATTGATTGTGTTGAAGTTTAGTTTTAAATCTCTTCTCTTGCAGCTGAAGCGGATGCAGGAGATGCTGAACAAGATGCAGCAGCAGATGCACGATAAAGAGCAGTGAGAGGAGCTTTGGCGCCCCCTACAGTCTGTGCCCAGAACTACAGGCTGTTTGGTGCTTCTGTCAAATCTGCCTGGGACAAAGACTCTATAGAGTTTTATTTATCTGATGCTATGAGCCCCATGGTTTAAAAGTCTAAACATAAATATACTTTGCTTAACGAAAGCATAATTTAAGTACTAGTATCTTATTTATTAACTCTGTGCTAAACCTATTGGATATTCAATCAGGGTAAGAACTGTGTTTGCAAAATGTTTTGTAATACATTGAATTGTGACGTTTGCATTTTAAAGTATATTTTTTATGTATTTTTTTTTGTTTTTCTTTGTGAAAAACTGTATATCATTTTATCCTTAGTAATAATGTGTATCCGTCCATGTGCCCTAATGTGCCCTTAAATTGACCACAGTGACTTTGTCAGAATCCAAACTCTGGCTGCATCCGAATTCATGAAAATATCTCCTTCCTCTTTCTTACATTTTAATTTTAGCCGCAATATTGTTAGTTTTTTTATTTATTTTTTTGAGATTTAGTCCTAACTCAAAAATTTGTTTCTGCAAATATACAACACACCCAAACAACCATCAACAGTTAAGACATCGGATAACTTTATAAAACAAAATTATAAAATGTATTATTTTTTACATCAAAGGTGGTATTAGTGGCATTTAGGAGTCTTTAAAGGACAAATATTATGCAAAAGCTTTTAAGGCAGTGGTTAGTTATTGTGCTTCACTTCAAGAAGGTCCTGGGTTCGATTCCAGGTCTTTCTATGTTGAGTTTGCATGTTCTCCCTGTGTCTGTGTAGGTTTCCTCCAGGTGATCCGGTTTCGCCTACCACTTAAAACATGTACAATATCCCCTATAATCCTTGTATTTTCAGATTACGATCTTTACAACCTTCTCTTTGGCTGCACCATGGAAGAATTGTATCTAAATCGAAGAGAATATCCAGATTCTACCACATTCTAGTCCAGGGCTCTTTGTCTTAACTTATTTCATGGTCTGGATTATAAAATAAGATAGACTTTATGGATCTTTGGAGGGTGGTTAAACCTAGACTATTATTCTACTGTTGGCGCAACATTCAATCAGTTGATCTCTTGACAGCATCTACTTTATTTTAGTTCAAAATAAAAGTAAAAACCTTCATTACCCAACCCTAAACAAGGACAAAACAAGTGAAAATGTGTATAATTTTGGTATTTGGAAGACGGACAGAAGGAAGGATCAGAATCTTTGGAGGTCAATTACCCTATCCTCCGTTCATTTTCCAATCAAACACATACAATGCATAATATTTGTTCATTAAAGTGAAGGTCAGTTACTTTACAAATTGTGAAATGTTAGCCCCGCCCCCTCAGCTTCCTGAATGGACAAAATGACTCATGATTGGTCAAACTATTCTCCTCCAGCAGATATTACTAGTGGTGGTTATGCCAAGAGAATGGGACTGCTTTAACTTCATCATTTATTAAAAACATTTTATTGAAATGATACTACCGGGTCACTATATGGTCAAATATGAATTACAGTAGAAGTTGCAAATCTTATCTTTAAAGCAGGTGAAATGCCACTCGACCATCGGGAGGTCCCTCTGTCTAATATATAAAAGAGCAGTTTTAAAGGTTAAGTGTTGTTGTTTATGAATGGGATGCAGCCTCTGTCTCTTCTCTCTGTCTGGTCTTGGTCACTTGTTGATCTGAGCTGGGACAGTCTGGAGACAGAGAAGCAGTGTGCATGTCACAGCATGCTGCCATGATTCTTTCAGTTCTTCAGATGTCGGGCCTATTTTTACTTCTGCCCTGTGCTTGTGATAAATGCATATGACCTGTGCCGATGGTGGAACCCTGAGAGGACCGCCTGGTTTCTCTTTTGCTGAAGTGGCTTTTTGTGACTGAGGTTTTGAATAGATGTCGTTTGTATGAGTGGAAAAAGGACTCGAGTGACGTGAGCTCAAATCTATAAAGTTGTCACAAATAAACATTACGTGAATAATGAATATATAACTGGATTTTTTGTGTGTGTTCAGGGATGTTCCAAGGTTCCAAGGGCAGTATTTGAATAGTTTTTTAACACAAGTTTTAGGTTTTGGAAGTTTCAGGTTTTTTACCCAGCTCATTTTGTCTTCATAACTAATTTATCACTATGTCAGTATTTTCATTGTGGGTTTTTTTTCTAATTTTTAAGTTCCATCTTTATCTCCCAGAGCAGACCTTTTGACTTCAAACATAGCCATTTTTTGTCTCTTTTTAGAACATTCTATGGCACAAAAAATAATAAAGGCTTTATTCTCCAAGATGCTGGTCCTGGATTTGTCTCAGACTGGTCTCAGACTGGTCATGGGTCAGCTTGGTCTTCCTCCAAAGCATAACAAGCATGCTAGTTACCATATAAAACAGACTTTTAATATAAATGTAAATGAATTTTAGCAAAAACCTGCTATGTCATTATCTTTAGGACACATACTATCTAGTGAATGACCCAACTCGTCACATGCCACTCACACAAAATGAAACATATATATTTCTGACAGGGAATAAAATTCAGTCTTGGGTTTTATCTGTGGAAAACAAATAAGACAATGGGACTGTGCCACGGTTTCATTTCTTTTTGCTGCTTTAAGTGATGGTACAGGATATGGTCTTTATCAGTTGCTTCCAGCTGTGTGTTCCTCCTCGTCTTCAAAAACCCGTCACAAACACCCATTGGGTTCAGCGGCATTCGAGGTAAGAGGATTTTAACTTTAATTATAGACTACATACGTTGCACTTTATAATTTCTGTATAACGATTATCTAACATCACGGTGAATAGACGAGAACAACACAGGGCCCAAGTCATAGTGACTTGATAATTGTTCAATTATATTTTAACCAGCTTTTTATATATTGCTAAAAATCTAAAAAGATTCTCTGCCAAACTAGTAGTGAAGCTGTATAGAACTGGACTAACCATACTCAAAATAATAATTTCTAATTGAAACACGAAAAAATGTAGTTATTTATTTCTGTAATTCAACTTAAGAAATTAAGCAAATTAATGATTTTCATCCATCCATCCATTTTCTGAGATGTTTTATTTGGAGTTTTTACAGCAGTGAGCCAAGTATCAACATTATAACAAAGGTTTGATATATCTCAATATTACTTGGATATTGTAAGTTTAATTACAGAAGTGAATGGACTTTTGAACAATATTCTAATTTTTATGACTTTGTTTATGACGCCAAAATTTTTGTTAAGTGACCCAGTTTTTCATCAGCCTCAGTTTGAACTGCGATAAAAGTACAGTGTCAAAATTGGCAGCTTGAGTCCTGACTACGATCAAATTAGTCCAGTTCTCAGGTCTCTGCACAGCCACAGGAGGCCACTCCTGTGGCTTGTAATAGACTTTTAAAGCAGCTTGTGTACAAGTCTCTCCATGGCCTCGCACCAAAGTACATCTGTGACATGTTAGAGCCATATGAACCAACTCTGACTCTGAGGAGAACAGGGACTGGCTTCCTGTTGGGACTCAAATAAACGTGCCTTGTCTTGACTTGCAAACAAATCCTAGTCCTCCATCTAGCGGTAGCATAAGTAAAGATACAATTTCTTTTAATCGTTCCACAGCGGAAAAAAATCATTGTTGCAGTGCACATGCAGGACAGTAGCACACAGGGAGCACACCAAATATACAATTGAAGTAGCAGCTATTTTTCTTTGCTAGCCGTAAATGCTTCAATATAAGTTTTTTGATATATATTTCTCTATATAGTGCATATTTATATACATGTAGGGCTTGATAAGTGACCCTTGATAATTGTTCCTCCATATATCCACATGAGAAACACTACAGCATTTATAGCTAATTTGCAATATCCGTCCCTAGGAGGGCTTTTTACACAAATAAAAACACATTTTACATTATAATATTGACATTATACAAAGGCATGTCCTCCAACTCATCAATGATCACACAACTGGTTTGTTTAAAAAAAAAATACTTAAGATATTATTTCACTTACAAGCAGACAAGTGAGAAAATATATATATGATTTTTATGGCCAAAAATAACGCTTAATAAACAACAAACAAACATACCTAAACTCTGCTCCTCTGTGTCCACTGTAGGTCATGATGAAGAGTCTGTCGCCGCTCCTCCTCTTCCTCCTCCTCCTCCTCTGCTGTGGAGGTCTGCTTTCTTGCCCCTCAGTCTGCTCGTGTCACAATCGCACAGTGGACTGCAGCGGTCGCAGTCTCTCCAGCTCTACACTCCCAGACACTTTCCCCGTCGACACCACAGAGCTGCGCCTCCACAATAACCTGCTAACCACTCTGCCACGCGGGCTGCTGCAGGCTCTGGACGCGCTGAAAGAACTGCGCTCTGTAACGCTCCACGGGAACCCCTGGAGCTGTGACTGCGGAGCCCTGGAGCTGCGAGCCTGGCTGCTCCGCCACTTCTACCGCAGCAGAGACAAGACCGAGATACAACGAGTGGGTCATGTTCATATATACACAGGACAAAGTAGAAACCAGAAAGACACAGGGCAAAGTAGAGACCAGAGATACACAGGACAAAGTAGAGACCAGAGATACACAGGACAAAGTAGAGACCAGAGATACACAGGACTAAGTAGAGACCAGAGATACACAGGACAAAGTAGAGACCAGAGATACACAGGACAAAGTAGAGACCAGAGATACACAGGACAAAGTAGAGACCAGAGATACACAGGACAAAGTAGAGACCAGAGATACACAGGACAAAGTAGAGACCAGAGATACACAGGACAAAGTAGAGACCAGAAAGACACATGGCAAAGTAGAGACCAGAGATACACAGGACAAAGAAGAAACCAGAGATACACAGGACAAAGTAGAGACCAGAAAGACACAGGACAAAGTAGAGACCAGAGATACACAGGACAAAGTAGAGACCAGAAAGACACATGGCAAAGTAGAGACCAGAGATACACAGGACAAAGTAGAGACCAGAGATACACAGGACAAAGCAGCGACCAGAGACACACAATGCTGATGGGAGTGTATTTTTTTTTGGACCAGTCTGGTTTAGTCGCTGTGGGATTTTGAAGGCACTCGTCAAATGAATGAGGCTCGTGCCGGCTGATGCATGCACTAATGCGTTTTTTCACATTTTCCAGCCCCCGCTACCATTTTGAAACTGCCCATAGACGGCGAAAGTGCTGGCACATTAATTTCAATGGTGGAGATAGGCAGGACTACGTCCGTTAACATTTACAGTCTATGGTCTGGAAAGAGAGGGGTCACACAGAATACAGCAGAGATCAGAGATACAACAAGAGCGTAATACTCATATTAACTCAGGACAAATTAGAGACCAAAGATATAAGAGGCAGCTAGAGAGGAGAATGGGGAGAAAGTTTTTTGAAAACTGACTTTTGACTGTGACAGAATTGTCAATAGGACAATAGGATAGTGTTCAGTCCAATTATTTCAGCAGTTCACATTGCGGAAGTAAATGGACTTTTGAGCGATATTCTGATGTTCCGAGTTTCACCGAGTTTCACCTGTAGTATCAGTAATGTTTTCCTATAACCAGCCTTACCTGTCCCACCTCTGCTCAGGTGCAGTGCAGTTCTCCGGTCGGCCTCAGGGGGCGAATAGTGGCGTATCTCAGCGAGCAGGAGCTTCTGGACTCATGTCACTACTGGTTCTGTGACTTGGCTCTGGCCGCACAGTTGTGCCTCCTGTGCTTTGTGCTGATTCAGGGGGCACTGTTGATCACGGTGGTGGTTTTCCTCAGGAGGTTTCAGCTCATGTCCAAAGAGGCCAGAAGAACCCAAGAGGAGAGCTTCACTGCAGGAGACAGGCCCCTAGACGACGAGTACACGCCTTTAAGAGATACAAGCTTGTGAAACAGATGCAATGCAAGTTTATTAAGCACAGTTCGTATACAGAGAAACTAAGAGGTATTACATTCATAAATAATCACAGTACATTAAAAAGAGTGAAGATACAATCCTTCACTTGTATGCACAGCTAAACAGAACTATGTTGACCATGGATTTTTACTATGTCAAACGCCCGTCCCACATTTTCAAGGCTACTGTATTCAAGTATTCAAGTCAACACTAAAGATAGGCTTGAGTCATAAGAAAATTGTATTAAGAAAACTAGTACTTCTTAATTACCTCTCAGAAGATACGGTGAAGACTAAATTAACTTTCTTAAAACATTAGCTAAAGATGCTTCATCCCACTTTCAGATTTTCTCATAATATACAACTTTGTCATAAATATCAAATAGATAATATGTACATACACACATTAATATACACAGATATCAACAGCATTAGTATTCATGTTGACATTAAAGAGTCCATCTATCCAATAAAGTATATTTTCTTTGAATAAGACTTTTGTATGTAAAGTTAAGCCTGATAGCAATTGACTGATAAATAGAAGACTCGTTCATCCTCAAATTGTATTGTATTTACCTTTTCTGTTGATTTCTGTACAGTTGTGCCCCATGACATTATTACTGTAATCATTTCTGACTTCGCTTTAAGAAACTTTATGTATCTCTAAAAAAAGTGGCGTTGACAGCACACCAACCAACCCACAATTCCTTTGAAATAAAGAACTTGAAAAAGCTGTAACAATGTTTTTTTCTGACTTCTCACAAGTTTTTTGACAAGAACAACATTGCCATGGAAACAAGCAGGGCATACGAATCTGGTCTCTGGAGATGCAAGCGACTCAGTGGGGCTCTCAAAAGAAAAAATGAAAATAAATAACAGCAAAATAAATCTATAGCTAGTCGTTCTCAAAAACTTGAAAAACAAAAACAAGTTAAATAGACAAAGTATATATATTTATAAACAAAAAAATGTTAGCTAACGTTCGCTAGCAGTTACCGTTTACCAAAATAAAAGTAAAACAACATAAATGATAGTTGAATTTGCCTACCTTATAAATATATTTTCCCCATCATGCTTTTCATTTTTCATCATTTTATTACATCGCTTTTAGCAGCACAGTACTGCGTGCGGAACCTTTACACTTGCCACATTGTAACGAGTCGGACACAATTGACGGACCGACCGAAAGTGTTTACCATTCTGCCACACGTGAGACTCAACTTTTGCCTTAAATTTGATTATAATCCGGTGTATTTGTTGATTTTTACATGTGCGGACTATGTATATACCCATTTGCAACGTAAACGATATCCAAAATTGGTCAATGTAATTAGATTTACTATATTTTTATATGAGTGATCATATATGTTCACACAGGTTTATTTTCACCACATTGTTTTAACATTTTCAACATATTATTTAAGTATATCAATTTATATTGGGCCTTTAAAAACCATACATTAACCCTAGAATCTATAAACGTGGGACAATTAGTTTAAAATGGGGAAACTGAGGAAAAGACACAACTGGAAAAGCAGAGAGCAGAATGAAGATAAGTCAACAGCAAATGATAACAAGACAGACGTCGTGGTCGAATTAAAAGGTGATGAACTTGAATAAAATATATTAATTTGTATGTTTTGAATTGGTAATTTGATTGTAATTCCTAGAATTGGCTGTTGTTCATTCTTCTTTTAGATGGAGCCAGGCTCAAAGGAGTTGATGAAAGCAATGCTCTGGTGCTTGCATCGAATAAGGATAAAAAGAAAAAGAGCACAACGACACCGGCCAAGTCAAAGAAGCCTTTAACCAAAAAACAGAGAAAAGAGCTAGAAAAGGTGCTCGAGCGCAAGGAAAAGAAAGCTCAGGTGATACGCAGTTCTAATGTTTTATACTACAGTTTATAATCACGTTACAACATGCGTTACCCTGTGTAGAAAGGTCTTTTCTAAAATTCTGTTCCCTAAAGAGAGCAGATATTTTGTCTAAACTGGCTGAAGTGCAACTCCCGGAGTCTGAAATCAAGCTGCTCTACACTACGTCCAAACTCGGCACAGGAGTCAAACTTTTCACCTCTAAAGAGTAAGTGACAGAACAGTAATCTTTACCTTTTTGATCTGGAGATCCGGAAAGTAACATAAATGCAGATGCAAGGTCAATAAGAATGGGCATTGGGTTGTATCTGGTGATATGATTGGCACCTCAATACTAAGATGTTTGCAATATATCCCGAAAAAACTGTGACTATATTATTGGTTTTTTGACTTTTGGAAACAATTTATAACAAATGTATGTCTCTTGGGATGTTACAAGGTAGGTGCTGTATTGTACGCATTGGCAAATATGGAAAATAAAAATAAAAATATATTAATTGAGTTTGAAAAAATACAACAATTGCAGGAATACCCAGGATGCTGTGTTGGCTTGAATCATGTCAAACTGCAGCATTGAAACTCAGGCTAAAAATGTTCCATGAAATTGTGTCCAATGGCTATATTAGGATATAATTCAGATTTTTTTTGTTTTACATTGAGAAAATGTGACCTCAATTCTTAACACTGGGAAATAAGAGAGCATTTTACATTTACAGGACGTGTCAATACTATATAACCTTTTTCCAAGTACTGGAGTTATACTGGTACAAAATCTGTGTCTGTTTGATTAAACTGTTTCTATTATTTTGAAGAACACCTGAAGAATCCACAGATGGAGCAGTGAAGATCAGCAGCCTCAGTGGTGCCAACAGGAAGCGCAAATGGAAAGCAGATGAAGAAGATGGAGAGGAAATGAATGAAAAATTGGAAAGTTCAGAAGAAGAAACATCTGATGAAGACGATGACGATGAAGCTGAGACCAAAGAGACTGTGGAGATGAATGAACCAGTGCAGATGGAGGAGAAAGAGGAGGAGAAGGAGGAGAGGGTTAAACCAGAGGAACCCAGCGAGACGCCAGCTCCGGTCTCCAAGAAAAAGTCCGAGCCGGCCGTTTTCATCCCTGTCGAAAGAACTGAAGCAATACAGGTTTGTTTTTTTCTATTGGCCTGTTGTTGAGCACGATTATAGGTAACTGAAACCTTAATTCACATTTGGAAAAATTATTATTATGTTATTTATGAATAATACCACAAGGGAGACATTTCTGTAGGAATAAGCACATAAACATAGAATAAAATAAGTGGATATTAAGTATAGCACAATTTTATACGATAAAATATGTTCCATTTGACAAATATTTAAAGGAAAATCTGCCTTATTCAAGCTATTTTAGCTTTTTTTTGCAGCTTACTTAAAGAATCTCATAATATTATTGGTGAATCCTGAATTACCTATTGATTAAATAAAGATGAAAAATCCTCATAAATTATATTCTAGACTTCTAGTTTTTAATGAAATTGTTGATTGGTGGGAATCTTGTATAAAGTTTTGTATTTGTTCAAAATGTCAGATGTTGCACGATGTCACAGTGGTAGGATGACGTTAGGCATTACAGAACTGAAGCTTTTAGACAGAAGGGCGGAGTCACATACTGTAGAAGGTCCTCAAAGTAGCCTGGATGAATCTAAAAAAAACTCCAGGTCTGTTTTTGAATGAAATTTCTTGTAACATGTTTAAAAACTCAAAGTCTACAGCCCTATTATGTCTCTAAAGACCCTGTCAACAATCTGAATGCTGTTTTCATCTGCAGATCTGTACAGCTGTTATTTCAGAGTTTTGTCGTGTGGTTTGTCGGTAGGAGTCCCGCCTGAAGCTCCCTGTGATGGCCGAGGAGCAGGTCATCATGGAGGCCGTGAAGGAGAACCCCTGTGTCGTCATCTGCGGAGAAACTGGGAGCGGGAAGACGACTCAAGTGCCGCAGTTTTTGTACGAAGCAGGATACGCAAGGTAACCACTCCCATACTAGAAGTGTCACTCTGCTAATGTTTTAGATTTGATACAAGTAAAAAGATTCCATTCTCCATGCAAAATATTAATAATAAATAATAATAAATAAATAATAAGTATTTTCCATTATTTGAAAATAAATGAGTCCGCTTACTTTGTAATTTCCTGTGCTAGAATGTGAAATATTATCTTAATTAGAAAATGTGTAGTGAAACGTGTGTAAGGTTAAATAGTGTTTTCTGCCTGTAGCTCCCCATGCTACCACTAGAGGGAATAGTAGAATCTGATTTTAAAAAAGCGGAAACACTTGGGGCAACAGTAGCTCAGTTGGTAGAGCATTGGCCTGTGAGCCTGAAGGTCGTAGGTTCGAGCCCACCGTAGGACTTACTTCATGACTCCCACTGATGACTGCTGTCGTTGTGTCCTTAGGCAAGACACTTAACCCCACTTTGCCTGAAGCTCCCACTGAAAGATCTCAGCTCCTGTGGACTCACCACCTGCAGGAGGATCAGTGAGGGGCTGGTGCTCTGTGTGCTGGGTGGCATCTCTGGCCACCCCCCCGACCCAGAAATGGATTAAGGGGAAGAAAATGGATGGATGGATGGATGGATGGAAACACAGACATGTAATTTGACATGTCATTGCAGTGTGGAGAGAATAGCTTTGGGTGACCTTGGTCTGTAAAATGCGTTATATAAATAAACATTAATTACTTGTTTTTAAATGCTGAAAACAACTGAGTATGATGTCATAGTGGTACAATGGCCTCATACGATTACAGGACTGAGACAGGGACTTTTAGACCGAAGAATTGGCATTACATATTATAGAAGTTCCTTTTATGAGCATGGATGGATCTAAAAACGACTTCAGGTCTGTTTTTGAAGAGGAAACAAACTCAAAGAGACCTTAGTGAAGATTTAAGATAGCTACTTTTTAACACAAGCTTTAATTTTGATCATAAATGTATAGTACTGAATAATAAAAAGTTTTGAAATGGATCATAATATTCCTAAATCTGATGAGGAAATGTTATGTTTATGCACACGTTTCAATTCAATTATCTTTATTTACAAAACAATACAATACACTTTTTCTTATCGTTACTGCTCATATAAGTATTTAGTGGTCTGCCTGGTCACGGGGAGATAAATATTGTTTTTGTGCTTTGTTTCTTTTTCGTAGCAAAGGGTCCATTATCGGTGTAACTGAGCCCAGGAGAGTAGCGGCGGTCAGCATGTCTCAGCGCGTGGCCACAGAGATGAACCTATCCACCAGGTAACATTTAAAGGTGCAGTAAGCGTTGTTGTTAGCTTAGCCGTAGCACCAGCTCCAAACCACTCCCCCCTCCCCTCCCTCTCCACCAAACCAAACATCCAGCATTTTCTTTTCTTTGTCACAACAGGGAGAGTGGGCGGCAAACGTGAAATTGGCATTTTCTGTTCAGCCCTTTTAGGTTTTAGAAAATCCGATAACTCCGGTGCACTCGTGAGAAACGGGAAGAGGGTGAAGGGGGTAAACACATCCCATTGGTTCGTTCAAAAATGCGTCTCGAAAAAAAATCACTGACTGCATCTTTAAACTTTGAACATTTTTGAGTCAAATCGGAACATTTCACCCACGCCCTGCGCTCTCCCTCAGAGTGGTGTCGTACCAGATTCGATACGAGGGGAACGTGACCAGCGACACCAAGATCAAGTTCATGACGGATGGAGTTTTGCTCAAAGAAGTTCAAAAGGTACAGTAAGAATATGGCGGGTGCAGAGACGGTTTTAATGTGATTTCTGCCGAGATTGAAGCACTTTTCTTTTGCTGTAGGATTTCCTGCTGCAGAAGTACAGCGTGATCATCATCGACGAGGCTCACGAGAGGAGCGTGTACACAGACATTCTCATTGGACTGCTGTCTCGCATTGTCCCTCTGAGGAATAAGGTGAGAATGCTTTATTATGTAAGGCAGGGGTCTCCAACCTTTTTCAATCGGAGAGCTACTTTTATACAAAATAAGTGGCAGAGAGCTACTCCTTTTTGCCGTTGTAATAAAAATATATCTAATAATTACGATAAACCGTGGAGAATACATGCAAAGTATATGAATCAAACAGATGTGTAGTGACTCAAGATCATTTGCTAAATTCTATATCCCTTGGCGAGCTATCTGCTATAGGTTGGAGAATATATAGGCACCATGAAATACAATTAATTATTATTTTTATTATGTGCAGCAATCTGCCCTTTATTATCACATTATCTTTGGCCATTTTTTTCAAATCTGAAAAGTAAAGAACATGTGAAAACAAATTAATGGGTGATTCTTTTGTTTCAAAAGGCAGAATGGTGACACACTTACAGGACTGAGACGGGAGCTTTTAGACAGAATGGGCGGAGTTACATGTTTGTCCCTGAGATTTCTGATATTTTTGAATGGATGGATCTAAAAAAACAACTTCAGGTCTAGTAAATGTTGTATCATTGTTGAAAAAAAAATATATATATATATATTTGGCATCATACATCTCTCTACACAGTTGTGATTAATGCTATAGCTGTTATTGAGGCAAAATTGGTTGTAAATGGCAGGAAACAGCTTCTCTTTGAACAGTCTTTTTTTAATGTTTTAAAGTGGTTTAAAAGCTCAAAAGAGATGGTACGTTTTCTGGTGTGTACCATCTGCTCTGTCTGGTGCACGCTGGGAAAGTCTTGCACAGTTGTTCCAATGTGGTTTTACTGCAAATGGCAAACAAACCGATTCCGAGATGGTTCTGATTGGGCGGCTGAGTAGAAAGCACTCTCGCTTCTCAGCAAGTCCTGGGTTTGAATCCTGGTCGGAATGGGGCCTTTCTGAGTGGATTTTGCATGTTCTCCCCGTGTCTATGTAGGTTTCCTCCGGGTGCTCCGGTTTCCCCTACCTCTTAAAACATGTACAATAGGTATGAATGTAAATGAGTGAGTCAATGGATGGCGTTGGCTTTGTCTGTTCGGCGAATCGCTTCCGTCATCACCGTGTGTGGAATGATTGGAAAAATATCTGGTTTCTGAACATTGTAAAGCGCTTTGGGTGACCTTGGTCTGTAAAATGCGCACTATAAATAAACATTACTTGCTTACTTTTGTCGCTCAGAGAAACATGCCCATGAAGCTGCTGGTCATGTCGGCCACTCTCCGCGTCGAGGACTTCACGGAAAACCAGAAGCTGTTCCGGATCCCTCCCCCGGTCATCAACGTGGACTCGCGCCAGTTTCCCGTCAGCATCCACTTCAACAAACGCACGGCTTTAGACGACTACACCAGCGAGGCCTTCCACAAGATCTGCAAGATTCACCGCATGCTGCCCCCAGGTTCGAAGCATACAACAGTTCAGTGATGCAAGGTGACATCACAACATCACAAGAGAGAATAGTTTCGCTTTAGGGATAAGAATCTGCAAAAATGTGACGATTGAATAGTATTTTGATATTTGGGCCACAATTTCATACTATTGCCACTCTTAACATTGCGATACAGAAAGGACTTTATTCCCTGCCTCTATCTGTTGTTTATTGCTCCACAAACTTGTAATATTAAAGCCCTCTCACAGACTCTGGCGGTCAGGGAGCATGAAATCGGTTTAGTTACATAAGTACAACTGGTATTTCATTGAATATTTCCTTTGTTGTGGTTTGAAAGTTGGGAACCCCAGCTTTAATAGTCCTGCTGTACAACTGTCCTGTTATCACATATATACAATACTTTGTTTAGTTGTTGCTGTTGTAGGTGAATAGATCATATGTACAATAAAACTCAACATATTTGGCTTTAGTAATTAATTCTACCACAGGAATTTTTAACACACCATCCACCCATCCCTTTCCTTCTGCTTTATCCGTTGCCGGGTCACAACAGTCTAAAGCAAAGATGCCCAGACTTCCCTTTCCACACACACTTCCTCCACTCGTGCCCAGGTCGTCATGTCCTGGGTCATCCCCTTGGCTTGCCCCCTGGTGGAACATGCCTGTAACACCGCTCAAGAGTGCTGTACTGTTTAGTCTGTACTCAGATGTGTTTGTTTTCCTCCAGGCGGCATCTTGGTGTTTCTGACCGGTCAGGCTGAAGTGCACAGTCTGTGTAGACGACTGAGAAATGCTTTTCCGTACAGAAAATCCAACACAACTGGTGGTAAGTCTGAATGTGCCGCAAAAGACACTATAACGAGTATGGAAATATTTAACCTTTATTCAATCACGTACAATTTGGAATCCCTTTGTCAAAGAATTTAAATAGATATATGGGATGGATTTTTATTGGTGTCAGCCCAATCTCTCAGCCCAATCTCTCTAAATTCCCAATCATCAGAACCAATATCGACTTTATAACAGATCTAGGAAGAGTATTTGTTAGGGGTAATGTGATCACCAGGATTTTTTTTGTCCGATAGATGGGTAGATCTATATATATATTCTTGGTAAATCCAGAATTCCAGATGCACGTCATACAAGGCTTGACCAATCAGACACCTTCATTTGCGGGAAAAGCTCCATCACAAATGCCCATATAAGGAAATTGGCTCCAGCTATCCTATGTTGATAACTTGACTTCTTCCACACTCTGCAAACTCTATGTATTGACAGAAAAAGCTGCATTAGTCCTTTGTGTTGATGGACCTAATTCGGGTTTAATTATTAAAGAATATTTTGAGAATCTATTAGTTGCATTTAATCGATAAATTTACAGCCTTAGACCTTCATCTGTTTCTGTAATATCTGTTCTTTGTCTTATTCTTTCCACATTTTGTTTTATGTTTTCAGGTGAAGCTGAAAGTGCAGACAGTTCAGAGGCGACCAGGAAGTCCAAAAAATCCCAAAAGAAGAAAACGGCTGCGGTATGTATTTTTTAATTATTACAGAGATAAACGGCAGTGCTTTCATTTGGAGTTTTATTTTTCCTGTTTGCAGTCTTTGCCACGCATCAACCTGGATACTTACTCTGCCCTTCCGCTCGATGAAGGCGATGAAGACCGAGAGGCCGAGATCGGAGACGAAGACGATGGTTCTGACCTGGATATTGGAGATGATCCCACCGCTACAGGTCAGATTTAAAAAAAATAACTGTTAATATCATTAGAAGTTATTGTATTGTTATTTTTGATAATCATTAATATGTGTCTGTGTCTCTCTCTCTGTGTCTCTCTCTCTGTGTATCTCTCTCTGTGTCTCTGCCTCTCTCTCTGTGTGTATCTCTCTCTGTGTGTCTCTCTGTCTCTTTGTGTCTCTGTCTATCTGTGTCTCTCTCTCTCTGTTTGTCTCTCCGTCTCTCTCTCTGTGTCTATCTCTCTGTGTCTCTGTCTCTTTGTGTCTCTGTCTATCTGTGTCTCTCTCTGTGTTTGTCTCTCCGTCTCTCTCTGTGTGTCTCTCTCTGTGTCTCTGTCTCTCTCTGTCTCTTTGTGTCTCTGTCTCTCCGTCTCTCTCTCTGTGTCTCTGTGTCTCTCTCTTTGTATCTCTGTGTCTCTTTCTGTCTCTCTGTCTCTTTGTGTCTCTGTCTATCTGTGTCTCTCTCTGTGTGTCGCTCTCTGTGTGTGTGTGTGTGTGTGTGTGTGTCTCTCTCTCTCTCTGTCTCTCTCTCTGTGTGTGTTTCTCTGTCTCTGTGTGTGTCTCTGTGTCTCTCTCTCTGTATGTCTCTGTGTGTCCGTCTCTGTCTCTCTCTTGTCTTTGTGTGTCTCTCTCTTTCTCTCGCTGTCTCTCTGTGTCTCTGTGTCTGTGTCTTTGTCTGTCATTACAGATGAGAAAGCGGACCCCTCCATTCCCCTGTACGTGCTGCCGCTGTACTCTTTGCTGGCCCCTGAGCAACAAGCCAAGGTCAGGCCCTGATTCACGATAACTGAAAAAAATATCTGAAAAGTGGGTTCTATTATTTGAGATAAGATGAAACTTGATATTACTACAGCTAACTATAGTAGCAGTATTAAAATGTGTTGCCCATTTAAATCTGTGGTACATAACCTTCAAGCCACCAGAAAATCAACCAAGTTCTACAACCATCTAAATAGCTCTATCTCTAGTCTCATGTACTGAATGATCAGCTCTCAGCCCAAAGAGTCAAATAGTGACTCACGGGTCTCTTTCTTTCAAGTATGGAGTTTTGAATGTTTTCTAATTAGATATAATATAACATACTCTAATTTTTTCACTTTCTTCTTTCACGAGACAAACCAAATGTATGAAATAGGAAGAAAAATAAGTTACGTACTTGAGCTTTAACTGTTCAACACCAGTGAGAGTTTGTGTGTGTTTTGTGTCAGGTTTTCAGGGCTCCTCCTCCGGACACTCGCGTCTGTGTCGTTGCCACTAACGTCGCAGAGACATCGCTGACGATCCCCGGCATTAAGTACGTGATCGACTGCGGACGCGTCAAGAAGAGGTTCTACGACCGAGTGACCGGAGTTTCCTCCTTCAGAGTCTCGTGGACCTCCCAGGCCTCGGCCAATCAGAGAGCAGGACGAGCGGGCCGCACAGAGCCAGGCCACTGCTACAGGTGGGACTCAGGATCGGACGATAAGGGACAGTGGGGAAGGCTCAGGCGTCTGAAACTAATAAACCCCTACTAAAAATTACATAATTTAGGGGTGAAATTATGAAATCTTATTTAAATCTGGCTTGAATATATGAGAAAATGCAAAGCAAGACCAGAGAGAGAGAGACCAGAGAGAGCGAGAGACCAGAGAGAGGGGGGACCAGAGAGAGCGAGGGACCAGAGAGAGCGAGGGACCAGAGAGAGGGACCAGAGAGAGAGAGAGGGACCAGAGAGAGAGAGAGACCAGAGAGAGCGAGAGACCAGAGAGAGGGGGGACCAGAGAGAGGGGGGACCAGAGAGAGGGGGGACCAGAGAGAGGGGGGACCAGAGAGAGGGGGGAGCAGAGAGAGCGAAGGACCAGAGAGAGCGAGGGACCAGAGAGAGCGAGGGACCAGAGAGAGAGAGAGAGAGGGACCAGAGAGAGAGAGGGACCAGAGAGAGAGAGAGAGACCAGAGAGAGAGGACCTCTGTACATATAAACATAGCAACACAATGAGTTTGAAAAAATACTAAATTTTGTTCTTTTCATGAGTGTTATGTTTCTATGTTTAAAATAGATGTACCGTATGTACAAAAAGTAAGTACGACAGTCCGGGTTTCGTAGTGCTGTTTACTGGCAGTTGAGCAGAATGACAATGACAAAATGTAACGGCGCTCTATCACAGGTCACGCAGCACGTAAGATACATGTGACGTAAGGATCAAACAGAACGTGATACAATGTTGAATGATGCAGTAATGTCTCACAGCATATTCTATCACAGAATATTACAATGAGACTTTAAGAACTCGTTGTGGTCCCTCCTCAGACTCTACTCGTCCGCGGTCTTCGGAGACTTCAGCCCGTTCTCAGAAGCAGAGATCACTCGCAGACCGGTGGAGGACCTGGTTCTACAGATGAAGGACCTGAACATCGATAAGGTCCCGATCACAGACGCTGATTTTCCGCAGAGTGAGTGCTCAGAGCAGTGAGTGTGTTTCCTGTCTGCAGGTGGTGAACTTCCCCTTTCCGACTCCGCCCTCCACTGAAGCTCTGATCGCAGCAGAACAACTGTTGATCTCTCTCGGCGCTTTACAAGAGCCGCCGCGCACGGGCAGGTAACTGTACACACGTTTACATTTCATTTATGTAATTGTTATTTCTGTATTTTATTTGTTCTAATTTAGTCTATTTATATTTCATTGTATTATTTATGTATATCATTATATTTTTTTTAAATCATTATCTTCTATAACTTGTTTTATTAATTGATTTGATGTTTTATTATTATAATTGTTTTTTGTTTTCTTCCCAGCTGTAAAAAATAATATTTCGTAGCTCTGTTAAAGCAGAATGATTGGATTTTAAATGTAGTGTTTTATTTTTTTATCATTGCAAATATTATAATAACAATAATAATAACAAATCGTTTTTAGTGAGCCCAAAAGACGCTTCATGTGTTATTATTCTTTCACTCCATACACGGTGGTGATAAACTACTACTGTAACCACAGCTGCCCTGGGGCACACTGACAGAAGCGAGGCAACCACCTACAACCATTCACACACACACCAGACTCATTTTAGAAAATGTGGGTGAAGTGTCTTTCCTAAGGACACAACAACAGCTTATCACTTTAAAACCGCTGCTGCCCCACTGCGGCACCTGGTGTTGCCAGAGGTCTCCCATCACAGTACTAACTAGGCCCTGCCCTGCTTAGCTTCAGAGATCTGACAGGATCTGGTGTTCACTTGCAGATGACACAAATAGTAGTTTTTGTTTTTTTAAGCACAAAGATTGAATTTGTTTTCTAATATTACAGCTTTTTATGGTGTATTTTTACCTTGTTTAAAACTTTGCAATGTCTTGATTATAGCTTGTATCTTGAGCCATGTTACTGTAGCGAGTGTCTGTAACGAGTGACTGTAGCGAGTGTCTGTAGCGAGTGACTGTAGCGAGTGTCTGTAGCGAGTAACTGTGTTGTGTTTTGTCTCAGTGTGAAGCAGATGAAGCAGGCCCGCCTCTGCTGCCCCATCTCTCCTCTGGGCAGAGCCATGGCTTCGTTCCCGGTCTCCCCTCGTTACGCTAAGATGCTCGCTCTGGGGAAGCAGCAGGACTGTCTTCCATACGTCATCGCCGTGGTCGCTGCTATGACCGTACGGGAGATATTTGTGGATCTCGACAGGTGACAACTATTGAACTGTTTTAAACTGTGTTCTCTGTCTGTCGGGAGTCACACAGTCATGAGAGGAAATACAAGTTTGTGTGCGATTTATGATCAAGTAAAACCCAAGCGCTGTTCAAAATATAGGATATAACTTGACATAAAGCAGCACATAACATGATAATTGATCACAGTATTTTTATGTTTAAATGCAGGTATAAATCCTTCGGTGGTGTGCACATCATAACTGCTCTAACCTAGATTACATTATCAGGGAAGAAGCTCATGTCTAGTCCTGAGTCTGAGGACCAGCAGGAGGCTAGTCCCTGTGCTCCTCAGAATCCGAGTTGGTTCATGTGGCACTAACATATCACAGATGTTCTTTGGTGCGAGGCCATGGAGAGACTTGCATTAAGTCTATTCTCTGAGCCACAGAAGCCAGTGCAGAGACCTGAGAACTGGACTAATGTCATGGACAAATCCTAGTTCTTGTCGGGACTTGAGCTGGTTTTATTTTAAATGTACTGCAGCTGCTTTTAGAGCTCATTTGGAAAGATCTGTGAGCAGCCGTTACAGTCGTCTAACCTACTGGAGACAATTGCAGGATAATAATCTCCAAGTCTCAGAGGTGGGACAAAGTCATTGTTTAGCAAGTCACAAGTCAGTCTCAATTCATTGCCCTCAAGTCCCGAGTCAAGTCACGAGTCAAGACAGGCAAGTCCCGAGTCGAGTCCAAGTCAAAGGCCAACAAATCTCAAGTCAGTCCCAAGTCCTACGGTTTGACTTTCGAGTTGTTTCTTGTTGGTCTCCACGTACTTTTGTAGGCAAACAAAATAATGTTAGGAATCATTTTGCTGGTGCATTCTCGTTGGTCTCTGACCCATGGACTAACAGTTTGTTCCATGTCGTTGGCTGCTGATAAATCAAAACTATCTACGTGATCTAATTGGATGTTGTGCCAGATGCAGGCTCAGTTACACATGCACAGACCACACATAAAATCAGAGCAGTCCGTGTCAACATACTTTTTATCTTTGGGGTTTTTAATGGGAAGTAGCAAGTGCAGCATATATGAATATGAGTATTGGGCTAGGACCTGTATCTATATAATCAGTTTAATGTCCGTAGTGGTTATTGTTCCAAATGTCCTACTGTAGAATAGGGGTAGTATGAGGGGTCTAGGCTTTGGACCTGGGGCAGCTCGCCATCAACTGGACCAGCATTAGCAATATCTCATAATTACCAATATCCATCTATCCATCTTCTACCCTTTAATCCATTTCTGGGTCAGGGGGGTGGCAATCAGAGATGCCACCCAAGTCTCATAGCACCAGCCCCTCACCGACCCTCTGCAGGTGGTGAGTCCACAGGAGGACGGCTGCTCTGAGAGCTTTGCCCACTAATAATTACCAATATATCATTACATAATAAAATGTCTCATATAAATTAATTCAATCAGTCAAAGCACTGATTCTCATATCAATGCACCATAAACAATAGTGCAAATATTAATCTAGCTTAGTGCACATAATCAAAACAACTATCTAATGTATGCAAACTTTAGCAGGAGGAGCACAGCAAAAACATACTCATAATAATAGGCCTCGGCGCCCACACAGAAAAATATAAGAAAGAGCCAACAGAGCAGCGCAGGCTAGCGCTAGTTTGACTCACCAGTTCCTCTTTAAAACACGGCACACAGTGTGACAACTGCGTCGATTCAATTGTATGAGGCGCCTGTAGTGAAAGCATATCAATTACGGTTTGTAGAACAAAATATGACGTTAGGTCGCGATAAATACCTGCAGCTCGCTCATTTCCAGCTCCCCTAGACAACACACCCACCGGTGAATGCAGTCCGCTTGTTTAGGGAAGTGTTGCTGCGCGAACTGCGGGGAACTCACGTTCAAACTCTCTCGCGAGCGCTACAACTACCGCGAGGCTTTGTTTCTTCAGAGACGGCATAGATAGAAAGAGAGATGCGGAGAAAGGTAAAAATGGCCCGGGTTACGCAAGTCTTTACAAGTCAATTGGCGCAAGTCCAAGTGAAAGTCAGAGTCATTGATGTTAAAGTCCAAGTCGAGTTGCAAGTCTTTTTATATTTGGTCAAGTCGAGTCTAAAGTCATCAAAATCATGACTCGAGTCTGACTCGAGTCCAAGTCACATGACTCGAGTCCACACCTCTGCCAAGTCTGCTTTGGACAGATAGTTTTGATCCTGGTAATGATTTTTAGATGGTTAAAAGTTGATGACGTCACTGATTTGATGTGGCTGTTAAGATTTAACTCCATTAAGTCCATTATTAGACTCCAAGATTTCTGACCTGTTTTTGAAGAACGGATCTGCTGATGTTTCTCATTTGTGGCTGTTAAACATCAAGTCTTGGTCCATTTTAGCCCTAGATATGATAAAACAAGTCGTCTTCTTCACTTTAATTTACTCCAATGTGACTGTCCTCAGACCTGCTGGCAGTGAAGCCGAAAGCGAGAAGCTGAATACACGCCGCGCTCGCCTGACGCAGATGAGGAGGCTGTGGGCCGGACAAGGAGCCTCTCTGCTGCTGGGAGATCTCATGGTCATGTTGGGTGGGTTTGACAACAAATCCTTCGACCTCCTTTTGTCAAATGAAAAGAGTATCACATCTGAATATTTCTGTCTGTACTACCTTTCCACTGAGACGCGTTTTAACTCCCACTTCTACAACACTTCTGAACAATGTACTTTAACCTTTTTGCGGTGTGTTTTTCCTCACTATAGGGGCAGTGGGTGCGTGCGAGTTTGCTGGATGCACCCCTAAATTTTGTGAAGAAAACGGCTTGAGGTATAAAGCGATGGTGGAGATTCGACGGCTCAGAGGACAACTCACCAACGCAGGTGAAAAACAGTTCAATCATTCAAAGCAGAGAATATTTAACTATGTAATACAGTCTCTTGTAGAGGGAGCTTTATAAGAATGACCACTGCTCCTGACAGGGGCCTGAGTGGCATTGAAGGATGGGTCAAATTCAGAGGACAAATTTCGCTATTATTACGAGCCACTAGGTGTTGAAGTCTAGAGAGTGTGACTCAGTAACACAAAAAGAACCGGGGGGTGGAACATAGACAGGAAACGGGGTCTAAAAAGTAACAAGGTTTATTTACATATAAATAAATGCACAAAAAGGTCACACGGGTGTGCAGCCGCAGGATCCAGGCCCAAGTGGAAGAGAGAGACTGGTCTGGAGCCAGGCTCTTTTTATGCCTCCCAGGTGATTAGCCCACAGGTGCATAGTGAGACGTCAGTGGGAGGGAGGTCTGAGGAGGCGGAGGCAAGGAGAAACAAAAACAAGGACCTGGTCCGTAACACCTCCCCCCATAAAAATAAACCCCCACCCAGCCAGAAAACATAACATGCCTGCATCTAACAAATCTGTACCCACACTCAGGGACTATTTGTGAAGTCCAAGTAGGAACAGGCATATCCAATATAATGGAACTCAAGTAGGATAACTTAGAAATAGCCACTGCTGTACTAGCCACTACACATGTAGACAATAAGGATAAATCAGCAAAGTGACGAGATCTGTCAACAGCGTAAACACAGGGAGTCAGACAAGGCTGAAAAGGATATGGGTGCCATCACCACCTGCGACCCAAGTGGTGATGTGTGTCCTCAGTCACGCGATAGGGCATCAGCCACAACATTGTCCTTCCCCCTCTTGTGCTGGATGCTGATGTTGTAGTCCTGAGCCAGCAGCGCCCACCGCATCAGACGTTGATTCTGGTTGAACATCTGGGACAGGAACACGAGGGGGTTGTGGTCTGTGAAGACAGTGACTGGGACACAAGTGGACCCAACATACACATTAAAATGCTGCAGAGCCAGCAGCATAGCCAGGGTCTCCTTCTCTACAGTGGAATAGTTCAGCTGGTGCTTTTTAAACTTTTTAGAGAAGTAGGACACAGGATGAGGAACACTAGCCTCGTCCTCCTGGAGCAAAACTGCACCTGCTCCATTGGCACTCGCATCCACCTCCAGGATGAAGGGCTTTGAGCAGTCTGGTGCAGAAAGTACCGGGGCACTGCACAAAAGTGACTTCGCTGCTTGGAAAGCTGCCTCACATTCTTCTGTCCAGGTGAAAGGGACAGAAGGGCTGCAGAGGGCAGTGAGTGGAGCAGCAAGGACAGAAAAGTTTTTGCAAAAACAGCGGTAATAGCCCGCCAGGCCCAAGAACCGCCGCAGTTCCCTCCGGGTTTTTGGAGGGGGGTAGGAGAGGACCGTCTCAACTTTAGCATCGATGGGACGCACTGAACCATGGCCTACAATCTTGCCCAGATATGTCACAGAGGCCTTACCAAAGTCACATTTTGCCAAGTTGAGGGTGAGGAATGCTTTGGACAAACGTTCAAAAACTTCTTTCAGTACCGCGACGTGCTCGGACCAAGTGTCTGTGTATATCACAATATCGTCAAGGTACACATTGCAGTTAGGAACATTACTAAGCACGATGTGCATGAGGCGCTGGAAGGTGGCAGGTGCGTTCCTCATGCCAAAAGCCATCACAGTGTACTGCATGAAATGGTCAGGAGTAACAAAGGCAGATATATCTGATGCTCGGGATGTTAAAGGGACCTGCCAGTAGCCTTTTAGTAAGTCCAACTTTGTAATGTGCACCGCAGGACCAATGTTGTCTATACAATCCTCCATACGAGGGAGAGGAAAAGAGTCCGCCACAGTAATCCCATTTACCTTCCTGAAATCTGTGCAAAAACGGGGCGAGCCAGGAGACAAGGTGAACTCCAGGGGCTATGGCTAGGTACTGCAAGACCATTGTTTATCAAATAAGCTACCTCCCTCTTCATGGCCTCTCGTTTGGTCATCGGGCAGCGGTAGGCATGCTGCTTGAATGGTGAAGCGGAACCCACATCAATGTCATGCTCAAGGACTGAAGTACGAGATGGAGTGTCACCAAAGAGTGAGGGATAGGCCTGCAACAGATCAAAAATGTCACTGAACTGCTGCTCACTGAGATATGCCAGGTTGGTGCCTAAACTGGACAAAAACTCAGAGTTTGACAGCCGACCACACTGCCGGGCAACACATGGCTCCTCCAAGTCTTCCTCCAATGGGTCTGCAGACACTGGTGACACACAAGGCACAGTTAAAACAGACTGGGCCGGCTTCACGCTTTCCCTTGCATGGAAAGGCTTCAGCATATTGATATGACACAGACGAGTTTTCCTCCTCCTCCCAGGAGTGAGAATAAGGTAATTTGTGTCAGACACCTTTCTCTCAACCACATATGGACCAGAAAAACGAGCAGAAAGGGCTGAACCCACAGCAGGCAGTAACACTAAAACTTCATCGCCTGGCTCAAAAGTCCTGGCCACCGCCTTCACATCAAAACGACTCTTCATGCCAGCCTGTGAGGAGGAGAGCGCCGCTCTAGCTGAAGTAGTGGCATGACCCAACCGTCGTTTACATTTTGTTACAAAATCTATGACATCACCTTTAAGCTTCGACATTGACAAGAACTGCTCCTTCAGTACCTTGAGTGGTCCACGTATGCGGTGACCAAATACAAGTTCGGCCGGACTGAAACCTAGGGACTCTTGGGTGGCATCTCTGATTGCAAATAACATGAACGGAACGCCCTCATCCCAGTCCTTGCCAGTCTCAAAACAAAACTTGCTCAGCATGGACTTAAATGTTTGGTGCCATCTTTCCAATGCTCCCTGAGACTCCGGGTGGTATGCACTGGACACAGAGTGGGACACACCGAATGACTGCAATGCCTCCTTGAACGCCTTGGTTCCTTGGTCTGTCTGAAGGATCCGAGGAAGGCCAAAAGTGCTGAAGAACTTTGTCATCGCCTTGACAACAGTAGGGGCAGTAATTCTGCGTAGTGGGATGGCCTCTGGGAAACGAGTGGCAACACACATTATAGTCAATAGGAACTGGTTACCAGCCTTTGTCTTAGGTAGAGGGCCAACACAGTCCATAATCACGTGCTCAAACGGTTCCCCAACAGCAGGCACGGGACGCAGCGGAGCCGGCGGCACCACCTGGTTTGGTTTCCCCACCGCTTGGCATGTAGTGCAGGTCCTACAGAACCTAGCGACATCAGCCTTCAGCCCTGGCCAAAAGAAATGTTGCAGAACACGGTTATAGGTTTTTGTCACACCGAGGTGGCCGGACCACACATGCTCATGCGCCAGAGATAGCACATGTTGTCTGTAACACTTGGGAACACTATTATGTCTCTCAGCTGGCCTTGGAACGCCTTTGGAGGAAGTGTGTGTGGATAGGGAAGTCTGGGCATCTCTGCTTAGACTGCTGGCCCCGCAACCTGGCAACGAATGAAGCGGTAGAAGATGGATGTATGGAAATTTCCCGACGGGGATGAATAAAGTGTACCTTAACCTTAACCAAATACCAAAGAGTAATGGATAACACAACCAGGTAGAGCAGAGTAGGGCTGGTGGAAACAGGGCTTTACTGATGTGCGCTGGCAACACCGAAATCTAAGGTTCTCATACCTCGAGCTAAACCAAACCTGTTTTTAACCATGGATTTGAACATTGTTAATCATATATCTCTACCTCCCGCAGCACTAACTCATAAAATGCCATGTTATATGATGTTCCTGCTCCTCTCTCTCTCTCTCCGCAGTGAACGCCGTGTGTCCGGACGTGGGAGTGTTCGTGGATCCAAAGATGTCTCCTCCCACAGAGCACCAGGTGGTCTGTTTGCGGCAGATCGTTCTGGCAGGACTCGGGGACCATCTTGCCAGACGAGCGCAGGCGGAGGACATCCTGGACCCCAAGTGGAAGAATGGATACAAGGTACGTAACAGCAGAAGAGCGGAATAACAATAATAACACTACATTTTAATTTTGATGCAGTTATGGGCGTCCAGGAGGCAAAATGTGGCCCTCAGACTTCCTGGTAAATGTCAAACAATAACATAAGAGACATGTAGAGCAATAATCGACCAATCAGAGGCCTTCATTCGTTGGGGAATGCCATATTTTCACGTCCAGTTTATGAAATGTAAAATGGTGTGGTTTGGTTTGTCAGACGCCGCTGCTGGACGACCCGGTCTTCATCCACCCCTCGTCTGCGCTGTTTAAAACTCTCCCAGACTTTGTCGTTTACCAGGAGATCATGGAGACCAGCAAAATGTACATGAAAGGTCAGTCCCAAAGCACAGTTATGGCTCTATTTCATTACAAACATGTCGTGACCACAAACGCATCTCGGAAAGACGGGTTTTATTGTTGATGAGTGGATTTCAATGGCTACCTTTTTTCTATCCAGCTTTACAACTTAGCCAAAAGTCTAAAATATCTCAAACCCACCTTCTCCTTCACTGTCGGATATTATACCCATTATTTCGGTTTCATAAATACATTGTTTGTACCGATAGAAAGATCCTTGTTTACGCAAACTGAGAGCTGATTGGCTGAGTGGGGGTGGTCCTCTCTTTTTCATGCTTCTGTCTAAAAAAATCTGATTTCAAGATGTGGCTGAAAATACATGTGAAAACTAGTGATAGTAGGATTTTATTACTTAGATTTTTTTGTTTTGTGGTTTCAAAGTTAAAGAGCTCCCACTCTAAATAAGTTTGGCAATGGCAAAAAAACAAAAACAATTATTGGTCTCTCATAAACAGATTTTTAGAACATTTTCTAATAACATGAGGCGTTGTGTTCTGGTCTGATTTAAAAAGTCTTTCTGTTAAGACAAATAAGGTTCTCCAGCTTTACCTGTCACTTTCACTTTAATTATACTCTTGTCTACTGTATATTGTATAAATGTATATTGTGTGCGTGGGCTTTTTCTTTTTTAAGGACAATAATAATCAAGACAAACAGAAATATAAACATGACAATAAAACACAAAACAAGGACAAAGACACCAAAAAAATAAATAAATGAATTTTTCACATTCGCTGAGCGTCTGCGACAGCACCAAGAGATATGTTTGCTTCAACTAAAACATTCAAGGGGGAAATCACTGACTTGTGCATACGGACCGCTTTAACCACAGTTGTTTCAAACGTGATCCATACTTCCTACTGGTTTCTGTGATTTTTTTCAGCAGGGGCAGTTTACCACCACATGTACAGTGTGAATGAATAATGCCATGTGTGAGGTCCATGGATCTATAATGAGTTCTTTAGATAAAAGGGTATATAAATACTAGGTATACTATTGTTATTATACAGGGGGTAGTTTTTAGCATTTTCCATGACACAAGCTTTATCAATATATTTTAAACTTCAGGAATTATTTCACATTCTTAAAAACCAACGAGGCACCTTCATTATGTGCCTCGTTGGCACATAATGCCTCGATGGAAAATTATTTCCATCGATTTTGTTGTGTTTCCTGTGCTTTATTGGCTGTTCTTTTAAGAAACACACTACCTGACTGAAATTAATAACTGTGTAATATTAGCAGAATTATTGTGAAAGCCCCAGAGCGCGTGCCGTTACACTTCCGGCGCTGAGGCTGCACTTCCGTGAAAAGCCAAAACAATCGCAGCCTGTGTTTACATCTCTCTGAAGAAACGGGAAAAACAGTTTGTTTTTTGGCGTCACACAACAGAACCACTCATGGACAACATGGTACGTCATCCACCTATGATCACACCTTATTATACATACTTCTATGACTTTTTAATGGACGTTACAGAGATGACAAACGGAAGCTAATGCGATGATGCAGCATTAAGCTAGCGTCAGTTTGTTAGCAGAAAGACTGTCACTTATCTCACATATGTCACGTATGGTTCACTTCATATATGTGTCTTTGCTGTTTTCTCCCACAGTTTTCTTTCCACGTCTTTGACCACCCGATGGCCAGGGGCTTTCAGAACCGCTTCTCCACACAGTACCGCTGCTACTCCGTGTCCATGCTGGCGGGTCCCAATGACCGCTCCGACGTGGAGAAAGGAGGAAAAAGTAATTTGATTCCATTTCTATTCGTTGTATTTTTGCATAGCCCTGTAACGCAACAGCAGTCGCCTGTGTGGACTTTACAAAGTTGTTGATTGGCCTGCAACAGACCAGAGAATAAAACAGTTTAAACGCAGAAAATGCTATGAACCATACACAGCAGGATGACCTATGTCCACAAGTGTCCTTAAATGTCCCGGATCATCACTGTCCCTATGGCAACGTCAAAGAATGAGTAAGAAAAACTAAAATGTAATAAATCTCCCACGAAAGGACACGCTGTAGCTGTAGAACGAGGACTGAGTGGACTCCCAGGCGGGGAGTCCAGGCCAGGGTAAAGATGAAAGAGGTCGGATTCAGGGGTCCCATCATCACGCCATGGAATAGACAATGGAGCAGCGGGTGAATAGCAAAGACTTGAGCTGAAGTCGTAACACTTTACAAGCTTTAATTTTTGGTGATATTATGTTTAGAGTTCAATATGGTTGTTTTTTTGTGAGAATTAGCTCATGCTACTTCATTTCTGGGGCCACTAACAACAGTCTCGTGGGTCTTGGTTTGACACTGCTGATTTAGATTTTTGTCATCAGCAGACGCCACTCATATTTTGGAAAGTCTCTGACTGAAAAGTTGGAAAACCTGTTGCTTTAATCTCATGTTTTTGTGTGTTTTCAGTTATAATGCCACCCTCAGCTCTCGACCAGCTGAGTGAGTATCTTCTGTACTTTCATTTGAGTACATATGTACATAATGTAGTTTTTCTTTAGTTCAATGATGTTTCTCGTTCAGGTCGATTGAACATCACTTACCCCATGCTCTTCAAACTGACCAACAAGAACTCTGACAGAATGACGCACTGTGGAGTTTTGGAGTTTGTGGCAGATGAGGGCATTTGTTACCTTCCTCACTGGGTAAGACTTTCACATTTTACAACACATTTTACAACCCACTTTTTGTTGTTCTTTTTCATAATTCATTTACTGTAGATATTTTGTTATTCTTTAAAACCATAGTTCTGGGTTGCATTTTCTATTGTTAGGACAAACAAGACCACAGTAAAGTAATTTACTCCTCCGTTTCTTTTTTGCATTAGCTTTACCAAAGACTTTTCTATATCCAGAAACATTTAGACAATCTTAACTTCTTCTCAGATTATTTTTTGGTGTGTAATAGATGCTCAGGAAAGACTCACTAGTTGAGAACCACTGATCTTTGACATCTGTGGCTTATAGATAGATTCTTTATTGATTCCCTGTAGGAGAAATTCAGGTGTTCAGTTGAAGCAGAAACACTTCCATCCATAAACAAAACAAATAAATATAAAATTCTAAGAGTAGCTAACAATAGTCATGAAATGCAGCAGCAGAGGTGGAGTCGCTTGGTTTGGAACATTTTCTCTGATCCAAAATGAAATACTGAATGCTTTATTGGCATTCTTCAAAAACCAAATTACCATTAATAATAATAATGCATCGGTTTTATATAGCGGTTTTTTGGACACTCAAAGACGCTTCACATGTTACACATTATTCATTCATTCCATACACGGTGGTGATAAACTACTACTGTGCCCTGGGGCACACTGAGCGAGGCAAGGTTAAGTGTCTTGCCAAGGACACAACAACAGCAGACAGACAGATGGTGAAAGTCTTGAGCGGGGCTTGAACCCACGACCTTCTGGCTCAAAGGCCAACACTCTACCAACTGAGCTACCGCCGCCCATTACTCTAGTAGAGGTTTACACTTGGTCTGCTTGGTTGGGACCCTGCACCTTCTCTGCTCTGGATCAGTGTAAAACCATGAACACTGTACTGCAGTAACATTTACAGGTAGAAAAAAACAAACAAAAATAACTATTGTAAAACACAAAACAACTTTTTCAGAGCGACTCAGGACTTACTGCCGTTTCCAGCGCATTCAAAAGCATGCATTTAATTTAAAATCTTACTTAAAATACGATGTTATAAAAGAGTCACGACCTCACACTTTTGTATTTGGTCCCTCCACGTGGATTGTGGATCTGTGCTCTTCCTTTTCACTCTTAGGACTTTTCCTTTTCCTCAGATGATGCAGAATCTGCTGCTGGAAGAAGGAGGTCTGGTGCAGGTGGAGAGCGTGAACCTCATGGTTGCCACATACTCCAAATTTCAGCCCCAGAGCCCCGACTTCTTAGACATCACAAACCCCAAAGCTGTGTAATGCATTCGACTCAATCAGAAAAATCTTGTTTGAGAAATTAGGTCAACAGCACTATTAATGTGTTTTTAATATGTTTTCCTTTAGCCTGGAAAACGCACTCAGAAACTTTGCCTGTCTGACGACCGGAGACGTGATCGCAATCAACTATAACGAAAAAGTATGTATATATCCTCTTAGCAGTGGTCTCCAATCTTTTTCATTGACAACAATCACATGACCCACCACCACACAAACATACGGCAGCCTTTATCGACAAAGCAAAGTAATTCTCACCAAAGTGAAGTATAAATAAACTCAAAGTGTAAACAATACTTCCTACCTTTCTCATATAATTTTCTTTTCACATTATTTTGACCAATAGGTGATTTTTTTTTTTTCCATCATTTCCACTGTCTTAAAGAACACGTACTGTTTTTATTTTAGCTTCGAGGTTACTAGGATGCAATGCCATTTTTATAACAATATAAATATTTTGTATAGTATTTTTTTCAATATATACACATTAGACTATGTAAACGTTAGACATTGTTGTGCATAAAACACATTGTCAAATCCAAAGTAAATCTTGATTTGTACAGGGGGGAAAATGAGCTCGAGTATCGCCTCATTTTGTTCTTTCTTTCTTTGTTTTTATTCATCAATATGTTTTCCTGTTTGAATATGGCCTCTGGTTTCAGATTTACGAGTTGCGAGTCATGGAGACGAAGCCGGACAAAGCTGTGTCCATCATCGAGTGCGACATGAACGTGAGATAATTCCTTTAACTCACAGCTACAGAAAAAAAAGCGTATTGATTATTTACGTCTGGTTTTAGGTGGATTTCGACGCTCCGCTCGGCTACAAGGAGCCGGAGAGACGATCTTATCACCAGGAGGAGCCACAGGTCAGACTCATTACACACATACACTGCAAAAAGTGAGTTTAAGACTGACAGAATGTACTCGATGTGAAATAAAATAAAAACCCACATGAATTCAAGCATTAATTACCTTATTCTTTTTCATTTTTTGCAGTGTAGATTTGATATAATTTAGGTTACGTTTTTTTTTTTTACAGGAAGAAGAAAGCGACCCAAGCACCTACGCAGACATGGACTTAGGATTTAGAGTAAGTCGTGGACAAAGGAGTGAAATCTTTTGTTTTATTTTCTTTTTAGTATTTTGAGAAGCTCTGGTGTGACAGTGTTTGTGTTGTAGGCTTTTACCGGATCGGGAAATCGGTTGGACGGAAAAACGAAAGGAATTGAACCCAGTCCGGCTCCTCTGGGACCCAGCGACATCAAACGGTAAATGTTTTTATAAAGTGTTTTGTTTTGTGCGACAGAAGCTCAGTCTGAAGTCTCTTTTTGATGCAAAGAGATTTGAGGGCCATTTTTTTATTGGCCTAAATCGCAACAGCAGTCGTTTTATAGGACTTTACTAAGTTGTTGATTCCTTAACAACATTGAGAGAGGGATTCACTCCCATGGACGGACAGGCTGTAGATCCAGGACTGAGGCTGTAGATCCAGGACTGAGGCTGTAGATCCAGGACTGAGGCTGTAGATCCAGGACTGAGGCTGTAGATCCAGGACTGAGGCTATAGATCCAGGACTGAGGCTGTAGATCCAGGACTGAGGCTGTAGATCCAGGACTGAGGCTGTAGATCCAGGACTGAGAGGCTGCAGATCCAGGACTGAGAGGCTGCAGATCCAGGACTGAGAGGCTGTAGATCCAGGACTGAGAGGCTGTAGATCCAGGACTGAGAGGCTGTAGATCCAGGACTGAGAGGCTGTAGATCCAGGACTGAGAGGCTGTAGATCCAGGACTGAGAGGCTGTAGATCCAGGACTGAGAGGCTGTAGATCCAGGACTGAGAGGCTGTAGATCCATTCCAAGCTATGTCTAACAGATGCATGTCGTCTTCTTTAAACGCATGTATTTTTTCAGTGGAATTCCAAACTATGACTTCAAACTTGGACGCATCACTTTCATTCGAAACTCGCGGCCGGCGCCCAGGAAGCTGTTGGACGACGTGAGTCTGATCCAATATTAAATCCAGTGTTTTTTGCAGAAAGTCACTGTTTTATTCATACTTTTACTTTCCTCTCAATAGGACGATGCTCTGAACAGATTCATCGCTTTCTCCGGAGAAGGACAATCCCTGCGAAAGAAGGGGAGAAATCCCTGATTCTGAGACAATAAAACAAACATGAAAAGCAAAATGTAACAAAGAAACATTTCCTTTTCCCTTTTGAACTGTGCGGACACTTATTCATAATGCATTACCCCATATTTTATCATAATTATCACAGCTCACATACAGGAGCTGCACAAACCTGGCAACATTTTCATATTTCTTATTGTTTTTAGAGTTCAGATTGCATGTCAAACAACCTAATTTTATCGCAATTCAAAAACCACATTAGTCAAAACAACATTCATATAAATTCCGCAGACAGTTTCAGTAATACCAAAATATACCTGGTGCTAAAAACTCTTAAAATAAGTATTGTTTTTATTCGAAGCACATTTTTGGATTTGCCGAACAGAATACAAAACGCGGTTATTCTAAATATATGATAACGGCTACTTTTCACGAAAATTAGAAAGGATTGACTGCTGGAACTACGTCTGAAGCTGCTTGTTCATTGGTCAATCTTAATGGAACTTGTAAAACAGTCAAAATATATTCAAAGGAAGACCTATTTAAACAAATTAGGAAATAGTGTTTGTTTTTTGCTTTAGTTTTGGACGATTTACTCATTGTTTCACTTTTCTTCTAAATTGATCTCCCTTTAGCTATTTATCTTCATGTAAATAATGTTTGAGAATATGTGGTTTGATTTTTGATGGACTAATAAAGTGGGGTTTTGAATCTTGTTGCTTTTAATACATACTGTATATTGAAGTAGACATGGTTTCAAATATTTTTGAAGGTAGCGTGAAGAAATATGGTGTGTATGTGGTCGCTGGTTTAGACATGTTTTAAATGTAAGATCTGCCACACTTGTATATTGAATGTTCTGTAATACGTAGATTTTGGTCCTATCTGCAACAATATTTGACTGGAAGATTGAGGGATAATGTCATAGTATCCAACGTTCAAATTTCACTAATATTTAATGATCAAAAATTGGCTGAAATTTATTTTGTAAGTATTTCTATCACTACATTTATAAAGTTAGAATTCAGTGTAATAAAAACGTTTAAGGTTTTAAAGCATGTGATCTGAAAACCTAATTGGCCTCTTACACGTTTATCACATTGGTAAAGGAATATGGTATTAGTTAATAACAATAATATCAATACATTCTATTTATAATTCATCCGTCCATTTTCTTCCTTATTCCATTTCTGGGTCAGGGGGTTTCCGTCAGAAAATGGAGGGTTAATAGCTCATAAAAGTCCTAATAATTTATATTTATCTATGGATATTATGTTATTTATTTTGAAAAAGGCTTCCCAGCGTCTGCCAAAAATATTTCAAAATAAAACAAAGTATATGTCATTGGCACTTTATATGGCTGAAGTTGTGCTTTTGGCAATAATAAATACACATGTCCCAAATCATTATTACAGTAATCCATGGAACTGTTTTGAGAGCAAGCTACTGAATAATAATTAAGTAACTACCCCAGCTTTATTGTGAAAATACTCAGGAAGCGTCCTCTTAGTGTAAATATTATTTTAATGGAGCAACCTCGGACAATCCCATGGAGGGTAAATGCACTTAAAACACTTATATTTTGCTAGTTTAATTCCATTTCTGTTTGTGTAGCTAACTATAGATTCAATCCAACTTCAGCACGTGCACAGTATCTGACGGTCACGTAGTGTTAGCTTGTTATGCTATCAGTGGCTAACTTAGCATCAACAACATTAGCTAGCTTTAAAACCACTACACCCCAGTGACAGCGTTTATCTGGTAGTTTTAACAGATGGTATGATGTAAAAGGTTGTCCCACATTTTGTTTGTAACTTGCTGTTGTTATTGTTGTAAATTAGTTAGTGTTGGCTGTAGATGACCTTACTCATGTTGGATTTTTACTTACATTAAGTTAGCAAGGTGTAACTAGCAGTTTATGTAGGAGACTGGAATTGTACCTAATACTTAGCACAATATTAATGCAGTAAAATATTATCCATCCATCCATCCATCCATCCATTTTCTTCCGCTTTATCCGTTGCCAGGTCGCGGGGGCAGCAGTCTAAGCAGAGACGCCCAGACTTCCCTATCCACACACACTTCCTCCAGCTCGTCCGGGGGGACCCCAAGGCGTTCCCAGGCCAGCTGAGAGACATAGTCCCTCCAGCGTGTCCTAGGTCTTCCGCGGGGCCTCCTCCCGGTGGGACGTGCCCGGAACACCTCCCCAGGGAGGCGTCCAGGAGGCATCCGGAATAGATGCCCGAGCCACCTCAACTGGTTCCTCTCGACGTGGAGAAGCAGCGGCTCTACTCCGAGCTCCTCCCGTGTGACTGAGCTCCTCACCCTATCTCTAAGGGAGCGCCCAGCCACTCTGCGGAGGAAGCTCATTTCGACCGCTTGTATCCGCGATCTCGTTCTTTCGGTCATTACCCAAAGCTCATGACCATAGGTGAGGGAGGGAACGAAGATTGACCGGTAAATCGAGAGCTTTGCCTTTCGGCTCAGCTCCCTCTTCACCACAACGGTCCGATACAGCGACCGCATAACTGCGCACGCTGCACCGATCCGCCTGTCAATCTCACGCTCCATTCTTCCCTCACTCGTGAACAAGACCCCGAGATACTTGAACTCCTCCACTTGAGGAAGGACCTCTCCACCCACCTGCAGAGGGCAAGGCACCTTTTTCCGGTCGAGCACCATGGCCTTGGATTTGGAGGTGCTGATTCTCATCCCAGCCGCTTCACACTCGGCTGCAAACCGTCCCAGTGCATGCTGCAGGTCCTGGTTCGTTGGAGCCAACAGGACAACATCGTCCGCAAACAGCAGAGATGAAATCCTGTGGTCTCCAAACCGGACCCCCTCCGACCCCTGGCTGCGCCTAGATATTCTGTCCATAAATACAGTGAACAGAACCGGTGACAAAGGGCAGCCCTGTCGGAGGCCAACATTCACCGGGAACAGGTCTGACTTACTGCCGGCAATGCGCACGCAGCTCTGGCTCCGGTCATACAGGGACCGGATGGCCCTCAGCAGAGGACCTCCGACCCCGTACTCCCGGAGAACCCCCCAAAGGACACCCCGGGGAACACAGTCGAACGCCTTCTCCAAATCCACAAAGCACATGTGGACAGGTTGGGCGAACTCCCATGAACCCTCGAGTATCCGATGGAGAGTATAGAGCTGGTCCAGTGTTCCGCGACCGGGACGAAAACCACACTGCTCCTCCTGGATCCGAGATTCGACCATCGGCCGTAACCTCCTCTCCAGTACCTTGGAGTAGACCTTACCGGGGAGGCTGAGGAGTGTGATCCCACGATAATTGGAACACACCCTCCGGTCCCCCTTCTTGTAGAGAGGGACCACCACCCCGGTCTGCCACTCCATTGGCACTGCCCCCGATCGCCACGCGATGTTGCAGAGACGTGTCAGCCAAGACAGTCCTACAACATCCAGAGACTTTAGATAGTTAGGGCGGATCTCATCCACACCCGGAGCCTTGCCACCATGGAGGCTACCAACCACCTTGGTGACCTCAGCCAGGGAGATGGATGTACCCGCCCCAACATCCTCAGCCTCTGCCTCTGTAACGGAGGACGTGACGGGGGGATTGAGGAGAACCTCAAAGTATTCCTTCCACCGCCCGACAATATCCCCAGTCGAGGTCAGCAGCTCTCCACACGCACCGTACATGGTGTTGGCAAAGAACTGCTTCCCCCTCCTGAGGCGTCGGATGGTTTGCCAGAATCTCTTCGAGGCCGACCGATAGTCATGCTCCATGGACTCTCCGAACTCCTCCCAGTCCCGGGTTTTTGCCTCTGCAACAGCCCGGGCCGCGGCACGCTTGGCCTGCCGGTACTGGACAGCTGCCTCAGGAGTCCCCCGAACCATCATGGCTCGATAGGACTCCTTCTTCAGCCTGACAGCATCCCTTACTGCCGGTGTCCACCACCGGGTTCGGGGGTTGCCGCCGGGACCAGCACCAGAGACCTTGCGACCACAGCTACGAGCCGCCGCATCGGCGATTGAGGCAGAGAACATGGTCCACTCTGACTCCATGTCCCCCTCCTCCGCCGGGACCTGGGAGAAACTCTCCCGGAGGTGTGAGTTGAAAGTCCGTCTGACAGGGGGCTCAGCGAGACGTTCCCAGCAGACCCTCACTATACGCTTGGGTCTGCCAGGTCTGACCGGCTTCCTCCCCTGCCAGCGGATCCAACTCACGACCAGGTGATGATCGGTTGACAGCTCCGCCCCTCTCTTTACCCGAGTGTCCGAGACACGCGGTCGAAGGTCAGATGATACGACAACAAAGTCGATCATCGACCTCCGGCCTAGGGTGTCCTGGTGCCACGTGCACTGGTGGACACCCTTGTGCTCGAACATGGTGTTCGTGATGGACAAACCGCGACTGGCACAGAAGTCCAACAACTGAACACCGCTCGGGTTCAGATCAGGGGGGCCGCTCTTCCCGATCACCCCTCTCCAAGTGTCACTGGCGTTTCCCACATGGGCGTTGAAGTCCCCCAGGAGAATAACGGAGTCCCCGGGCGGTGCACTGTCCAGTACCCCTCCCAAGGACTCCAAGAAGGCCGGGTACTCTACACTGCCGTTAGGCCCGTAGGCCGTCACAACAGTGAGAGATTTGTCCCCCACCCGGAGGCCGAGGGACGCGACCCTCTCATTCACCGGGGAGAACTCCAACACGTGGCGGCTGAGATGGGGGGCAATGAGAATGGCCACCCCAGCTCGCCGCCTCTCCCCGCGGGAAACTCCAGAAAAGTGGAGCGTCCAACCCCTCTCAAGGAGTTGGGTTCCAGAGCCCAAGCTGTGTGTGGAGGTGAGGCCGACTATCTCTAGTCGGTATCGCTCAACCTCCCCACGAGCTCGGGCTCCTTCCCCCCCAGTGAGGTGACGTTCCACGTCCCAAGAGCCAGATGTTGTGTGTGCGGACTGGGTCGCCGAGGTCTCCGCCTTCGACTGCCGCCCAGTCCTCTCAGCACCGCTTCACCACGGACCCCTCTGCAGGTGGTGGGCCCACAGGAGGGACTGCCCACGTCATCCCTTCGGGCTGAGCCCGGCCGGGCCCCGTGGGCTGAGCCCGGCCGGGCCCCGTGGGCTGAGCCCGGCCGGGCCCCGTGGGCTGAGCCCGGCCGGGCCCCGTGGGCTAAGGCCCGGCCACCAGGCGCTCGCATACGGGCCCCGACCCCAGGCCTGGCTCCAGGGTGGGGCCCCGGCTGCGCCATGCCGGGCGACGTCACTGTTTTCATTTCTGTGCTGTCCATGGTGTCTTCTGGACTGCTCTTTGTCTGACTCGTCACCTGAGACCTGTCTGCCATGGGAGGCCCTACCAGGGGCATGAAGCGCCAGACAGCATAGCTCCCAGGATCATCCGAGTACTCAAACTCCCCCACCACGTTAAGGTGGCAGTCCAGGGGGGAGTAAAATATTAATGCATCACAATAAAATATAGTTGTCAGTGGACACTAATTGGGGTTTCCAGAATAATAAAAATATCTGTATACTATATTTTAAATGGGATGAAAAAGGACTATAAATTATTGAAATAAAATCATTCCATTGATTTAGCATGTTTTTACACTAGCCATTGTTGTGGTCTTTTAGAGAGAAGATTGAGACATATTTCATGCCATAAAGACTAATAATAATAATACACTACCTAATTAATATGATCTTTCTTCCTCCAAGCATTTAGCTGGTGTCATAAAGTCTTCTATTGGGATTAAATCAGATGGTACTTTTTCCAGCTTTCTCAGTTTTTGACAAGTAATAATGCATCAGTTTTCTACAGCATTTTGTTGGACTCTCAAAGACACTTCACAGCATTATTTATTCACACACACACACACACACACACACACTTATTATTGTAAAAAAGCCACTGTCTTGTATATATGACCTGTTTTTGTTTTTTTATTTTTATGTATATATTTTGAATTTCTATGAGTTTTATTGTGGCTGTTTTTCTCGTACAGCTCTATGTTAAGCGCAGGCTGTTTTAATTGTGCTCTACAAATGAAGATATATTTTGTTCCGTAGGCGCCGCGAGCTTGTGAGGATTACTGGAGTGAGTTCAGCCACTGCAGAAGTCTGATGAATCGGTTCCATCACTACTACACTTTTGGTGAATCTCCGTCCTGTCAGCAGTGGAAGGAGGACTACGCAAACTGCAAACAATGGGAGAATAGCAAGGACTCCAGAGCGAAGGTACAATCACAGTTTAGAATTGTTTTCATTCCAGGCGAGTGGGATGAGACAAACACCAGTATATTGTGAAATGAGAAAGTCACATACGTACACACAGCTCTTTGTTTCACTGTTTATGGAAAAGCAGAAACCGTTCTAAAAGGCACAGGATCCACTTGTTTCACTACGTTTACACGTTACCATGGAATTTCCCTGGATACTGGTTTGTTGTGGGTAGGTTGCTAAGATACAGTCTCAGATATTAAAGTGTATTAAATGTCAATCACGTTAATCACATTAGATTGTTACTTAAGTCAGAATAGAGTAGGGTGGGGTAGAGTAGAGTAGAGTAGAGTAAGGTGGGGTGGGGTGGGTAGAGTAGAGTAGAGTAGGGTAGGGTAGGGTAGGGTAGGGTAGGGTAGAATAGGGTGGGGTGGGTAGAGTAGAGTAGAGTAAGGTGGGGTGGGGTGGGTAGAGTAGGGTAGGGTAGGGTAGAGTAGAGTAGGGTAGGGTAGGGTAGGGTAGGGTAGAGTAGGGTGGGGTGGGTAGGGTAGGGTAGAGTAGGGTGGGGTGGGTAGAGTAGAGTAAGGTGGGGTGGGGTGGGTAGAGTAGGGTAGGGTAGGGTAGAGTAGGGTGGGGTGGGTAGAGTAGAGTAGAGTAAGGTGGGGTGGGGTGGGTAGAGTAGGGTGGGTAGAGTAGAGTAGGGTGGGTAGAGTAGAGTAGAGTAAGGTGCGAAAGAAGCTGATGGGTTCTATCTCAAAGAAGCTCAATGAGCAGGAATGCCTGATTTGTGCATAGCAACAACCTAGCAACCAAAGAGCCAATCAAGAGCATCCCTTCTCTATTCCGTCTTATGCTTCTCGCTAACTGAGGCCAAATTCAGGAACAGAAGGTACTTGATATTTTTATTAGGGGTCATATCTGGCTTTAAAGAAGAGCATTGTGTTTCTGTAGTACTAAAAAAAGATCACAAAATATAAAAAACTGTTTCAAACCGAAGCCTCGAGTCATTCTGTTTTATTGCTTTGTTGCTTCGTGAGGCTTTTCTTTGCCCATCACTAAATGTCTTTATTTGATGTGTTGCTAACAAAACTTGTGTTGCTTATGGCTGCACGTTTTCTCACCAACAGGAGGCGCTGCAGACAAGTGAGAGGAGGCGAGTGGCCGAGCAGCAGATGTTCACTCCTGTGTGGCAGTTAAGGAAGGAGCCCCCACAAGACTGGCACCTGCCCCTGAACCAGGACAAGCCTCAAGACATGTGACTGTGAAATGTATGAAGCTTATTTAAATAAAGGTCTGTTTTTGTATTCCACTGCCACATTGCATTTATTTCAGAAAATTGTCAAAGTGATAAATGGGGGCTGGGTAGTTTTATCATAACGTGTATAATAGGTTCAATAGTAACCTCTGATCATCTACGGTACAACGCTTATTTTACTAAGAAAAAAACAATATCACACATGTTCTCACAATCACCTTTATTTTTCTGGTAAATGTTCATTCAATCTGGCCACAACTTGCAGCATGGACTCCCCCCTCCCAGATGCATAGCCGTAGATCGCTTCTGTTCCCGAGGGTCAAAGTTTCGGGCAGTGGTGGTACATAAATCTGATCTTTTGCACATAATAGTGTATTTTACATGGAACTGGGGATCTCAAAGGCCAAGCACAAAGAGCAAAGACTTTGGGGCTCTTCAGACAAATCCATCGCAGTGCACTTTATCACACTGCCATCCAAAACATCGGAATAGACCAAATAGACACCGCAAGATCCCATTCACTTTCTATTGAATGTATAGCCACCTCTACAATGTACAAGAGAGATGCTTGTTTGAGTAGATTCATTATAAAATCACTGTAATCATGAAGGCTCCAGGCTCAGGGTATGAACTCTCAGTCTGTTATTGTGTGTAAACCCTGGTTGTGTCGTTGTATTTCCCTTCAGGCGCCTCGTACTTGTCTTTGGCCGGTGTGTAGACGGGACCCTCGCGGCTGAAGGGGAGCAGAGACAGGTCAGGTTTGAGGGCCTCGTCGTACAGCTCCTCTGAGGAGAGTCTCAGCTCCTCCAGCGCTTCTCTCTGAGCTTCTAGAGCACATTCAAGAGCTTTCATCTCAGCCATGTGCTGCTCCTGGAACACAAATACATTTACATTCACTAAACTGGACTGGACTCCTGTTAGTGCCCAGAGTCAGGACTATGGGGAGGCTGCTTTTCAGATTCATGCTGCTAAAATCTGGAACAATCTTCCTGAAGATGTGAGACAATGTTTAAAACCAAGTTAAAGACAGTTCTGTTTAGCTGTGCATACAACTGAGGGATTTTATATTTGTATCTTTCTTTTTAATGTTCTGTGATTATTTATGATTTTAATGCTTTCTTGTTTTGTTCAGCACTTTGAATTGCCTTGTGTATGAATTGTGCTATACAAATAAATTTGCCTTGCCTTGCCTAAAAACGGATCCAAGTGGCTACTATGTATATCTTTGCAATACATTGTGCGATTGTGTAATCAATATAACATCTGACTTTTACATGTTGAGAACAAATATTACTCTAATGTTATTCATGGCTTTAAACAAGGTGTTGAGAATATTTAGATTGACATGCCAAAAAAAATATTGTGTAAAATATGAGAATAAACATGTATGTAGTGGTTAGAAGTTCAGATTTTTTTAAGAACCGTCTAAATTCACGCACACAGAGAGAGGTGCAAGTTGTATACTCTGTTTCACATTCAATTAAACTACAACACACACATATTATGATAAGATGGTTAGTAATAAAACATTAAAAACTATTACATCTGGGATATATTCATGCTTTGGTTATTAACAGGTAAATAACAGTAATTACACAAATTGTATACAATAAATTATTTCATTATTTTTACACACAGTTTTTTCCAAGTTCAGTTTTTAAAAGCAAAAATTCCACTGAACAAATATTTCTGCTTTTCATGAATTATTAATGTGACTCTGGTCTGTGAAAAGCGCTATATAAATAAAGATGACTTACTACTTTGTTATTTTTTACCCATATTCGTTCTCAGATATTTGCTATTTAAACATAACATTTTCTGCAAATGCATAAATGGTTATAATGACCAGTTATGTGAAACACTTTTTACTGTGTGTAATTAAAAAAACAGTTTGAGTAAATACTTGTTTATATCGAGACCACTCCTTCAGTAACAGAGCTCTGCGTTCACTTTCTTCAAACGAGATGGCAGGTACAAACCGTGTTCTGAGAGAGAGAGAAGAATGAGACGACATAATAATAAAAATAATACTACACTATGCAATGAATATTCACCTTTCTTCATCCAAGCATTTAGCTGGTGTCATAAAGTCTTCTATTGGGATGAACTCAGGTGGTACTTTTTCCAGCTTTTTTAGTTTTTTCCTCATTCTTTCTTTTACCATCAGCTCCCTTCTCGGATCTACTTTCTTCTTCTTTTTGGGTTCAGCTCTGAAAGACAAAATAACAATATTATATGACCCAAGTCTCATTACATTATATTTAGATGACTGTAAAGTACCTTAGGGCGGCTGTTGTCCTGAGTGTCATTGCTTGAATATATAGACCGCTTTTTGCTGCATGACGCCCATCCATAAGCAAACTAGAAAGAACACAAGTGTATAGCATCAGTTTTTTTATTCAAGTGACTTTAAAAAGCTGTTTAAAATAAAAATGACCTCAACATTACATTCTATGGACGCACAGAACGACTTCCCTTACCTTCGCTGAACCACCCATTGAGGAAGAATCCTGGAAATGCAATGGGAAAGTGCTAGCGACATTTTAATACACCGATTATTTTCTAGTACACCAGAATAACGTTGAAGCTGTTATTATTATAGATCTATGGGTCGAAGCTAGAGCGATGTCGCATGGGTGAATGTCGCGCAGGATGATGACGTTGCTCTTAGATTTGACTTTGCACTTTCGACAAGGTGATCGAACATTTTTATTTCTCAAATCAACCATACATATTTTAGTTTATGGATATAAATGGTGACTTAAATAGACACAATTCATTTCATATTTTTATATTCTTGTTTTATTTGACCTTCCAGATTTGTCGAATCTCAGTCCGGTGTAAAATAGGGGAAAGGTCGTATTTGTGTCGGAAGAGTTCGTCCACTCTGAAGAAAAGTGGACAAGGAGACAGATCGGCATTATGTCTCTTCTCAGAGGTATGGGGTCAAAGTCTGTTAAATAAGACTGCAGCTGTTTCTATTATATGCATTATGCAGAACCTAACAGAGATGTATACTATGTTACACGTGACTGGGGGCATAAACACCGTCGTTTTTGCTCTAATTTTTTTTTTTTAGATTTGTTTGTAAATCATTACTGGATCATTACCTCAATCCCGTCTTGACATTGTTCTCACAGTTTTGTCTTACGAGTCTGATGAATGATTTAATGAATGGCTGTGTAACTTGAAGACAGATGTAGAGTGATATAGAGTTCCCATTAGTTGCTGAGCTCTCTGTCATTGCATTCAGACAAATGCACAAGTTTAACCTTCTACATTTAATCATAGATCGATAGATTGCTTTATTACAGAGTCATGGTCCAGATCACCACAGATACAGACACAAAACAGACAATCATGATATCTTTAAAAATCAGTGAACCACAAAAAGCTTCTATTGTCCATGTGTGTGGGAAGAATGAGGAGGAAAACTGTGTTGTAATGATTCATCACTAATGAGATGCACTTTCCCCTCAGGTGTCTTCGTAGTGGCCGCTAAGCGCACGCCGTTTGGGACGTATGGAGGTGTTCTGAAGGACCACAGTGCCACAGATCTGGCAGAACATGCGGCTAAAGCTGCACTGGCTGCGGGTGGTGTCGCCCCTGAGATTGTGAACAGCGTTATAATGGGAAATGTAATGCAGGTGAGAGAGTGTGACGCGTTCAATTTCATTTATTTTTCTATAGCCTTGGATCACAACAGTAATCATCTTGAAGTTCTTTACAAAAATGTCGAGAATCAAACAGTTCAAACACAAGAGATGCAATAACAACCAGTACACAGGAGCTATTAAGTCCATTAAGAGCGGCATAAAGAACATGTATGGATAAGGTACTTGGTGATGGAATAAGAAATGACCAAAATGGACCACGATGGATCTAGTGGTAGAAATAAGAAATTTTATGTCTGTGTTATTGACCTCAATTCAATTCAATTATATTTATTTTTGTACAGCCCTAAATCACAACAGTGAGGACTTTACAAAACTGTCGGTTTGCAAACAACAGATAAGAGAATCAAACTGTTCAAACACAGCAAATGTCATGTCAGGTCATTTTCTACCCCTTTATTATTCCATTTCTGGGTTGTGGGGGTGATCAAGCAGAGCTGCCACCCAAGTCTCAATGCACCAGTCCCTCGCTGATCCAGCAGTTGGTGAGTCCACGGGATGATGGCTTCTCCGTGATCGAAGACATGGCCTTGGTCTTTCAGCGAGGGCTTCAGGCAATGTGGGGTTAAGTGTCTTGCCCAGGGACACAATGACACCCGACATCAGTGGAAGCAGGTGACATGGGTCGTGGTGGGATCGAACCCACAACCATTAGGTCCAAAGACCAGCGCTCTACCAACTGAGTCGCCCCAAATGCAAATACACATACATTGGTCCATAAGAAGCATATGATCAATGTTCATAAATGTTGTTGAATATCGAGTGTCGTGGATCATCACCACTTGTATTGTTGTGTTCTCATGTTTACATTTCATTTTCTAATTGCTCTCATTGCTTTTGTTAGAGCTCGGCTGATGCTCCGTACATTGCCCGTCACGTCGGCCTGAGGTGTGGCGTTCCCATCCCAGTCCCTGCTCTCACCGTCAATAGACTTTGTGGATCAGGTTTTCAGTCCATCATCAATGGTGCACAGGTAAAAACAGCCGTCTTGTTTTAGTAATTCTCTTATTCAATTTCAATTTAATGTTTTTTGTGTAGCCCTAAATCACAACAGCAGTTATCTCAGAGGACTTTACAAAACTGTTGAATTCGCCAACACAGATCAGAGAATCAAACCGTTCAAACACAGGAAATGTAATGATAAAAAAAAACACATTGAGCCATTGGTCCATAAGGGCAGAGACCAATTGCCGTAAATATTGATTTGGATCCCCCTCTCCCCGCCTCCCCCTTCCAGTCCATCTTCTCCTCTCCCTCCCTCCCTCTCACTCCTTACTGTCTTTCCGGCTTACCCCCTCCCTGATCCTGTCCCCCTCTGACAGCCACATTGGCCGGCGGTCAGAGCTCAGAGGTGCTCATCCCAAAAAAATTTCCAATGTGTCTTTCCAATTGTCTGTGAAACTGTGTGTTATTGCTCTCTGCTGTTTCTTGCTTGCACACAGCGCCGCAAATGGCGAAGTGGCACGCTCTCTGCAAAAACAATTTCCAAGTGGTAACCTTTGTTTGCTACTTATGTGGCAATAAAAATGATTCTGATTCTGATTCTAAATTGGATCAGGTGAAAATCCGCTGGAGGAATACTAACTTTTTGAAAAATGCTATTGAAGCATTTAGCATTTCACTCCACCTCTGCTGCTGTGACCCGTCCTGCTCCACCCAGAGGCTACTCCACCTCTGCTGCTGTGACCCGTCCTGCTCCACCCAGAGGCTACTCCACCTCTGCTGCTGTGACCTGTCCTGCTCCACCCAGAGGCTACTCCACCTCTGCTGCTGTGACCCGTCCTGCTCCACCCAGAGGCTACTCCACCTCTGCTGCTGTGACCCGTCCTGCTCCACCCAGAGGCTACTCCACCTCTGCTGCTGTGACCTGAAGGGCTGTCACTGATTATTACTAATGTTCGCTTTTTAGAATGATCAATTTTATTTTTATTTTTGCTGCTACTGGACACCTGAATTTCTCCTACGATTTCTCCTACGAGGATCAATAAAGAATCTATCTATCTAAATGTCCATCCATCCATTCATCCATTCATCCATTTTCTACCCTTTAATCCATTTCTGGGTCAGGGGGGTAACAGTCAGAGATGCCACCCAAGTCTCATAGCACCAGCCCCTCACTGACCCTCTGCAGGTGGTGAGTCCACAGGAGGACGGCTGCTCTCTGAGTGTGAGCATAGCCTTGATCTTTCAGTGGGGGCTTTGGGCAAAGTGGGGTTAAGTGTCTTGCCCAAGGACACAACGACAGCAGTCATCAGTGGGAGTCGGTGGAGAAGGTGTAGAGGTGGGAATTGAACCCATGACCTTCAGGCCTGAAGGCCAATGCTCTACCAACTGAGCTACTGTCCATAAATATAATTGAAAACTGTCATCGTATATATCGTATATATCTGTATCTATCTTTGGTTTGTGTTTTTAGGAAATTTTTCTCAAAGAGTCCGAGGTCGTGCTTTGCGGTGGTGCTGAGAGTATGAGCCAGGCTCCTTACGCTGTCCGCAACGTCCGCTTTGGGACTAAATTTGGATTTGATCTAAAAGTATGTATTTTTTTCTTTTGCAGTCTCATTCGAAACGGTAAATAATTTCACAACATTTCTCTGCTTTGTGTTGTAAATAGTTGGAAGACACCTTGTGGGCAGGTTTGACTGACCTACATGTTAAAATTCCAATGGGCATCACAGCGGAGAACTTAGCGGCAAAGTACGAGATTTCAAGAGAAGAGTGCGATAATTACGCCTTCCAGACGCAGCAGAGGTGGAAGGCGGGTGAGTTTGAGGCTGTAATGTTTTATGTATTATCACCAAACTGAATCAACATTCTGGTGTTTGATTATGGAACACTCAGAGCAACTAACTGAAATCTAAAATATACAAGGGCAAACGGATGACTGACTATGAAGAAAATGCATAGTAAGTCTGTTGTTTTGGAATAGAATATTTGGGGCCAGATTGGTGATGAGTGATGTTGGAGGTGAATAGTATAAAAAATGACTTAGCAACCAGCAGAACAAGGGACTGGATTTATATAAGAATGTTGTCTTCCTTCTCTTGTGGCTGGGCGCTCCCTTAGAGATAGGGTGAGAAGCTCAGTCACACGGGAGGAGCTCGGAGTAGAGCCGCTGCTTCTCCACGTCGAGAGGAACCAGTTGAGGCGGCTCGGGCATCTGTTCCGGATGCCTCCTGGACGCCTCCCTGGGGAGGTGCTCCGGGCACGTCCCACCGGGAGGAGGCCCCGGTGTCACACTGACACTGTGTGACAGTGTGTGGATAGGGAAGTCTGGGCGTCTCTGCTTAGACTGCTGCCCCCGCGACCCGGCAACGGATGAAGCAGAAGAAAATGGAATGGAATGGAATGTTGTCTTCCTTCTGTTCCTGTAAATATAGTATCTAAGACGTGTGTAAACAGGATGGCATGGACAGATGAATAAATCTAGCTTTTCCTTCAAGGAGAGACAGAGTTGTTCTCAGGCCAAAGTTTTAGAGGTTTTCTACTTTATTATCATGCTAAAGTCAGTGATTTTGTTCTTAATTCTTGCTTCTTAACCATGCTAAAGTTAGAGATTATATTCTTCTTAAATTAACAATAGCTCTATACTAAATTATCTTGTGCTCATTCCTACTCTTCTGTAACTGGTGATGGACTTCTCAAATTTCCCCTCTGTGGGACGAAAGGATCTGTTCATCTGATCTTAAAATATTATACTGTATATAATGTAAAGGCTCCTGTGGTGAAACCCATACAACAATCCATCTGGTTCGTCCAATGGTATTGTTATGTCCATATTATATTAATAAATGAATCAATACAATCTGTTTCATGTAAAAATAAAATCTCACGGCACACCACCAACGGAAAACTGAAGCCTTTTAATAACAAAGCCTAGTTATTCTCACCAATGTGTACTGTATAGAAAATCAAAAAAGCGCAAAAAGTTTTCAAATCGTCTCGCATTATTTTTTTGTGTACATTATTGACCAATTAATCTGTACTTTTATGTAATTGGGTATAACTGTTGCTGCCTCTTGTCCCGGAAACACTTCAAAAAAGAAGTTCTTAAACTCAATGGGACTTTCCTGGTTAAACAAAATAGAATAAAATTGAATGATAAAGGTGATATCCAAAAGTACACCAAGCAAAGACGTACAAATATTCCACGGTTGAAAATCCTTCCTCTTTCTCTCTTAGCTCACGACGCGGGACACTACAACGCTGAAATCGCTCCCATCGATGTGAAAGCCAAGAAAGGCAAAATCCCCATGACTCAGGACGAACACCCGCGCCCTCAGACCACTCTGGAGCAGCTGGCCAAACTCGCTCCCGTCTTCAAAAAGGGCGGGACCGTCACCGCGGCAAATGCTTCGGTATAAATGACCGGTCTCCTCTTCTCTGATTGCGGTCCAGAGTTCCACCTGCTGAGCGTCTGTGTGTGTGTCATCAGGGCGTCTCTGATGGAGCTGCTGCTGTGGTCATCGCCAGTGAAGACGCCGTGAAGGAGCATAAACTCACGCCACTCGCCAGAATAGTCGCCTACCACGTGTCCGGCTGCGACCCCAGCATCATGGGGATCGGTACGTACAGATATAGATTCAGACTAAATGCAGTAAAACCACATTGGAATAGATGCGCAAAAGTCCCCCCAGTGTGCATAAGACAAGTACATCGATAAAACGAGAAAAACAACAGCTTCCATACCAAGTGTAAGATCATTACCTGCTGATAACAGATTGTGGAAAGAAGCTGTTGGCATGTCCAGTTGTCCTGCATCTTGGCGAAGGATGTCTTCTGCCAGAGGGAAGAAGCTGGAACATGCCTTTCCCAGGGGCCAGAAGAGACAATGATTATTCTAAGAGCTCATTTTAAGAGTCTGTATTCATAACGAACCTCCAGAAACAGAGAGATCACAGTCCTCTTTCAGAGCAGAGCATCTCTCTCCGGTCTCTGTTTAGTCTCACTCTAGTCTCTCACTGGTCTCTCTCTCTGGTCTCTCTCTCCCTTGTCTCTCTCTCTCTTGCCTCTCTCTGGTCTCTCTCTCTGAACTCTCTCTCTCTGGTCTCTCTCTCTTGTCTCTCTCTGGCATCTCTCTAGTCTCTCTTGCCTGTCTCTGGTCTCTCTCTTGTCTCTCTAGTCCGTCTCTGGTCTCTCCCTCTGGTCTCTCTCTGGTCTCTCCCTGGTCTCTCCCTCTGGTCTCTCTCTGGTCTCTCCCTGGTCTCTCCCTCTGGTCTTTCTCTGGTCTCTCTCTCTGGCCTCACACAGTCACAGAACCAACAAGCAAACTACCAATGGTGCAGTAATAAAAGCAGATTCTTAGAGTTTATGGTGAAATTCTCGAAGTTTCCGCAGAAAGAAGTTTTTTGTCCCAACTGTGTGAAATCTAGTATTTTGCCCACAACAATTGTAAAGCTCTTTGTGACTCTGATCTGTGAATGCACTATATACACAAAGATTACTTCCTTATTTTATAAACAGCACATGAATGATTGCATACAAGACAGCACTTCTGAGCCCAATCCATGCTAAAGCTAGTGCTAACAACAACAAAAACAGTCTGTCTGGCTAACTCTGATTCTGATTACATGTGTCTTTCCAGGCCCAGTTCCTGCCGTCACCGAAGCCCTAAAAAAGTCTGGCCTTTCGTTGAGCGACATGGATTTAGTGGAGGTTGTTAAAATACTATGTGCACACGGGGATGTATTTTATATTTGTTATTCATTATTAATCTTTGTCTTTCTGTGTGCAGGTGAATGAAGCATTTGCTCCACAGTTCTTGGCTGTGTCTAAAGCATTAGGTCTGGATCCCGAAAAGAGCAACGTTAACGGCGGAGCTATCGCGATCGGACATCCGCTGGGGGCTTCTGGTACAAGAATCACAGCTCACCTGGTTCACGAGCTCCGGTAATTAGATCTAATAGTTATTGTACGTTTTATTTGTATAAACTCAACTTAAAGTGCATTCAAATCGTTAATGATCACAGTGCATTCAAATAAGTGAAGATACAAAAAAACAGAACTGGATTTGAACATTGTCAGAGAAGAAGCCTCTCTTGCGTTTTCAGGAAGACTGTTCCAGATTTTAGCTGCATGAATCTGAAACGCTGCCTCCCCATGTTTAGTTTTGACTCTGGGCACCAGCAGGAGGCCAGTCCCTGTGCTCCTCAGAGTCCGAGTTGGTTCATACGGCACTAACATGTCACAGATGGACTTTGGTGCGAGGCCATGGAGGATTGTTCACACGCTTTTGGACGGCCACAGTTGTCAATTCCTCAACAACAAATCAGAAAATCAGTCCGAACACAGGAAATGCAATAATAACAAATACATAGAAGCCTTTGGTCCATAGGAAAAAGCATGACCAATGTCCATAGATGTCCATAAATAGCCTTTTAATGTCTAATGCTTGGTTTTATAAGTCATAATTTCACTGTTTTCGTCCTAATTTATTGTGTTTTTTCTTTGATACAGACGAAGAGGCGGCAGGTACGCTGTTGGTTCTGCCTGCATCGGTGGTGGTCAGGGAATCGCCATCATTATCGAAAACACTAACTGAAGAAACCTGTTTCGATTTGAACAGCAACACATTATGAATGATCGTGAAATGCCTTGGAACAGATATTCCCAAACACAAAACCACTGCTGGTCACACGTTTATACAGCTCTTTGTAAAGCAGTCTCTTCTGTCATGTGCCTCTAATGCTTGTTAATTTGCAGTAATAAAATCACAGCTAAATGACCTGATTGCTATGTGCTTATTGTAATGTCCTTTCTGCTTTAAGATCCTCTGTAGCCTCTGCTGACTTACCTTTCATGTGAAGTTGTCTAATTCTAGTAGCGTTTTATTTTCCACCGGTTACTGGATGGTAGAGTACAGTAGATTTGTGGACTTTGGAACGAGAGAAATTGCAAAATCCTCGGGTCAAGCACAGGGCTGTAAGTTTTGAAATCGGTGAAGTCCGGTTTATGTGACTGAAAATGTATAGTTGTTTTTGAATAATGAAATATGACTGATTGGTGCCAAGATAAGAAGCAATATTGTCGCACTGTCGAGATTTTTGAAGTTACTGCAACATTACAAGCATTACATTATATGAATAAAAATCTGTCAATATTGGAGAATAACTCAGTCTTGATGCTCAAAGAAATCTTAGCTGAGTAATATATGTAGGGAAAATATAGGAATATTTCAATAATGATTAGATACATTCTTATAAGCACAGTAGGCATAACTGTTTAGTAGTGAATGACACATATTTGAGTATCCAAAAAGCACAACAAAAAAAGAACCTATCAAATCAAAGAAATTATAACTACAATATAAAACCAATGCATTACATCTGAAAAAATGCCCATTGCTGTAGAATCTTCCTTCCACACCTCTACATAAATATTGACGGACGCAAAAAGGAGGTCCACAACACTCACATGGCATATGCGCTTAATAGCAAGAAGGTCCTGGTTCTACACCAGCTGCATGCCTTTCTGTGTGGAGGCCACAGATTTGTTTTAATGTAATGAGAGAGTGACTTTGATGGTGATGGTCGGAGGCTTTGATGTGCCTCTGTGTTTGGTGTCTTGCTTCTGTCATCAGCACGTGTGGAGAGAATGGAAATTACAGGTACCCTATAATTGTAAAGTGTGTTGTGTGACCTTGATCTGTGAAATGTGTTATATGATATTAATAATAATATTAGTAATAATGCATCGGTTTTATATAGCGATCAATTGGACACTCAAAGACACTTTACATGTCATTATTCATTCACTCAGTGGTGATAAACTACTACTGTAGTCGCAGCTGCCCTGGGGCACACTGACAGAAGCGAGGCAACCAGTATGAGTCCCTCCGACCATTCACACTCACCAGACTCATTCAAGGCAATGTGGGTGAAGTGTATTGCCTGAGAACAAGACACCAGATTGGGATTTTACAGCCGCAGCCACCCCATTGTGGCAGCTGGTCTTCCCAGAGGTCTCCCATCAGAGTACTAACCAGGCCCTGCCCTGCTTAGCTTCAGAGGTCTGACAGGATCTGGCTTTTTACATGCAGGTAAATAAAAAATACTTACTTTATATATTTATTTTCTTTTATTGGTGAATATTATTGTGAGTTTGTCTAGTATTTGCAGGAATCGTTATAAGAAAAAAATAATTTATATTTATTTCTCTTTATGACCCATTCACTATAACTACAGTAACACACTTTTGCCTTATTATATTGTAAGTTATATTTTAATAAAACTACAAACTCCAAAAGAGACAGCAACACCAACAGACCGCTTACGCCGTACGTCAACGTCATTGTGCGACGTAGATATATACGTCAAGTGCCCGGATGTCGGTCTTTTTTTCATAGCAAAGGTAAGATGGCTGCTCCATTCCTGATACTGTTCATGACAAATCCAACATCATCTGCTTTTCTGAATAAAGATACAAAGTCATCGACCGCAGGGAAAGCGAGATTAACCGTATCCCTATAGATTGGGCACAATATTGCGTTGGATTGTCGCGTCTGTATTGTTTATTAGCAGGTTTCACGGGGACGTTAGCATAGGCCACCGGCTAGCCTTCATGCTGCTTTTAGCTTCGTTGCACGCTCACGAATAAACTCACGTTACATAGGGCTGGTAGTACAACAGACGTGTAAAATCTGTATTTGCACCATGTTCTTGTCTAAATTCTTGCTTGTTTAGTCTGTTTGTTGTTTTCTATAAACTATGAGGTCTGTTCGTTCCGTAAATGTCAGTAATACATTTCAGTTGTTGGAAACTACGAACAAATTGTGAGATTTTGAGTGAATTGCTTTAATTTAGTGCATCATGCCCCTAGAACTGTAAGGGTGGTCGTTAATGAACATCTGAATGATCTAATGTTGTGACGTGAACGATCCAGAATTTTAAGCACGGATTCTAGTGTATTTTGGTGTATATCATCCTGATGGAGCGGTTTTTTTCTATTGACATCTTTAAAGCAACGTACCCAATTTTTAAATGACATGTAGTTGGTCCGATCTAAGGGTCTTGTAAATGCTCAATTCTGAACACATACTACTGTATTGAGGCACTATTTGACTGTTTAGGCTGAGTGACGTGGATATCTTTTTCAAATTGTGTTAACTACTGTTGTGATTAGGGCTATATAAACATTCATTGATAAAGGCTGATCTAAGACTGTGATGTAAAATAAGATAAACCTGTATTCGTCTCTCAGTGGAGAAATTTCAGGCCAACATTTGTCAAAATTGGTGCTAGAATTAAAGTTCAGAACTAGTCAGATGAATTTAATTTGGTTTTTTAAAGTAACCCCAGCTTCAATTTAGTGTTACTATCGATCTAATTGGTTCTGTCCTCATATCTTCATAGATGGCAGAGGGAGACAAAAAGAAGTCTACCAAGAAGAAGCATGGGAGCCGAAACCCGGTCCTGGCCCGGGGGATCGGCCGTTACTCCCGCTCTGCCATGTATGCCCGCAGAGCCATGTACAAGAGGAAAACAAAGACCTCTGAGACCAAGGTTCGAGTCCACACCTGCAGCTGTGTCTGAAGCAGGTTCCACTAATGTCCTCTGTGCTCACTGCTGTGTTTGTCCTTTTTTTAGATTGAGAAGAAGCTCAAGGAAAAGCCCAAGGCCACTATTGTCAAACCTGTTGGTGGAGATAAAAATGGAGGCACTCGCGTTGTAAAGATCCGCAAGATGGTGAGATCAGAATTGTTTTGAGTACCTTTAGTTTATGGACAATAAGCCACACCACGTACATAAAAAAAAAAAGTGTGCCACATATAGGCCGCACCTGAAAACAAGCCGCAGGGTTACCAAAAAATCGGAAATTACTAGGAACTAAAGGGGCGTTCACACCGGACTTAACTTCGGCGTCAAAAGCGTCAGGTTTCCATTGAAAGTGAATGGTGAAGCGCGTCAGGTGAAGCCGAGAGCCCCGGCGTCACTTGACGCGCGTCAAAAGCTTCAAGAGTCGCGCGTACTACGCGCTCACTTGAAGCTTTTGACGCGCGAAACGCTCGCGTATCACAACAATCCCTTTGACGCCGAAGTTGAGCAAAGCTGAGCTTTTGAAGCTTTGACGCGGGCTTCAACCAATCAGGAGACGAGGAGCAGCAGCAGCAGAGGGTCTGTCTCTGTCATGAAGAGAAGTCATGTATCTGCTGCTGCTGTTTTATTGTCATTATTGTTATTAGTAATATTATTTGTATGAGTAGTAAAATTCTGAGTAACAAAAATCCTTGTACACATGCTGTGTAGTAAACGTAGTTTATTAAATATAAGAACAGGCTGACGATGGGTCTGGCTCAGAGCAAGGCAGCTCCGGGCGGGCGAGAGCCGAGGAGAGGCAGGGAGAGGCGAGCGAGAGCCAGGGAGAGGCGAGCGAGAGCCAGGGAGAGGCAGGGGGAGGCGAGAGCGAGGCGGGGAGAGGCGAGCTCCGGGGTTTGAGAACTCAGACTGGGCAAGTGACATGCGGAAGTACCGCTGAAAGCGAAACTCCTCCGTACGCAGCTCCTGGAGTAAATGACGGAACTCTGCAAACACTGCAGCCTCTCAAGTCTGTGGTGAACCCAGAACATGTTTTGTGGAAGCCCTACAACAACGTTATTTTGCTTTATATAACAAATAAAGGCTCGCTGCTCATTGAAAAATCCACCGCTGTCCTGACTACAGACAACAGAGAAGCTCCTCCCACCGGTGTCACTCCCGTCAAAAGCTTCAAGCACCAAAATGACAAAACTATCCCGGCGTCAGTTGAAGCGCGTCAAAAGCTTTTTGAAGCTTTTGGTCTGAACGCGCCTTACGAATTTGCTTTGGCTAAAGGTACAAACAAGTCACAAGGGCATATAAGGATTAAAGACATGCACACATAAGGATGCATTAAAAAATCTGCATGTTAAAGTAGATTATACTGAAATTACAAGCAACATTTTGAGGTCTGGCATCAAACGTGTAAAGATCTAGACATGTGTTTTTATAGCATGCTTTCAGTCTTCAGATAATTCTAGTCTCTGACCTAATCCTTCTCTTTTGTCATAGCCCCGATACTACCCAACAGAAGACGTTCCCCGTAAACTCAAGAGCCATGGCAAGAAACCCTTCTGTGAACACAAGAGGAAACTGCGGGCTTCCATCACCCCAGGAACCGTTCTGATCCTGCTCACCGGGCGCCACCGCGGAAAGGTACTTGGAACGCTCCTGCAGCAATGAGCTGGTGTCCTGTGTGTGCGTTACTTTTCTGAAAGACACAGGTGTGATTCTAGGCTCTCTGAATGTATTACATGATTGGTAGAAAGTGTTAAAAACGTTACTATTGGTTATGTCAAAAGTGCAGGAAGTCCAGATAGAAATGATAAAATACCATTATTACCCTTTTGTGGGTTCATATAGTATAATTGGACAGTTACCCATAGCATCTACATAACTACGTCTATGGGCTAACTTTGCAAACAGCTTGACCGATAAAATTACTTATGTATTCTGATAAATCATTTGGAGCCAGAATAGTCTGACAAGTTTCTCTGCACTTGTTAAGCTGCACTATCCAGCCATGGCCCCTCACTTGCGTGTGAGGGGCCATGTGCAGACAAAGCTTGTTTCCAATCAAACAAATTCGTCAAAACACATCAAGGTAATGACTTCAGAAAACCTTATATTGTCTGGTATAGAAGAACCCAATACTTTTAATTCTACAAGATGAATCTTCCAAAGCAAACTAAAGCACATGGCCTTAGTTTGGTCTAGAACAACCCCACGTGTTCTTGATAACCGCCATGTTCAAATTATGTACAGAAAATGCCTCTTTGTAATTGATAGAACGTTTGAGTTATTCCTTATTCACCAACTTTTTTATATTTTATTACAAATGGACTTTTTATCTGGTGTCATGTCCGAAAGGAGGGCTGTGATTTAAGGATTTTCAAATTTCTGCTCATGGAAAATTTGCAACTGTTTTGACAAATATACAAGAGAAGCAGTTTTGGATCTTTCTAGGTTGTCGCATACAAATTACAGGCAGTGGAATTCTTGTTTTTCCAGCAGATGTAGAGTATGGTTCTAAATACACGGTAACAAAAGACAGTTGGGCCTGGATTATTCTCATCCTCTCAGTCCTTAGTTTCTATCTTTTGTAGACACTTTTAAAATTGAACCTTCCTTGACTGTTGTCGCTTCTGTTGCAGCGTGTGGTGTTTCTGAAGCAGCTTTCCAGCGGTCTCCTGCTCGTCACCGGTAATAATCTTTCGTGGCTTGGTTTAAACCTCGTAATGTGTTGAGACTTTTAGTAATGGTCGTGCGTTTCTTTCAGGGCCTCTTGCCTTGAACAGAGTGCCGCTGCGTAGGACTCACCAGAAGTTTGTCATTGCTACCAACACCAGAATCGACATCTCTGGAATGAAGGTCCCCAAAACCCTGAATGACACATACTTCAAGAAGAAGAGGCTGAGGAGGCCCCGTCACCAGGAGGGAGAGATCTTTGACACAGAGAAGGAGGTGGGATATAATTAAATACAAGATTATGTAAAATATGTATAAATTGTCTCTGGTGTTTGAGGCTAAACATCAGGAGCTTCTGGCACAGATGGTAATAAACTAGTCTCTATTCAAAGCCTGTTTTTCACATTCAATATAAGTTTCCTACACTATTTATTTAAAAGACAATAATTTCTATGGCGCAACACAGGCATTTTACATTTGACAAACGAGTGTCGTGGTGTTAATGTACCACAGCTTTAAAGCGATATATGGTAGATGTTTTTTTTTTTTTTTTTTTTACCCTTTCAAAACGTTGATCTTTCTCACATTTCAGACAAATAATTTTTAACCTTGGGTCTCACTACTACATGAGGCTGAGCTATATTATGAAATGAAATTCTCTAAACGTTATGAAATGGTCTTAAATTTTACCGCTCCAGGATTAATTTTTACCAATTATTACAAGAGACTTATGAAAAGTGGTGAAATCATGTTTGTGTCCCTTGCTGTATTTTCATGCATGGTTTGATCAGTGTGTATATATTCGTTAACCCCAGATGGCGTTGCTCTGATCACACGACGAATCTAGTTCTACGTGGATTTTAATTTCCTGAATCTGAAATGTGGACAATTCGTCAGCATCGCAGCCATTTTTGCTCGAAGGCAGAAATGGCTGCGATGTGTAGGAGTCGCATCTTTAATGTCACCATGATTCACTTGACTTTAATGAAATCCTTTAGGACCATTGTTATTCCACCAGTTTGGCTCAATGTGGAGATTGTAAATGAACGAGCCACAGGTGTCAGGAATGGCAGATGTAACTATAACGTCTGTTTATCAAAGTATTCAACATGTCATATTCTAAAATAGGGCTGCACAATAGTCATAGTTTTTATCATATTGGAAAGTTTAGTATTTGTGTGGATGTTTCTTTAACACAAGCTTTGACTTTGTTGCTAGAGCCTTCAAAACTAATGTATAGACAAGAAGGAAACAATCTGAATGTTGTGGGGTGAAGCAAGACTGGTTTTGAGATTAACTTCTTTATGGATCAAAAATATCCTGCTATACATGTATAAGTTGTAAATCATTCCAGACTAGGGATGTAAATCGGTGACCGTTTAACCGGTGGTTGACCGTCACAGCGTTAACCGGTCAAAGCTGTCGGTTAAAAATAAGAAAAAGCGGAGAGGGGAGGTCTCTTAATAAGGCTATTAATAAGCCCTATTTGTACGATGTGACGAGCGGGTCCGTATCTAGCTGTGTGCGGCAATGCATTAGTAGACTACGGGCGACTTTCATGGCGCACGCTCCACATATGCACGCAGCCACGCACGCGCGCGCGCACACACACTCACACATACACGCACAAACACTTTCCCCCCCTCCATACGTAACATCCACACGCATCATCTCTCCCCTCTGTTACCGTCAAAGTTCCACACTAGTGCAGGTCAGAACTACATTGGAGCTTATATTTACACACACATACATATACATGTATTGTACACACACACATACCGGTCTGTCGCGCACCTCTGTGTCTCGCAGCCCAAATAATCCTCGCAAATACGCGGCCCCAGTCAAACACATGAAACATGTTTGTGCTGCTGGTCCTTGTCATTAGATCAGATCCACACACATCACTTTTAAACTTTAGCGGAGACCTGCGAGACGCGGGGTGTAACTCGCTGCTCTGACCATGTGAACAAGCCGTCAAAACTCTGGCACCTAAAGGGTTAACCCGCAGCACAGCAGAATGGGAAGATTAAAAAAGCAGTTCTCTGTGCGCAAAGGTGCCGAAGCTGTTGCGGGTTTTGGCGCCGCTGTCTCAGCTCTGATCTAGTAGAACGCATAGATAAACTTATGAAAAGTACGCGGCTCGAAATGGCTGTTATTTCAAAGAACGTGGAATATTTTAAACTACGCGGTTAACCGGTTTCAACCGGTTAATGAGGCTCGGTGGTCGGTCATGAAAATGCATAGCTTTTTACATCCCTATTCCAGACTCAAGGTCCATATATTGTTGCAATCATTCTTTTATTGTATTTGTTTAATAACATGCATAAAACGTACAATTATTCACAGAAACAAAAAAACCTATGCATTTGAATCCAATCTCCTCCAGTCGTTCAATCCCATGCTACAATTCAACAATCAAAACTCTAAAATACCCAACAACCTCTGCATATCATAAATTTCCTCTATCGTCCATCATAATTGAGCATAAACTGCATATTCCTTCATGATCTAAGTGTTTCTATCCTCTCCTCTTGTAGAAGTACCAGCTGACAGAGCAGAGGAAAGAGGACCAGAAGGCTGTAGACTCTCAGCTCCTGCCCCTGATCAAGAAAGTCCCTCAGATGAAAGGATACCTGCGCTCCTCTTTCTGTCTGTCCAACGGAGTTTTCCCTCACAAGCTGGTTTTCTAATCTGTCAATAAAGAGCGCCCTGGTTGCCATCATTTACTGGTCTGTCGTTACTGGTCTGGGTTCAGTTGTTTGAAAGGCTCTGGTCATTTGGTTTAATTGGCTAATCTGCTCTGCTACTGCTTACAAAATAATTCAAGGGATAATTTTTGAGGGTGAAGTTTACATATTTAAACAATTTGGAAAAAATTCTCAAGATTGAGTTAGATGCATGTCGTCCTGGGAAAGCCCTTTTTGGTATTTAGTTAACGGGGACAACGTACAAGCAGGGCTTAGTTTTCCGGCACCGTGCCGGAAATCCGGCGTGAGAAAAAAAAAAAAATCACTTTTTTTTTTTTTTAATATATATATAAATAAATAATGATTGCTGTCATTTGAAAAAGGTTCAAGTGTGTTCTACCAATTGTATGAAAGGATTGCATGTGTATAGCGCAGGGATTAAAGAGTTCCGTCTAAGTGACGGATTTCCGTCAAATGAAATTGGTCTGAAAAAAAAAACAAAATATATAATACACACAATGAAATGGTTAATTATAACAAAATATATAGTAATACGTGTGAATCTGTTGTATATATCTAGATATTAATAATTTGAATATAATTGTATTTATATGTATATAGAAATAAAAAGTAATATAATCACGAGTGGGCCTTGAACGTGCCGTGGCTAGCTACATGAGCGCTCCGTAAATGATTCAAGGCAATGGGACGTAGCCAAGTTAGCGATGGTAACACGGAGGTGAAAGTTTCTGAAAAGTGCACGGAGCTTTTGAAAAGGAGAAGAGGACAAGGAAAATGTAATCCCGAACGGAGCAATAACAGCCAGCAGCCCGCGGACCGGTAAGCTAGGCGCGTTATCAGAGGAAAGGTAGGACATAATTAACGTTTACCAAACGCAATGCTTTTTTATTTAACGGAATGTACAATATGTACTTTGCTGTGACTGGGAATGGGGACAAGCATGTCTTGGTGAGCTTTTGATAATATCTTGGTGGCGATCCCCATGCAAAACTGCGTGATAAAAAGAGCCAATCAACGAGAGCGAACGGAAGAAACTCGCAGAAGAAAGGTGTGTGTTAGCAGGTCTTATATTCATTCATCAAAGCTAGCCTAGCATGCACGCACAATCACAATCATGGATCGTTGTTTATGGAAGAAGGAGCAGTATAAGTTGCTGTTGATAACAGTGAAAAATAAATGGAGGTGGGCATGGCTGGATGAGGTGGAGACGATGGGATTCTGTTGCTTCATGGTGCAAAAAGATGAAGGTGTCCGGTGCTTGTTCGTACTTCGCTATTATTATTTTTTTATATGGGAGTAATGAGAAAACAGCTTTGGATTCACCACCAGCTCAAAACTGCGCACTTGGCAGCTGTCCGTGCACTTTCCCACACTTCTTTACCTGGTGCATCAGATTCAGCGACAACTGAGACTAGGCTTGCTCTGGTGGACTGTGTCTGTGACCTAAAACTAAGATCTGTGGCTTTATCGCAGAAAATAACCTGTCGTTCAGAACCATCACTACCGCTGGTAGATTTAATTATCATTAATCATTTGCAGTTGATAAAACTGCGCTGTGCACTAGCACCAAGTTGATAGGGAAACCTTTTTCTTAAACATTGAGTGTCCACAAACAAATGTGGACAGAATTTTGAATGTCCTTTTTAACATGTTGGGCGGAGGGTTTAATGAGGAGGCTACTTTGTCTGAACAATTAAATAGAGGGAAAAAACCGCATGGTCCAGAGGAGGAAGCAGCTGGTGCAGAGGAGAGTTGTCTGGCTGGTCCAGAGGAGGAGGCAGCTGGTGCAGAGGAGAGTTGTCTGGCTGGTCCAGAGGAGGAGGCAGCTGGTGCAGAGGAGAGTTGTCTGGCTGGTCCAGAGGAGATGATAAAAAGGCTGCAGCCCCACCGCACCAGCCAGACAACTCTCCTCTGCACCAGCTGCCTCCTCCTCTGGACCAGCCAGACAACTCTCCTCTGCACCAGCTGCCTCCTCCTCTGGACCAGCCAGACAACTCTCCTCTGCACCAGCTGCCTCCTCCTCTGGACCAGCCAGACAACTCTCCTCTGCACCAGCTGCCTCCTCCTCTGGACCAGCCAGACAACTCTCCTCTGCACCAGCTGCCCACTCCTCTGGACCAGCCAGACAACTCTCCTCTGCACCAGCTGCTTCCTCCTCTGGACCATGCGGTTTTTTCCCTCTATTTAATTGTTCAGACAAAGTAGCCTCCTCATTAAACCCTCCGCCCAACATGTTAAAAAGAAAGCATACAGATAATTCACACCCTAAACAAAAGAAAAAGAAATGAATATTTCAAACAGTACTGTTAGCATTTGTGTTGTTTTGTAATGTTTTACCAAATCAAAGTCTATTGAAAGTTAACACAGGTGCTTTATGAAGACACACAGCACACAAGCTCATTTGCACTTTAGTTTCATTTATTTGTGTTGAAAGCTAAATGTTTAATAAGTAGAATTTAAAAGTTAAGGTTTATTTATATATTTAAGGTTGAATCTGGAAGTGTTCTTGTTGCCTGATCCAGTGTTTTTAGTTTTTGTATGTCATATCTGATGTCTAGTTTGGATGTTTAATCAGTTTACAGTTTACACATAAAATGTTAGTAATAACATCAATAATAATTAAAAAAAAGAAAATAGTATATTCACTTACTGTGATGTGGTATGTTTTTTTTTTTTTTTTACATTATCACACAAATCCAAACTAGGGGTACTTGCAGAAAGGTCTTGGCAAGGTGAGGCTTTACATTTAAGTAACAATTCAATAGTCAGATGATGTATTTATTGCCAACAACTGATGTTTATAATAAACATCAGTTGTTGGCAATAAATAGATATAAATTATATGTATGAGCGTATAAAGGCGCTTATAAAAAACGCTTATTAGTGATCATTCTATGATTCATATAGATGGTTCAGGCTCAGGAATTTTTTCAACTTTAACCCATGTACAAGTAACATCAAGTAGATTTATTGTTCCAGGTTATAACAAATATTCACCTGTAGTCTGTGGGCAGGCTGTTATAGATTATTCTAAACTGATTTATGTAGATTGATACATGACTGCCTTACCTGCACACTTTAAACATTTACAAAACATTTTAAAATGAAGCAAAATACAGTTCCCAAATTGCAACTAAAATTCATAATTCACTCACTACAAAACCTTTAGGACTAGGTGTATTCGTAGACTGAAGGATAATCAATTGGACGTTTCTTACTCTACAGCAGGGGTCTCCAACCTGTGGCTCGCCGCCCTATTTCAGGAAGCTCCTAAAGGATTCTAGGATTTAACATCAAATGATATGAAATGACTAAAGTGACTTCAGGAGAATGTCATTTCATATCTTTTGACTACACATGTTTTCATAGATTCAGATACTGAGCAGTATGTCCATGTGTTCTCAATGATCTGTAGTTATTCTATCATTACAACTGCCGTTTGTTTTTATAAAAGCTCTACACTTGGAGGCTCATTGTCCACTAGATATGTTCAACTGTTGTAATTCTGTTATTCCGAATTCTAAGTTTGCAAGGTGTGCTCACTTCAGGATACAGTCATGGACATTCCACTCCCTGGGCTTAAATTTAGTTTTAGAAATGTGAAATCTTGATCCTCTAATGGTGCAGATGGATAGATATTTATGACCAAAGCCAATAAGGGGATGGTTTAATGTTTTCCATGGAGATGGAATGTTTGACTCCCTATGAAAAATGTAAATGACTCATGGAACATTTTTGACCAGTCACAATACCAACAGGTGGATCCTGGACCAGTGTGAGAATACATTTAAAGCGGTGCCTAAGTCACTTAGAACACCTGCACCGAAACTGTCCATATTGAACATTTTAGGATACTTTAAGCAATTTACATTTCCTGGATACAAATGACTCAAACTCCAGTTTAATATTTTGCATTTATTAGGCATTTAGGAGCATTGCTAAACACCTGTTGAACTTCCAGTCCCTAATCCTTGAACAGAAAATGGAACTAAACGGGTTTGTTAACATGTATTGCCAAGATCAGTTAAATCCAGCAGAGCCTCATATGCAACAGTGAAATTGCACCAAGCTGAAATATTTGCGTCTCACATCTGCAAGAGCTGCTCTTAGTTCTCTGGGAAGCAAACATGTAAATTCTGTCACCTCCTGGCGACACTTAAATGACAGAAAGAGAAACTGATGCTTTGTCCCTAAAACGGGTCTGGGACACGACAAACTATTGTACTGCACTCTCGAACTTCAACCTCTGAACAATTGAAAATGGTCATTGGTTTATTTAAGATCACTTCAAATCATTTAAAGGGTAACATCAAAAGAAAACAAGGTTTTTGGCCCAGCCTGACGGCTTTGCTTTAATTAAAAAAAACAAGTTCTAATGTAAGACAAAAATAAATACAAGTCTCTCACGTGGCCATATTTTCTCTCAAACAGAAAATAAACATGAAGCACAGAAAAGGCAGAGGCCCCTTGCCAAAGGAATGATGGGTGCCTTTGTTGAGTCAGTCACTGATGTATGTGGTCAGCTGCTTTTGAGAAAAGCCATTCCTCAGCCGGACTTGAACAGCAGGATGGCCACCTGACCCAAGTAGAAGTAAATAAAATGCTTGGTCTCGTGGGTTACGTAGCTGCCGAAGTTCCTCCCAACAATGCAGTGCCATGTTGGGTTGTATTTTTTGTCGAACTCCTGTAAAGAGTAAAATAATACATTATTCGCACACGTCGGTGTCGTTGCCAGATCCAGAGCATCTGACTGATGCCGTCACCTTCTTGATGAAAGCAGCGATGTCCTTCTCGATGTTGTACTTCTCCAGGGCCTGGGTGGCACACTCCACTGCGTCCTGCTGCATGTCCTCAGACATGTCTGCATTCTTGATCACGGCCTTTCTATCAGACATGTTGCCTTTGGAAAACAAAACACAGAAAACCAATCATTTTCACCATCGTAGAACTCAGAGTAAAATACATGTATAATCCATCCTCCAAACACACTGCTCCATTTCACACGCAGCTCAGGCGAACAATGTTATTACATAACACACATAATATATCTGGCCATTTATATCAACGTTGCATAACTTCTAACTCAAATGGATGCGACTCGCGGTGATGCGTAGTTTCTATGGCTACAAGAGGATCGCAGATTAATGGATAATAATTAGCCAAAGACGGTGATAACGATAAATACAGTGTGTCTGCAGCTGGCTGTGATTAACACCTGCTCAGGGATCATGCAAACACCATTTCATCTATTATTAATTATATACATTTAGTGGACTTCATATGTTAAATTATACTTTTCAGACACGTTTTTTGCACAATAATCCAGAGCACATGGACGCGACGATCAATGAGAAGCTGCTTTTTATCACAATAGAAAAATAAAGCGCAGCAGTAACTTCAGCCATGGCCAGAACACAACAGCAGAACCACACACAGATTTGATATTCGGCTGAAACGTTACCTTAGCGCTGCGTGGGTGCTCTTTATACCGAGATGAAGCGACTTCTCCAGCAACGTTAACTCCCGCGAAGTGGCTGACATAAAAGTAATGTGGGTGTGTGGTGGAGAGAGGCTGTGTGGAGGCGCGCTCTGATTGGACCAGACTCAGGAACGGGCCGCTCCCATTGGCTGATTTAGGCTTCTATCTCTGCTCTTTACCCCCGCATTTTATTTCAGACCGCCATGCATTGCGGTACACCTGTCTCCACAGCAACCGTTACAAACATCCAATGCGTACAACGTTATGGTCCAACGCACCAATGTATTTATATATTTTAAAATATTTGGTATATAATGTTCATAAACAAACAATATGGCGACAGTACACAACAGGCCACACAGAAACGCTGCACAATTATGACATTTAAATAAATATTTGATGAAATACACAATAATAATGCATTGGTTTTATATAGAACCTTTTTAGACACTCCAAGAGGCTTCACATGTCATTATTCCTTTACTCCAAACTACTACTGTGGCCACAGCTGCCCTGGGGCACACTGACAGATGGAGGCAACCATAAGGGCCAACCTGCCCCTCCGACCACCAACCATTCACACACACACGCGCACACACACACACACACGCACACACACACACACTCAGACCCAACATCAGAATTGTGTTTATTTTACTAACAACATAATTTTAAAGTACCACCTTATATGGAGTTTTGACTGTGTCCAAAAAGTGCTTTATAAAAACAGTGCATTATTGTTATCATTATTAAAGGAAGGTCACCTAATTGTCAAACCACAAAAATGATTTCAATAACGTGTTTGTCATTGTTGTGTGACTCACAGAGCATTTTTTCAGTGTTCAAACCATGTTTTCCAATAAGATGAAGACATCATGTTGTGTTCTGATTCATTCACAGCATTTTACCTTTCTCTTTCAGCTGGAACGAGCAAAATGCTTTATTTATAAGAGAGAAAGTAAAGAACCCCAGCTTTAAGCACTGCTGCTACAGGGGGCTCTAAACCCTCGGTATTTTGTCCCACAACATCAAGCCGTCCCCTTTCCCAAACAACGACTCTAACGATAAACTCAAAGAAAGAACAAAGCAATAATCATTTCCTAATGTCTCTCTTCGAAATACCAAGATGTTAGTGAGTGCCATGGCAACGGTTCTCATTTTCATCATTCTGGAGCACAGCACTGCAAAAATAGAATAAATTCAGTTCTTTGATGGAAGTGTAGAATAGAGGTTTTTTGGAAAACAAAAGTTTAAGCACCATTTTTACATAAATGCTACAGTTTATACGTCATGATGTGAGATTTCATAACACTTTTAAGCAACTTTTGTTAAAGTTAAACTCATCAATCTATCAATGTGCAGAAGCCTGTACTTTTCCCTTGTTGTGTCTATCTGAAGGCCAAGCTACATGGCACCGTGGCAGCTGCTGATTGGAGGTCTCCATGCCTCCGCTCTGTATAATACACTTGCATTCTGTTGTTTGTGTTGTTCGTGCTGTCTCTACCATCAACAATAAAACATGTCTTCTGCCTGAATGTAAGACGCAATCCCAGACATGTCATCTTCTTCAATGATGCTAGAATTGTGCAAATACCATGAGTATTTTTGGAGCGTTTATACCAGGCATTTCCAAACCCAGGCCCGGGGGCCAATTGCAGCCCTCAGTGTCCTTTTATGTAGCCCTCTGCCTCGCTAACCCGAAGTAGTTGTTGAGATCATAAACACAAGTTCACTGTGTCATCCATCCAACTTCAGCTCAGCCAATACAGACATGTCGTGTCTCGTTCTAAAGCTCAGTACGTCTGGAATTCAGTGGTTGACTTGTGAGCTGGTGAGATGGTAAACATTTGTCATTCAGCCAACTTCAGCTCCATTATAGATCATAAATCTCAGAACAGCCCGATGCCATACAAGACACTTTTTCAGTCCGTGACGTCGGCCCCTGGACTAGTCTGGTGAAATAAAGTGGCCCTCTTACTAAAATGTTTGGACACTGTATCTTAAGCTTTATCATTTGAAATCTGAGTAAAATGTGTTTCTACTTCTGACAAATGTGGTAAAAGTAAAAGATTGTCCAAATTGGGTAGAATATTTTGCTATCTATTATCATTCTTCAGTATGATTTTGTATAATATTGTTCAATTTAAAACCCACATCTCAGCTCAGACACGACAACAGATATGTAACTACTTTACGTTTTTTATTCAGACTCATACGCACTCACAGGTTCCATAGTAGCTAATAAGATAATTAAGAACATTCCTGAGATCCTCAAAACAAGTATCTGGTACACACTCAAACATATATTTAGTTATGTATGGTAAAATATCACTAATAACATGAGGCATTTCAAAGATGCTTCAAACCTTTTATTAACTAACAAGGACAGCACTATAATTTAAACTACAGCACTTACAAAGAGCCACAAAAGAAAGTAAATGATGTCCACGTATAAGCCGCAGCTTTTCTTGTTGAAATGTAACAGTTGACCAACAATACATGAACGCACTGTGGACTCGTGACCATCGAAGCACTCTTCTAAATCCATTTAAATACACTGCAAAAATGATCAAATATGAGGTAATAACTGCTTAAACTTGTCAATTTGAGCACATTCTCACTGTGATTCTCCAATGGGACAAAGCCATTTAGTCTTAATTCAAATTGCATTATTTTCTCATTCCAAGGGAGACCTTTCTTGTATCTTTTTAAAACAAGATATTTTTTCTTTTTCCCATCGGCAAAACTTAATTCAAGGCAGTCAAAATGTGCATTTGAGCATTTTTTTTGGCTTGTTTTCATCACTTTTAGCAGTTTCATGATACGTAACTTTGTTTAGACAATGCACCTTTCACATAAAAACAAGTCCAGTGTGTTTCCCCTCTTCTTCTTAGTGTTGAGTCATTCTGCTGTTCACATAAACATGCAGGAAGAAGCCGGAATGTACGGTTCATCATCAGCTCGGGAGAATGTTTAGGAAGGTCCATCTTGTCTTCTTAGTGGTATAAAGTTATTGGGTTCTCCTGCACTAGACTGAATTGTCCTTTAGCATGTTATTACCTAAATCCAGGTAACGATAACAGCGCTATATATACTTCCTAGCTCTAGAGATTGAGAGCTGATCGAGCTTTGGCCTGCACCATTCCCATGCTCCGTTAGTGCGCAAACAAAATACAAATACATACATTGGCTGGAGCGTTTAAAAGAAAAGTTGTGGCTTATAGTACGGCAATTACGGTACTTTCTCTAACCGGTCATTCCGACTCGTTATGCTAACTCCCCGGTCTTTTCATTAAAAAATATCACACAAACGCACTCCACTCAGCACCACTAGCTTTGTAACCATGAAAAATCTGGCGTTCATACACTTAAAATAAGGCTTTGCGCTATCACTAGGGAAAAAGAAAATCCTCCATAATATCAAACAAAACATAGCACAGTCCACATGATCCCAGCTTAAAGGCAAACATAAAAAAATAATCAAACTCATAATAGATTGACCCACTTCATATTGTACTAATGCAATAAATACTACTGTGGTTCTTCCGTGGGTCTTCACTCGCTGCGGTCTTTTGGTTCTCTGTATTTATAGTGGATGTATTCAAAGATGTCTCTCTCGCTGTCCACCATCAACGGCTCTCCCGCCACGCCTGCAAAAACCAGCACAGCAGCACACGTGTCATCGCTCAGGCATTTACCATAACGTCAAGACATTTCTGGTTGATGTTTATTAAAGCGGAGTCTCACCGGTGACTCCGAGCGGGCGGATGGTGTACTCGTTTAGAGTGAAGCCCTTCTCCAGAGCGTGGGTCCTCATGTTCTTGTTGAATATGTCGCTGCCGGTGAAGTACAGCACGCCACAGTAGTACTGGTCTTTGGGGATCAACCTGGAGGGAAAGACATGGAGGGGTTCAGGAGGGTCTGAGGTCTGAGTGGTGATGACTGGGACTCTGAGGAGCACAGGGACCGGACTCCTGCTGGGACTCTCAGGAGCACAGGGACTGGCCTCCTGCTGGGACTCTGAGGAGCACAGGGACTGGCCTCCTGCTGGGACTCTCAGGAGCACAGGGACTGGCCTCCTGCTGGGACTCTGAGGAGCACAGGGACCGGACTCCTGCTGGGACTCTGAGGAGCACAGGGACTGGCCTCCTGCCGGTCCCAGAGTCAAGACTAAACATTGGGGTGGCAGCATTTCAGATTCATGCAGCTACAATCTTTCATTCTTGTTTTTGTTCAGCGCTTTGAGTTTCCCCCGTTTATGAATTGTGCTATACAGATAAACTTGCCTTGCCTTTATGACATCTATGAACATTTATGGACAATGTGTTTTCATCAATGCATTTCCTGTGTTGTAACTGTGCTTGATTCTCTGATCTGTGTCGACAAATCGACAACTTTGTAAAGCTCTCAGCCCAAAGTGACAAACAGTGACTCACAGGGCTCTTTCTCACCAGTATCAGAAAGACCTCATGCTATGGTCTGATTTTTGGATAAACGTAATCTATTTAGGATGAAACTAAAAAGGTAACCCAGCTTTAAACATACACAGTGTTTGCTGCTGTCCGTGTAGTACAGGGGTGTCCAAACTTTTTAGCAGGAGGGCCACTTCAGTGCACCAGGTTTGTCCAGGGGCCGACAACATTCTAAAACTGCTTTTCGGACTTTGGGAAAGGAATTTAGAATTGGGTGTGAATTGCTCATATTTCTCGACACCGCATCTACACTGGTGCCATTTTGGGAGACAAGTGAAAACAAATGACAGCATATACAAAATAAAATGAATACCTGAACTTTACAACGCGGTGCAGCAAGACTAAATTGGTGAGCTGAAGTTGACTGGATGACAGTGAAAAGTGCCTCAATGGATAGTTTGTATTAACAAGGCAGAGGGCCGCATAAAAATGAAACCATGGGCCCGCATTTGGACCTCGGGCCTTGGTTTGGACATGCCTGGTTTAGCGGATGTGAAATTGAATCGAAATAAAAAATGTAGATTGATCAGTGCTAGGATTAAAAATGGTGATGATATTTTTGACAATGTTTTTCCTAATACCTGATATCAATACGTCGGTGGAGATATTCCTCTTCTTCTTCTTCGTCATTGTCTCCCTTTTGCAGCTGACAGACTCCCTGAAAAACAAGTCCAGGTTAGATCCTCCGCAGAGTCATGGGAACCAGGGCTCGGGTACAATTACTGTAACTCCATTACTAAACATTACATTACAGAAGTTTCATACGACCCACCATGAACTTTGTGTCCCCTTTGGAAAGTGTGTCGGTCACGAAACCAATGGACTCCAAATGCTCCACCACGGCGTGCAGCAACTTGGGCTGAAAAAGAAACGGGCAAAATAAACGTCTTTTTGAGGAAATATGGACCAAAACATGAGGCTATGGTTTAAGGGCTAGTTACATTCAGTCCCCTTTAATTTAGCTCATATTCGGTAGGTAAGACTCAGGTAAGACCATGGATCTATAGTGATATCTGGATAGGGTAAAACTAGCTCATATGCTAGAGAGCACACGGCATTCATTGGAATAGGGCGCCATCTTGGATCACCGGGGCTTGGGTAACACTTTTAAATACAACCTTAAGTCTTAAGACACATATTGTCAGTATGAAAACTTGAGCACTATCCTCTCCTCTTCCTACTTTATCTGTTCATTGCTATTCACCCTCTGTCCTATCTATTGGCGTGATGAAGGGACCCCTGAACCCGGGCTCTTTCCTGGGCACCTGTGGGCTGCTCTCCCCCGCCCTCCCCCGCCTGGGAGCCCCCTCAGTCCTGCCTTGCTTGGCCTCTGTTCTCGTTCTCGCTCTGATTCTCTGATCTGTGTTGGCGAATCGAGAGAATTTCTGTTGTGATTTATGTCTATACAAAATAACTGGAATAGATTTTCATACATTCATCATATATCCGCCTGCTGCACATGTAGTACGCACGCACACACACACGCACACACACACACACACACACACACACACAAAACACCATCTGTTGTATGTATTCATGGTTTTTATGCAATAATCCACCAAATTGATATGTTTACAAATATATTTACAATTTACCAGCTTGAAATGGAGTGGAAAGTAGAAAAAACAACCCAGCTTGGTTTGAGTAGTTAAATGAATGTAACACTTCTCACCTGCTTCTCGGTCTCAGACGTGTAATCAGGATGTGTCAGCAAGATATCAATATCACCACTCGACGCAGCGCCTGAGAGTAATCCAACCAATATGAGTTTTTACAAGATCACACCATTTAAAGATTTAAAGCTGGGGGTACCTAACTTTCTCTTCTTCTTAAATAATACAATGTTGTTTGTCCCAACGGAAAGAAAACGTCCACAGAATGCAGTCTTTATCATATTAGATTAAATTTTTTATACATGTAAGAAAGAGCCCAGTGCGTCTCTATTCTTCACATGATATCTCTTTTATTACCGTACGACATTTCCTGTGTCTTTTATGCCCTGTGCCGCTCAAACAAATTGCCCCTGGTGGGATAAATACACCTTTTGAAACCATAGGGCTTATAGTGTCAAATAGCCATAAAAAAATATTGGTGTATGAAGTCAATGCTTTGAAGGAAGATTGGGCCTCATTCACGAATAACTTCGTAAGAAACTACTCAACTTTCTTCTCAAGTTGTCCTTAAGTAGATTTCTAAGAAGTCCCCACGTGGGATTCATCAACGCACTCGTAAGCCGCTGAATTGTTCGCAGCTGTTCTCTCAGATTGATGAATCCCATTTCCTCGTAAGTACAGAGCGCGTGCCAGGTGCTTCATTACCATAGGTACTTAGCATAAGTAACCGCCCATTAATGCCCATATAAGGGACTGCAGGGCCGTGTGCAGACGCCAGAGGAAACAGCAACAGGCCTAAAGCAGGCTTTTGCCAGACTGAGAATAAAGTTATAAAATGTTGACTTAAAAGTCGAAATATTATGATAATAAAGTCGAACTAGCAAAATTATGAGATTAATCTAAGAATATGATGAGATTAATCTCAAAATGTTATGAGCTTAATTTAAAAATATATTATGTATTATTTTAAAGATTAATCTCAAAATGTTTTGAGATTAATCTCAAAATATTTTGGACCCTGGGAGGAGATCCAGCGCGGACCAGCGCTGAGACCAATGCAGACCCGAGGAGAGACTGGAGTGACCAGCACACAGAAACCAGCGCGGACCTATAGGAGAGACCGCATAGACTGGAGACACCTGACTGGAGAGACCGGTGCGCAGAGACCAGCGCGGACCTATAGGAGAGACCGCATAGACTGGAGTGACCTGACTGGAGAGACCGGTGCGCAGAGACCAGCGCGGACCGAAGAGAGACCGCATAGACCAGACTTGAGAGACCAGCGCGGACCCGTAGGATCCAGGAGCATGCAGCACGGACCCGTATGGAGAGAGACCAGTGCAGACCCGTATAGATCCATGGGAGAGACCAGTGCAGACCAGTATAGATCCATGGGAGAGACCAGTGCAGACCCGTATATGGGAGAGACCAGTGCAGACCCGTATAGATCCATGGGAGAGACCAGTGCAGAGACTCAGCGCGGACCCAGTAACCTCCTGCAGCAGCAGTATATATGCCGTTGTTCTGTGGCCCGTGGATAAAGAAATGCCCCCTATAAATAGGAAGGGGTCACTAATACACGGCAAGATTTCCAATGTATTTGATAAAGCGTTGGCACATTTCATTTCAAAATGAATTAAAAAGTAGGCCAGATCTGCAGTGAAAAAGGCGGTATATAAATAAAGATTACTAATAAAGATTACTACAAATAAATAAATACATACATCGATATGACGGACATATCACTGGAATGTTGTATTTTTATTCAACTTCACCAAAGAGGACAACCCCCGCGTGTGAACATGTCGGCACTGAATGCGTACGAGTGCTCCTGAGGACTCGTAGGATTTGTACTTGCCCAAGAGAAATTCTGGTTACGAGAAATATTCGTGAATGCCACTTTCTTCGTAAAAACCGCGTAAGTAGGATTTACGTACAAATCTGTTCCTAAGAACCGTTCGTGAATGAGGCCCATTGTTGTTGTCTGTGAGCCTGTTGAAAAATAAAAAACGGTACACTGTGTTAGGTCTTGGTTGCAATCATTTTAATACATTTTAATAAACTTTGAAGCAGTCCGGCCCTCGGCTTGTAGCAAATTTGTTTTTTTGGCCCTCTGCTGATAGAGCTGAGAGCTGATTGGCCGAATAAGGGAGGTCCTGTCTTTTTCACTTTCTGTCTGAAAAAGCAGATCTAAAAATGTGACAGGGGCTAAAAATACATACCCAAACTTTGATAAAATCCATCTATCTGTCTCTCAAAATTAAGTTCTAATGTTTGTGGTCTGAAAGTTAGGTACCCCAGCTTTAAGATACTAAACGCTTTTACCCCTCCTGTAGCTCCCGCAGATTGTCCCGATGTATTCCTCACTGATTTTTCCCAGTTCTCCAAGAATCAGCGTCTATAAAAAACGGCATGAGCTTCATTTAAATGCACCAAAGCCGGGTATTCATCCCTCTCTCATCTCTCCATACCTCCATCTTCTCCATTTCAGCTCTTGGAATCCTCTTCTCAAACTCTTCAAAATATCTGTAAAAACAAACCCAAGTATTTCAAACAGAACTTTATGTTGAAATGCGATGGATGAGTCCAGAAAACTTACCTCAGTCCAATTTGCTGGTGGTGGTTTAACTTGTGCTCAATCTTTTTCAGATCTACAAGACACGACAAGAATGAGTCAGGGAAAAATAAATCTAACTTTTAAATATATTTACAGCAGAGTCTACGGTTAACGGACCTTCTAAAGTTTTCACCCCTTCATCGTAGAACTTTCTCGCAGCTGCGGGTCTGAAAAAGAAATCCAAGGATCATTAAAGTCAATCAAGCTTTTCAAATGATCGACAAGAAAAAAAACACACATTATTTACTATTTAAAAAATGTAGATTGAAAGCAGACATTAATACAAAATATATATATATTATATATTCATACACAAGGCAACTCAACTAGACCATATTAGTTATGGTCGTACTTCCTGGTTCTAGTCAGGACTCGAGCTGCTGCATTTTGAATGTACTGCAGCTGTTTTACAGCCTGTTTGGACAGACCTGTGAGCAGGCCATTGCAGTAGTCTAACCTACTGGAGACAAATGTATGGATAAGAATCTCCAAGTCTGCTTTAGACACTTTGTTTTTGATCCTGGCAATGTTTTTTTAGATGGTAAAAAGCTGCTGAGGACAATAAAGTTAATCTTACGAATCTTCCGCGATGTGGCCTCTTCATTCATCACTGACCCCTGATGGGGCCTTTTTGCTCTTACTTGTTTGCACCTTGAGCCAAAGCAAATTCCTAGTTTGTGACTTCCTGTTACTTACAATGGCAATCAAATCTCTCCGATGGGGATTTTGAATGAGGACTTTAAACTTCCAGAACCTGAGCAGACTTCCCCCTCCACAGCTCCATTGTAGTAACTGATTAATCTCCAAGTCTTCTGTATACACTGTGCTTAGGGATGAGATAAAACACTCAATTGTGGATATTGGTCATCCTGTTCTCTATGGACCAAAGGCAAATGTGTTTGTTTTTATTGCATTGTCTGTGTTCAAATTGTTGTTGGTGAATTGAAAATACCACTGAGGACCCTTGCTGTTGGAATTCAGGGATATACAAAAATACAGAATTCAGTCAAACACAGACACAGTCAAAAGCTGTGAAAAAGTGTTGCATGTTATGTCTCCTTTAAAGAACATTCTATGCCCAGACTATAATAATCATACAAACCCAATTCCAGTGACTCTAGTGAGGAAATTAATGGAGGAACTGGTGTCGTCATTACGAATCTGTAAAACCATAAATAATATATTAGAAGTTGTACATTTGTTGGAGGAACTTGTTTTACAGACTCTTTGATCAAGACCTTTTCCAGTTTCCTTAATTTTCCGGTTTGTAGGAACTCGTCAATCTTCTCTGCGATCTTAGCTCCCACTCCGTCCTGTTGGGATATATTATTGTTATAAACTAAAACTATGACTTTGCTTAATGACCAGAGGTGAACATACCAGCTTTTTGGCCTCTTCGCCATTCTTGATTTTGTTTGGGTATTTGGAGATAGTCGATGCTGCTTTCCTAACAAAAGCAAATGCAAAAGTATCAATAAGCAGAGTCTCAAATAAAAGCAACTAATTTAGAAAAGGTCCGTTTCAGGATGGGTCAAGTCCAATTCATACTTTTAAATGTAGTTTTGTAAAAATGTAAGCCTAAGTTTTACGCAAAAAAAATATACAGCCTTCTTATTACTTTCATAAAGATGGATTTTTGGACCTAAAAATACATCATTTATTACATCATTTAAAAAACCTATTGAATTCTAACACATCAGAAGTTAACAGGTTGATACCGGTATTTATCACTGTTCTTCCATGACCGTATGCACCCTTTGTATTGTATTTATTATATTGTTTATGCACTGAAATGTACAGAAATATATTAAAGGAGAGAAAAGAAGGCATTCCCATTGATCCGCACAGTTCTACTACTAGTTCAACTGTGGCTAATGGCACAATTTACTGGCAAAATATGGACTTCACTGTACATAGGTGGCCAAAAACTATAATTATTTCAATTGGATTTTGAAGAGACGACATTTAATGCCACAATCTCTCACATTTTAACCCATATATGTGCCTAGATCAAAGTCAATACTATCTGGGTTCCTTTGTTAGAAGTTGTAGCGAGATCAGCTCCTACCTGTATGCGTTGTATTTGTGAATGGCCCGGTTTACGTTTTTCTCGTAGTTGGCAAGTTCTGTAAACAACAATAAACAATTAGTCATTTTTGAAAATCATTTAGTGTCATTGTTAATAATAGACAACAACACAATATAAATCCAAGTGAAAAATTATATTCTTGTGTGAGAGGAGAGAGAGTTGAGGGACTAGTCGGGCTGACAATATAGATACCTATGAAAAAGTACAATAAGTAAAAAGCATTAAGTGTTGATTTGATTCAGTTTCCCGGTTACTCCCTCTCATATTTGTTGGTGTCGAATTAGAAAATCGCTAATTCTTCAGCTAACATAATTTCATTTCCAGATATCACTTTATTATCTTGTTGCCATTGACTGTAATTGTTGCATGTATTAAAATTCCTGCACTAAAACAAATGGAGAAATACGAGCACCAATGGAAAAGTTAGTTAAGAGCTTGAATAAACTAGTATTTGACTCTATTTGGACTGTTTCACTTCTAACATTAGATCTGCTAACGGGGAGCTAATGTAGAATGACTTTATTGTTGGTGAGAAATTGATTTTTAACAGTGAAAATAACATAAAATCTATAAAAATACGACTTTACAAAATATATCTTTTCATAACTATAGGTTAATCCAAAACTATTGATTTAACTGGACTTCTTCACTGTCAAAGTATTTGTTATTACACTGATATGTGAGTGTTTTGGACTGTTTGACCTCTAACATTAGATCTGCTCATGGAGAGTAGATACAGTCATCTCTTCTGTGTTCCATGTGAGAAATATTCATCATTTACGTATACATAACAACCTTTTTCAGTTTTCTTAGTGTCCCATGTCTCAGTAGATCAATCCAAAACTATTGATTTTAATTCACTTTCATTTTCTAATCTTCCTAAACTCCCACTATTCTATTTAACAAACACATTTAACAACAGGTTTGACATAGATGAACCAAAACAGTGATATAAAAGCAAAAGCAAACCTATTGACTACAGCCTCACAGAAAATATTGGCTTGAATGATCTGTGTGTAATAACCATGTAATCCAATAACTAGCATTAGAATGATTGATTCACTGTAAACTTTATGGTTTTCCTTCACCCAGTCCATTTTAATTGAGTTTAAGTCACTCTAATGAAGACAGAAGCAATAGACAGAAAGAGAAAGGGAGAACAATTAGCTGGTTTAGTTTGTACACAATACATGCAGAATGTAAGCATCTATTTTCCATGATTAGCAAGTTAAACACGTTGTATATGAGCCATTTATTGATAGAAGATAGTATACGTGTCCATTTAAAAGCAGCTAGCAAACAGGAACAGGTTTAGCCTATGAATGAAAAGTCTATCTTTAGCCATAGTTAGCATGTGGCTAACTCACCAACTAGAAAGTCTGTGATTCCTTCATTGAGAGACTCCTGCGGCGCCTTTCTCTTGCTCATGGTTATGTAGTGTGTTAGGATACGCTCCTGTTTGTCTGAATGTGTAAAAAAAAGTACGTTTATAATTGCACGTAAAGCTGACAAAACGTGCAGCCAACTGTGCTTTCAATCAAACAATGCAGACGTGTGCGTGGGGGTAGTGGTGGGCGGGGCCTAGTGGAACGTCATCCAAAAAAATACATAAAATAATAATAATAATAATTCAAAAATACAATCTGCTAACGGCAACGAATATGATCTATACTGACAAAAATATTATATAATTTATACACACAACAAACGGCATGAACTATCCAACTAATGATCTAAAATTATATATATCAACGCCTCAAGAGAACTCAGAGCAGGTAGTTTAACGGCTTTTTAGCTATTTTAATGATTGTTTATTTGTGTAGGACAGAACATGTTTTTAGTGATAGGGAAAACCGTAGTACATGCAAACATGCAAACTCCACTCAGAAAGCCCCTGTTCCAACCGGGATTTAAACTCAGAACCTTCTTGCTGAGAAGGGATAGTGCTATTCACTCAGCCACCATGCCACCCAACTGGTTAAATTTGAAATGTGAGCAGTTTTACCTTAAAAAAAAAATCCATTTTCAGCTGCTCAGTCACCAACTTTCTATGGTGCTGGTTCTGGACTGGTTCTGGACTGGTTATGGACTGGTCATGGACTGGTCCTGGACTGGTTCTGGACTGGTTATGGACTGGTCATGGACTGGTCCTGGACTGGTTATGGACTGGTTATGGACTGGTCATGGACTGGTCCTGGACTGGTTATAATTCCAATTCAGTACTCACCATTCAAAAATAGAAGACGATTACAAAAAACAATAATGACATGACATGAGTAATAAACTACATATAGAAACAAAAAGTTATGAAGACCAAAAGCCAAAACTAAAAGCCGTCAGATTGACTGCTCTTGGAGTTTTAGTGTTAATACAAACTTTGGACACCCCTGACTATTCTAAACTAAAGGAGCATATCAAAATATGCTTATCTGAGGGCGTGGGCCTCTCTTGCATAGGGGCCAGCCTCATGAGAGAATTTAGGCAAAAAAAAGCCTAAAGTTTTAAGAGTTTAAAAAAAGACAGACATTCATGCATTCACACAGACCCTTTTGTCTATTGCAGGCTGAACAATGGTCCTTTACAATAAAACAAAATAACAGAAACTATTCATTATTGTGTATGATTACAAAAAAAACCAGGAGACATAGAAACAAACACAATATATATCAAATAAAAAACAAATAAATGGTCAAAAAGTGTGACAATATTTCAGTGCCTTTTTGACAACACTATAGTGATACTGGTTTGTCTGTCTATAGTTGTGTATTGTAGTTGAGTGTAGATTTGTGTTACTCAGCACTGGCTTCATAATCTTTTATATTAATAAGACATTTGACAATAATTCATACATCACATAGTTACAACGAGAAGTACAAAACAATAGCATTACACAAACTGTTCAAATATATTATGGCTAGTAGTGTCCTGCAATATTAGCTTCCTATTCAGTCTTACGAATTGTTCTTCACATAGACTTTGTCCCTGGAGAATATTTTGATGGCCTCCTCGAGTTCAGAGAGTCTGCAGTCGAGATGAGCCTTCCGAGTCTGAACGCTGAGGCCGTCGGCTTTGAGCGGGAGCGAGAGCAGCTCTAACACCAGCAGCCGGTGACCTACGGGAAATCACAAAGCAGATAAGAGGCAGTTTGTTCTACGTTTGTGGTTCATGCAAAAAACAAAAAAAAACACAAGTTGAGTCTTACTTTCTTTGAGGGATTTGAGAGTGTCCAGTCTCTCGCTCTCGGGCATCAGTGTGTGTCCGGCCGGAGCAGACGGATCGGGGGCATTTCTCTTTCGCTCCTCGGCTTCTCTCTTCCACTGCTCCTTTCTGTCTTCGATGCTGTTAGAGAAGTTAATCAGGATCAGGATCTGTCCACGTGAGCTTTGTGGATCTGGAGAAGGCGTGGGGACTCTGGGGACTTTATGTGCAGTGGTAGGCAAAAGGTATATTTTTTAGGATTATCCTTAATAAATGATTGGTTGTTTGGATAAGACATTCCACTTAAATATATCACATAGGAGACAAACACAGTGATTTTTGAGAAGTGACATAAAGTTGGTATTATTTACAGAAAGTGTGCCGGAATTATTTGAACTAAATTTGGCAAGTGCAAAAATAAACCACAAGACAAGGCTGTTATTTTGCAGAAATAACAGCCTCTAGCCCAGGGGTCTCTATCCTTTTTTGTTTGGAGAACCACTTTTGCACAAACAAAAATGGCAGAAAACAACTATTTTTTGCTGTAATAAAACTGTAATCTATGTAATAACTGTGGAAACACTTGTAAAATAACACACACATGTAAAATATGAAGCTTGAAGCACAAGACCGGTCACAGCTCCGTCCAAGGCCAGCCAATCACACAGCCCGGCCAGCCTCTTGCCAACCCACTGACAGCAAAGCGGGCAGTTTAATAGCAGCCACTTCCTGTTAATCAGCGCTTCCTGAGGCTCTTAACACCCACCGCCTCCCCAGCGCCTCCTCAAGTTCCTGGCTCCTGCTCTGACTCCTGCTCCACCTACGCTCCATTCACACCATGCTTCTAGCCACCACCAGTGCTTGACCCCGGGGGGTCTGAGATCATCTACAGCAGCAGACGATCTCCCCTCTGCAAGTGTCACTGCCGGGGTCAACGCGCCAAACAAATAAATCGTTTCTGTCTTGGTCTCTTCAGATTTAAATACCATAATACTGTATAACTACATATAACCCTACATAAGTGAACATAAAGAAAACATGTATAGTTCAAATTTTATACTTTATAATTATGTGTCAAATTCCTGAATCCTTTGAAGAGCTACGTTGGCGAGCTACTGGTAGCTCTCGAGCTACAGGTTGGAGACCCCTGCTCCAAACGCTCTTTATAACTTCCAATTCAAGTCTGGATTCTGGTGGAAGGTATTTTGGACCATTCTTCTTTGCAGATCATCTCGAATCACAGATTCAAAGATTCAAAGATGTAATCCTGATGGAACCTCTGCCATATTTTCCTGTAGGTGGTGTGTGTTCTTTTTTTAGAATGCTGTGTTCTTTTTCCTCCTTGAGCAACGACCCTTGTTTTGTCAAAATAACTCCTTATGTGTCTTTGTTGCCTATTTTTTCCTATTCCTCAAATCCGCATTCACAAAAACGACCTCTAAACTGGACTCATCTCTTTGATCCAAATCGAACTCTCTTTGGAGACACTCACTACTGTGGCACTTGTCCTTTAACAGCGCTGGGAACAGGTTTTTCATTCAGACTCGACATAGACTGAGAACGGCGCATTGCTGTTTTCCCCGCAGACTTTGCGTTGTGTCTGATGAAGTTTACAGTTTGGCCTTGAACCAAAAACTGCAAAAACAAGGAAGGAGAGAGAAGAATGTCAGAGTCTCCGTTCAAACGGATGGGTCTGTGTACAGTGTGTGGACTCACTTGTGGATTGTTGTCATTCGTAAAGTTACATGAATTTGAACGCTGCAGAACTTTGGTAGAGGCTTGTAACGCCCCATGAGCCTTTAGGAAGTTTTGACACTGTGGTTTGATTGGGGAAGGAGGAACCTGTAAGTAAAAACATTTAAGTTATGACTTGCTACTAACACATGAATGAAAACAGAACATACTGTATGGCAGCTGGGACTAATTTCCTTATATGGGCATATATTTTGACGACGTTAGCTTTGCGCCGTAAAAGGGGAAAACGTGTTGCTAACGTGGTTGCTAAGGCAAGCTTGTGTTTCCCTTGTGAATGAAGGCATCTGATTGGTAAATCCTTATGTCTCATTTCTGGAGTCCCAAAGACAATGTCACAAAGGAAAATACCAGGACCATAGAAAGAGTAAAACCATGGATTTTTAAGCCCAAAACGCTTACTGAGTTGGAGGAGTTTACTTTGACATGTAAGTCAATAGGAGCCCAGAGTGAGTAGGAGCCAAACTTCCCCATTGGGCTTCTCTGAACTAGCTGGATAGCATTGTCAGTCAATGTGGGAGATGTAAATGTCATTGTTCCCTAAAGCTACAATGACGACAAAGCTACTGTTTATATGTAAATCAAATATTGTGAGGTCAGAAAGTGATAAACTTTGCATTAAACAATTTATCCAATGCACTGCAAACAAGGAAACATGTAAATGGTACCAGTAAATAGTAATAGTACTTATTAGCTGATAGAGCAAGCCATTACCACAACCATTTTAAACTAATTTCAGAAATTGCAGCTGGTTTATTAAAAAAAAAACTTTCTTAAGGCTTTTCCAATAGGAAATGTTAGTTTAAAGACAGTAAAACAACTTCATTAACAGCATTTATTAGTTTATATTTGATATTGTGCAGTGTGTTTAAATTCTGAATATTAATGACGGGTCACATGGACCTGATGTTTCATGTCTTATGGAGATTCTGTCCCATTCTTCCCTGAGTAATGGCTCGTACCTGCAGCTGTGCCTTCACTTTGGAGGGAACGTGGAGATACTTGGATGAAAAAGCTTTGACGGGAGAGTGACAGGTCTGTGCGGTCTCAGCCTGCTGCTCTCGGTACCGTTTTTGAATCTCCCGAAGTCGTCGCACATTTTCTTTGCCAAAGTCTTGATGATGTCCTGAGGGTCAACGGGAAAATAACTAATTTAAATGGTTTGCCTAAAGATATTAGATACGAAAAATATAATAACGATACAATATTTCAGAGATGAGGCAGAGCAAAGTGAGAATTGAGGGATTTTGAAGAGGTTCTAGATTCAACTGAACCTAGGCTTCACCTGAGTAGAGTTTGCATGTTCTCCTCATGTCAGTGCAGGTTTCCTCCAGGTGATCCAGTTTCCCTGAGTACTATCCTTGAGCTAATCTCTGTGTTTACACCAGTAGCTGTTCATTAATAATACACACACTGTGCCATATAAATAAATAACTATTGTTTTGTTTTTACTCAAAGAGAGGACGTCATTCTTAAAAAAAATAAAAAAATTGTGATTAACTTACAGACACACAAGCAAATTCAGAAGAAAAAAAAGGAAATGAGGCCCCATGGTTTCTCAGATAATACTAATAATAAACTTATTAACAACACACGTAATGCACTTTACAGATTAACAAATGCTACAGGTTTAAAACATACACACGTACTACAAATCATAATACAAACTTTACAAAACAAGCATGAAAATGTGTTTTGTATGGTTTCAGTTTTTGATACTAAAGAACTAGATGTAATAACAGACTTTTAAACAAACAGTTTAAAGGCAGAAAATATCCACTCACTTTGCTTGGGAACAGAAATGAAAGCAGCTTCGTTGAACTTGAGGAGCTCGCCCACGACTCCTCTTTTCCCTCTTTCCAAAATATGAGCGCCGTTGGGTCCAATGCGAGGCTGCTGAGCCGGAGCACGAGCAGAGTAGAAGCCTGGATACAGCAGCGGGTCCGGAGCCAGCGGTCCCGACAGCAGACCCCCACAGGGATTTCCCTCTATCCGCCCACGAGCTGCACACACAGTGAATAAGATCCACATGCATTTGCTGCGTTACGTTTGGAAGAGTAGAGTAAGAAAAATACAAACCTGAACTTGGACGACGTTTGTAGACTTCAGGGAGGAGAGAAGGATCTGGAGGAATCGGTCCAGATATAGATGAAGGTCCCTCACACATCGTTGCCTGATAAGACATAACATTTGTGCTTTATTTAGGAGTTGCACCCCCTCCTGCACCACACAGTCCTCGTTCTACAGCCTGAGTCATGGATCTACAGCCTCAGTCCTCGTTCTACAGCCTGAGTCATGGATCTACAGCCTCGGTCCTCGTTCTACAGCCTGAGTCATGGATCTACAGCCTCAGTCCTCGTTCTACAGCCTGAGTCATGGATCTACAGCCTCAGTCCTCGTTCTACAGCCTGAGTCATGGATCTACAGCCTCAGTCCTCTCAGATTTGTTTCTGGCCAATAGAGGAGGGTCTAAGGACAGTGGTGATGATCCGGTTGATCTGTATTTTTATATTATTGCAAAATGAATTGAACTGAGTTAATGCATATTCTTGAATATCATAAAGATTACGAAATTGTTTATTTGTCAAACAGTTGGAAAATGGTTAAATGTTGCAGCACAATTTACAGAGGAATGAGGAGCACACCAACACAACAAATAGTAATATTAATAATAATAAGAAACATTATGGAACCACATTTTTTTCAGAGAAGGAGTCTTGTCTTTCTCTGACAATTTACTTTCTCTAACTAAAATGTTACTTAGAGTCCGACCATCACATGCTGTATTTATATAATGTAAAAAACATACTTGTAGAAAAAGGCCTATTCACTTTGTGTAAAAGCTGTTGCAAAAATACATGCATGAGAAAACTAGTGATAGAGTGATTTTGAGAGTGAGGAACTACAGGTGGGAACATGGATTACATAGTTCTATTTTCTAGAAGTTTAAAAGTTAGGTACCCCAGCTTTAAATGATCCAAGCACACATATATTATTAAATATCAAGTCAATCTCATATTTTTTCTCGCATAATAAGTTGGTGATGAAACCGAGTCTTTTGTAATAAATCCCAATGTGTTTGTATTTTATGCATTTAGCTGTTATTTATTTCCATATATTAAATATTAATCATAAACGAAATATCTATAACAACATATACATTAGGCCTGAAAGGAAGTAGTGGAAGAAGAAAACTTGTACAGTATGATAGCAATTCCCTTATTCCCTTATTCAGCATCGACATATATTGAAATGACGCACTTTCTGGGCGTCACTGTCAATGGGAAAACAAAGTAAACAGGATTAAGTTAGCTTGTATGCGCTAACATAAACTAGCATCATCAGTACTTTTGAATTAGACTGGATCCACCTTCACAACACGCAGCTATTTCTACAGGCTTCATACATTGTGTAGCTATCTTAAACAGACTCAAAATCAGAGTAGAATCATAATCTTCTGAATATTTACCTGAAATGTGTCTTTTATCATGAGAGAATGAAGCTGCGATGGCGTCAGCACTTGTTTTGCTTCACCATGGCAACCGGCGCCCGTCTCATCTGCGGCATGACCGTAAATAAAGCTTAAAAATGATCTATTTTAACTGAATAAACGAACACAAAAAACCCTGCAGCTGTCAGTTTAGTGTTATTTCCACTGATGGGTGGTGGATTGTAAAGACGCGATAATAATGACGAAAAAAAAAAGAGACACTGGTTGCATCCAATTTCAAACAAGTTACCTCCTTGTTTCTCAACGATTAGGGCTAGGATTGTATCAAAGAAAATAGCTTCATGCTTAATTTAATAATGTTTTAATTGCATTTTAAAGACATATTTTATGTAAATTGTGTATAATGTTTGGCCATCAAGGTAAAAGAAATGGACAACGAAAGATAGATATTTTAAAACTGGGAAGTACCCGCTGACAAATGTTATAGAACAGTGCCCCGTGTGGTGAAGATGGGTACTGTGAAATTTCCGCTGGAATTACAAGCACAACATTAGTTTATTATCAACATCCAATCATTATATTATGCCTAATGTTTGATAGGCAAGTATAAGTGTTACTCTAACTTTCTTTACTATGGATATGAAAAAGCATTTACCACGGTGTATCTGATAAAGGGAAAGGACACAGTGTTCTCAATGTGGGGTGAAATGTAAATATTGGTCTAATTAAGTAGACTCCAGCCTGGTTTTCTGTCAATACAGAATCAATAGCTTTACAATACATATAATTATGCATGTACTATGAAAAGCACACGTTTCCCCTATCGATTGCAGAGCAGCCCCGCCTTCAGGCTGTGACGCGCTCCTGGTCAGTGAGTTTTTCTCCTTCACTGGGTCCATAGCTGCTCGGAGCAAAGTCTACACACTCCGTCTGCACAAAAACAGGTAAAAAACACATTGCATTTACGTTGTTTTCTTGCGGTAATAGTGAGTTTATCTCGTGTTTTGGTCTGCAGATGAGCTAAATGCATAACGGGATCATTGACTTGTGGCTTTTATTACGGGGACACAGGGATCACCCATAGACCACAAAGGGCAGAACCTCAGATATGTTTTTACTCAAGCTACAAAACTGTTTATAACATTATATTATTAGGGTATAGTCTACGTATGGTACGAGGAAAAAACGTTTCCATGTGTCACATTTTAGTTGTTTATTCTAATGTATTTAGGACAACAATTTAACTATCTACGTGAGGTCTATGGGAGACGTAGAACCGCCATGTTTTGTCCCACTGTGCAAAAGGTCAATAAAGAGGCCGTACTCCAATCAATACAAATGCATTCAAATGAGATAATATGCAAGGTAAGTTTAATTGTATAGCACAGTCCATACACAAGGCAACGCAAAGTGCTGTGCAAAACAGGAAAAGAAACATTAAAATCAGAGTGCATTAAAAAGAGTGAATATAAAATCCTTCACTTATAGTCACAGCTGAACACAACTGTTTTTAACCTGGATTTGAACATTGTCAGAGAAGAAGCCTGTCTCACATTTTCAGAAGGACTGATCCAGATGTTAGCTGCATAAATCTGAATTGCTGTGTTTAGTCCTGACTCTGAGACCAGCTGGAGGCCAGTCCCTGTGCTCCTCAGAGTCCCAGCAGGAGGCCAGTCCCTGTGCTCCTCAGAGTCACAGCAGGAGGCCAGTCCCTGTGTTCCTCAGAGTCCCAGCAGGAGGCCAGTCCCTGTGCTCCTCAGAGTCCCAGGAGGCCAATCCCTGTGCTCCTCAGAGTCCAGCAGGAGGCCAATCCCTGTGCTCCTCAGAGTCCCAGCAGAAGGCCAGTCCCTGTGCTCCTCAGAGTCCCAGGAGGCCAATCCCTGTGCTCCTCAGAGTCCAGCAGGAGGCCAATCCCTGTGCTCCTCAGAGTCCCAGCAGGCCAATCCCTGTGCTCCTCAGAGTCCCAGCAGGAGGCCAATCCCTGTGCTCCTCAGAATCCCAGCAGGAGGCCAGTCCCTGTGCTCCTCAGAGTCCCAGTTGGTTCATATGGTACTAACATGTCACAGATGTACACAAACAGAGCTGCTTTTGTACAAGTCTAATAATAATAGTACTAATTGAAGAAAACCCCTGATGATCAAGGCTTTCCCTGATATATCTTTTGGGACCTTTGGGATATTTCTTTTGACCATATTGGGCCAAAAACTATGAAGTAAATGATAAACAAACAAATAAAATGGGGCCAGGACATTATTCAGCTTATTGTCATGTGGATTTACTAAGTATCGAGCGTCAATATATTGCTGTGTGTAGACTAGACTGAGCCATTCAAAACAGGAGATGCTACTATTTAAAAGGAAGTTGGTCCAATAACATCAAATGTCAATGTATCAAAACTGCAATATAGGATCTGGCTCCATGTATCGTGACATATTTCCTTGTATCGGCCTAAAATAAACCCACCGTTATAACTCAGGCATAATCAGCTTTAATGAGAAGGTTCATAGGAAAAGGATTGATAAGAAGAGATTGAACAAAGCTTAAAAGAAACCAGTGGACGACATTTGAATAGTTTAAATCTTTACAAACAAGACACTTCCTGAATCTTTTCTATGGAATTATTGCTCTGCTTGAGTCTTGAAATAACATGGTTTCTTATCTCTTTCCTCCTATATTTGCCTTGAGCTTTGACCCTGCTTGTAATGTATGCTAGTTTGAAGCTATTGTTTATTTTATTATTGTTATCTGTATTCTTGTCTTGGAATATGTGTGTAAGAGACTGTCATTACTGCAAAGGATACTGGAAAAATCTCTAGTCTGTCACAATATGTTACTGTAATATTAGTAATATCTTATTGGTCATTGGTTATTACAGACAATAAGATATGGCACAAATCTCAGGTTGTTTCTTGTGAAGCCATAAAAATCGTCTAAAGTATAGTTTTAATGCTGGAATATGTGTTTAAAGTCATATGGTTAATTTATTAGAAAATATATATATACACAAAAAAATCTCAAGTCTGTCACAATATGATGCTGTACAATATTGAGTACAGCCTTGGGAGACTATTATAGGCCTACTATGTACTACTATACGTAATATTCATTGGTTATTATATTGTTTTTATTCTTTATTTTATTAAAAACAATAAAACAGACAAATACATTAACATTACAGCTGAAATGTAGCAGTTGTGCTAAGTTATGTCTGGCACATTTACACCGACGCTTAAGGCATCAATGTTAATGAATGTGCATTGTCCCAACTTTATCATAAACAAATAAAATGAAAAATGACATTCAACAAGAACACAAAAAGTGCAATCCCCAAACAGAACAAACACGGCAAAAAAACAAGGAATGATCGTCAGACAATGCTTAAAACTCAGGCTGTTTTCTGTGAAGCCATAAACATTTTCTAAAGGGCAGCACGGTGGCTGAGTGGATAGCACTCTCGCCTCTCAGCAAGAAGGTCCTGGGTTTGAATCCCGGTCGGACCAGGGCCTTTCTGAGTGGAGTTTGCATGTTCTCCCCGTGTCTGCGTAGGTTTCCTCCGGGTACTCCGGTTTCCCCTACCACTAAAAATATGTACAATAGTTCTGGCATGCGCCTCCTGTACTGGCCCCTCCCATCTCTGTGTGGAGTGAGAGACAAATAACCAAAATAAAATAATAACAATTGTAAACCGCTTTGAGACTCAGATCTGCAGTGAAAAGGCGGTATATAAATAAAGATAACTTACTTACTAAAGTACATAGTTTTAATGAACGGGTCCATCTCTGCAGCGCGAGGCCATAAACAACATGTTCTCTCATTGTGCAACTCTTCTTCCACTAACACGGACCTGGGGGTTTGAAATGGAAACAGTATAATATCATGAATTGGGAATGTGTCACTTGCGCTGGTCGTGGCCTCAGGGTCTATTTCGTCAACAGGTCGCGCTTCATTCTCTTTCAAGTTATAAATTGTCGTCATGTAACTTGACAGCGCCACCTTATCTGACAGACCTCGTGTTGCAGACTCTGCACCTGCTGCTCCGGAGGCGACAAGGATCGACCTCCTGTATCACACAGGATCTGAAATAACTTTATTATTATTATTATTATTATAACTACTATTTATTTTATGTATTTTATTTATTTTATGTATTTTATGTATTTTATTTTATTTGTTTTATTTATTTTATTTATTATTAATGTTTTATTGATGGGTTCTCAAATTCCAGAAACAATAAAGCAGACACTAATTGATAACATCTAGAGTACAAAACACAGACACAGACAAACAGCCTTTCATCATCTGGGGGGGGGGGGGTGGGGGGTGATCAGAGCTGCCTCCCTCTGATCCTGCTGCAGGTGGTGGGTCCACAGGAGGATGGCTGCTCCGTCAGCGATAGCACAACCTCTTTCAGCGGGGGCGTCAGGCAGAGTGGGGTGAAGTGTCTTGCCCAAGGACACAACAACAGCAGACCTCCCTGCTCCCATCTCTGTGCGGAGCCACTGTCGCTCTGTTGTGAATCATAACTCACAGTGGATTTCATTTATCAAGCTGTAGCATTAATGGTTATATTATGTTATTCAATTATTGTTGGAGATTATATATAAGTACATTTACTGACAAGACAAGAATCAGCCAGGACCAGGAGGAGCAGTGAGGACCAGGAGATGTGATTGATAACGCAGTTGTGTGGATGCAAATGTATTTTAGAAATGATGGAGGGAAATATTTGGATTAAATAAACCAGGCATGGCACATGGACATGGTCACCACAGTCAAAGACATCTAGTGTTTTTACTCAGTAATGTTTTCTGACACTTAGGTGATTGCACATGCGCAACAACCGCGCTTTCAGGTGCTGGAAAGCTAAAACACGACAAACTTGTCAGCGAGTTACACCAATTTTCCGGACTTTTGCATCCTGGCCCGATTAATTCAGTGAAAGTTATCAGAGTAAACTGGGGAATGGAAAAAAAATGTACATACGGTAATTGTGTAGTGTTGTGTATATGGCTCATACCGTTTTGAATGTACATAAACAT